AAGTTGGGGAGGGGGGTGGATTGTGGGGCTGGGTAAGTGTAGTTTTTTACTTTTTGTTTTTGGTTTTGTGTGTGTGTGTTTTGTTTTCATTTGTTTTTATATCGAGGAGTTGGGGGGTTGGATGGTTGGATGGTTGGATGGGTTTATGAGGGATGTGAGGGGGAGGGGTGGGATTGAGTGTGAGATTATATGTGATTGCGGGGTTGATTTTTTTTGGAGTTGGGGTCAATGGGTGATCTTTGTCATGGGTTTTTGATATTTTAAGCAAGCGATGGATTGAGTTATTGTGGTTATACATTTCCATGCCTACATGAACCAGGAAGTTCTCATCACAACCCAATCTCATCCACATCTTCCTCATCCCCCTCACACTCACAAAAACCCCAACTAACACCCCCTCCCAGAATCGGACGCATAACCTCCGGCCTCCTCCTGTACATCGCCGAGGTAGTAGACATCGTCGAGCCCATCGCCAAATTCTCCAACGCCCTCATCGGCGTCCCAGGCATCGGCGAAATCTACACCACCGGTCTGGAATCCTGGTCGCCGTCTCGCACGCCGGGCTACGATCTCATCTGGAACCAATGGTGTGTGGGCCACTTGACGGATGTGCAACTTGTTGCGTACCTGAGGAAGTGTGGGGAGGCGTTGAGAGAGGGGGGTTTTGTGGTGGTGAAGGAGAATTTGAGTACGGATCCTGGGGGGGAGGATGTTTTTGATGAGGTGGATAGTAGTATTACGAGGTATGTTTTTTGATCGTTTTGTTGTTGTTTGGGTTTCTTGGTAGGAGGGTTGCTGATCAGAGTAGGACGGATAAGAAGTTTCGGGCGTTGTTTGAGGAGGCGGGTATGAAGGTTAAGAGGACGGAGATTCAGAATGGGCTGCCGAGTGAGCTGTATCCGGTTAAGATTTATGGTTTGCAGCCTGTTGTGATATCTGCTACTCCTGTAGTCGCGACTGAGGGATGAAAGCTGGCATTGACTGGAGCGATGGAAACGGAGCGCTGTCATATCTAGCGAATGGATGTTGTCGGGATATTTTACGACATCGAATTTCTGGAATACGGGATATCTCAGATATTGAAGTGGAGACGAATCACTGATCTCGGGCCAGGAATATAAAAGAAACACAGAGAGAGAGACATCATGAGAAGATAGGCACGGTATGTAGCATATCTTTGCTGATTAAGCTTCCGAAGAAGACATGAGGAAGTCGTGAGTTCGGCTCAGCAGAGGCGAAGAAAGAATATAACAATTACTTCCAATCCACCTAGAACACCAGTGAGCTACTTTCTAATAAAACCCCTTTTTATAGTGCTTTCCCCAACCCTCAAAAACTTCTCATCTAAAATTCTACCCCTCAACTCAAATCTTCTCACTATCCAAAGAAAGATACGCAGTCTCCGCCGCAACGCACCCACCCAACCTCCTCATCACAGTCTCACTCTCCACATTCCCATCCTTAGCTTCAGCATGCACCCACCCACTACTCCCCCTAATTCCCAAATCCTCAAACCCCCCTTCCTCAAGTCTCTTCAGCAACTCCCTCGCCACGATGGTCGCTAGCCCTCTGCTCCTGTACTCCGGCACGACGTACAACGTAGCAAGACTCCCATCAAGACCCAGATATACCCATGCGACTGGCTCGCCCTCGGTATTTAGAATGCAAGCGTTCGCTTGCTGTTTTAGGGTTTCTGCCTGTCGCGGGATGGAAGAGGTGGAGATTATGAGGGGGAGGTGTGAGGTTGGGATGAGGGATAGTGTGAAGCCTGGTGGGAGGGTGTTTGTTTTCTTCTCAAGTGAATGTAATGGGCTATTCTCAGAACCTGGATCAGGATTTGTTGTAGTAGGGATGGTATACATATTCCAACGCGTGATATAGGATATCGCATCTCGGAACTCGGTTACCAACACCTCAGTAATGAGACTATGTACGCCGCCGAATCGCAGTAACGGATCGAATGGCCAGCCTGGTGCGTCTTTCACCTCTGAGTTCTTTAGGAAATGCACTGCTTCTTTAACTTGCAGGTTAAGTGTGTCGCTTTCTTGGGGTGAGAGAGGGACGGGTGAGTTGATTAGCGAGTTGAAAATCCAGATTTGGGATTCCTTGAGCCGTGAACGGTCTGAGAAGAGGATTGTCCATGGTTCGGAAGGTGTTGAGTTGGGGGTGTTTGGAGGGAAGGTGGTCGCGAAGAGACAGTGTCGTAAGGGCGTGTTTTGGGGTGCGCGGAGGCGGTTGTGGATTGCGTTGCTTAGGGGGATGTGCTGGGAGAGGAGGGGAGGGAAGTGTTTTAGTGCTGAGTCTTGGGGATGTATGTAGAATTTCGGTATTGACATTTTGTGATCTGTGGTTTTTTTGAATCTTATCCTTTTGATGGATGGAGTGATGTTTATGAGGCAGATTTCAATGATTCGATATCTAGAATATCTATCGGGTATTTGCTGGTACTCGAGGACTACTCGCTGGGGAAAGAGCAGGGTCACGAAGTGTGGACTTTCCCGGGACGGTACTGGGACGATACTCTTTTTGAGTGCAGGTAGTTCTTTCATTCTGGGAAGAGACTTGACTTGTGATCTGATATGCAAGATGGTTTTCAAAAGTGGAGTGGACAGGCGAGAGCAAACTGCATTCATGGCACAATCAGGCGACCGGTCACGAGGATATCTTCAACCTCAATTGAGAATGCAGGAAAGACCTGCTCACGAATTTTCTATGTGGGATTATTGACCTTGAATACATACTCTAGACCCCTCTTGAAGTCGAAAATCTCATGGTTGAAATCGACACTCTTTCGGCCCTCAGGACCCCGCTCCTGGGGAGTGGCGACTTTTCAACAATACATATATCTTCATTGCTTTTGCCAATTCAGTTTCGGTCAATGGACGATCATAAAGCCATGCAGCATATAGCACCATGGGTACGGTGATCTTGGGAACCTCTCACAGCAGAGCCATGGCGATGACAGTTCTGGTTGGTTCCCAACCTGCACCGGTTGTCTCAATAAGGTCTAGATCACGACCAGTGAAGTTGCATCGATGTAACTCCCCCAGTTCTATAATTGGAACTGCTGCACGACAACCCCACGTTTTTTAATAAACACCGAGTAGTTTTTCAGCGGAGTCGCATGTCGACTTTTTGGTGTTTGAAAAAGGTTGGGTTTTCAGCTGGATGTTCTGATTGCGAAAGTAGATATTTCGCTGTTTATTGTGTTGTGTTTGGCATCGAATTTTGGAGTTGAGTTATTGAGGCGATCTCAGCAAGATGACAGACATCCACGACTCACCAGACCGAGAAGGCGAGAGTTCAAGCAAAGAAGACCACAAAATGACGCCGAACGTATTACTCAAGACCCCAGAAATCTTTTCACAGCTCCATCTCGTTCGCGATAATGACAATCCTGATTGTTACAGCTATCATCTGGACCCATCATTGCCTGCAGCATACTCACTTCTGGGTGACTCGAAGACGATAGAGCCACTGTACCGAAAGGATCACACGTTGGTTCTGATGGGAGCGGCAGTGGAGGGTCTAGTAGGAGATGAAGAAGAGACGAGGCAACAATTGGCGAGTTGTACTGTAAAAAGGAAGGTTTTTTGGGAGAGGAAGAGTACCCTACCTCTTTGGACGCAATTGAAGATCTTTTCTCATACCGAAGGCTACGAGGGAGCGGAAAGTCAGAGTGAAAACGGAGTTGATGTTCAAGTATTCTGGACCTCTTCTCAGTTAGAGGCCAAGTGGGCGATGTCTGTCCCATTGCCACAACCGAATGTCGATCCACAAACTCCGATCCTGGAGCCCGCTTCAGAGAAAAACACTGTGGAGTCCGAGGAAATTGTTGAAAAAAACGACCCCCAATTTTACAGTGTGGTATTGAAGTCCAAGCCAGCACGCGCACACCAAAGAACTCCCACAGTCTACCACGAGAAAACCTTTGAATGGATGCAGGATTCCCCTGGGAGATCCTTTAAACTCACTTTCTCGCCAGAGGACTCGCCAGTAGCAGAGTTTATCCTCGAAGCTTCGGAGCAGAGGAAGGCTCAAGGTGTCAAGGGTCAGTTGTTCTTCAGAGATTACTGTGGTAAGGAGTGGGAGGGGGTGGTACTCGCTTCTTTGGGGGCGTTGATGTATATTCAGGATTTGAAGGGATTGGATAATTTGACGAGTACATCTGGGCTGGATAAAGTGAGAGAGACCGAAGAAAAGCTCTGCGGCTGTCCATCTTGATCCGCATCGAGAGTTTTCCATCGGTCGAGGTTTTATTCTATGCTCAAGACAGAGTTTGAGATACTGGGACTTTTTCATCAGTATGTCTTGTTCCTTCATTACGTATGTAACGCAAATTAACTCGGAGGGTAGAGCATCATATAACCTCCAGGACTTTGAGTCAGCTGCTTCATGCCCATATGGGAATGCTTTTGAGTACGCAGACGGGTCTTGATTAATTCTCAAGTGCACGCTGGATACACGCCACCCACGAAGTCAAGAACATTAGATCACATCCGAAAATCCCAAAACTAGCCGAGCGTCGAAACAACTCATCCTTGGGCCATGAACAAGCTCCTCAATCTTCCATTTTCGATCTTGGAAGATATGCCTTCGGTGGAGGCATCAAGACAACATTCCATCCAGGACCATAACCAATTGGGAGGAAAGAGACGCGTGCTTACGTATGTCAGCAGATAGAATCAACGATACCCTAGGTTCAAGGAAGAGACTTCAATCACTTACCCCTTCTTGTATTTGTGCTTTTGAGACCTATATTCAGAGAGAAGCCACTGTACCGCCCTCTTATACCAAGTACTGTGAGAACGAGGCCTGCGATTCCGATCGTGAGGGAGATATATGCTTCGGGTGATAGTGCCATGGTTTTCTTTGGTGTAGTTCTTGATACACGCTTGTATGTTCTTTCATGTACTGTACAAACGTAATGAGGATATCGATTGTCTTGTTCCTGTACGGATTAGATGGACAAGTCGCATCGAGGTCTCGGTCGATCTCGTGAGATGTAAAGAAAGGTTGAACCGGAAGGAAATCATAATGCGGCTTTTCAATGTGACCCATGGTGATGTATTGACGCGGGTCATTGCCAGTTGATGAATCTCAAGAAATTAGGTAACAACGCAACTCTACCAGAATGCGGCAGATCATACAGAAACATGGTCTTGGGCTGCATTGAGCCGTTATTTCTTTATTTTGTAATTTCCACTATGATAGAACCTCCTACCCAAAATCTACTGTGATGGAAATAAAACGGAACCTGGATTTGGATACTTAAAGCAATATTAGTGATACAAATCTTTGGTGAGAGTCGTGGGTAAGGTTATACTATTACTGAGGCTTAAAGTGTGGAGATGAGGGTGTGTAATACCTTCGATTTTGGATGAACTTGAGAGGTATGCTCTTGGAGTTCAGATGTACACAGTCTTGGGCTCTGGTGATTGAGCGAAGTGCTCGGGGTATTACTTGGATGGGTATTTGATGATAGGTCTTTTTGAATTTCTAGAGTAGAATTGCTTGTGCTAGAGGTAATGAATGAAAACGAATATATATCCTGTATTGCTGTAAACTCGAGAACCTAAGAGGATAAAGCTGTAAGGATGGCCTTGAATTGAGATTATCTTAATTCGGACATAAGCTATTTACTTTGGGGGGTGTAGGTATTCTTGTTTGGTCCGGAAAGAATCACAAGATAACCGTTAGCTGTCAGTGATCAAAACGAGCACCGGTAGTCTAGACCACGATAGTAAGGCGTGGCGTGGCGTTCATGTAGAGGAAGTTTAAATAAACAGCTATACATCGACTACTTCAGTTATAGAGGGGTCTTTCAAAATAGCCACTTCAGCCCAAGGTCTCTTGAAGAAATTCGTCTTCTGGGTTTTTTGTGGTATTTGTATCTCCTGGATTTTCTCATAGCAGTCTTCTAACAAAAGGCGGTCACAGATTCATACGGATACGGATACTGTAGATCAGATTCGGCACCCACATCGCTCCGAACTTTCCGTAGAATCCCAGCCCCTGAATCTGTGACACTTCGGCTCCTATTTTCGATGTCTTATATAATTCTCACCTACCGTAGCATAACGTACTTCATAACGTACTTCATAAGGAGTCCGGATTTATAAGCAGTCCGGATTTTTTACCCCACCATCCAACTTTTAAAAACCATAGAACTTTAACCACTTAATATTTATTTATATAAACTATACTATCTTTCTTATTCTCGATCTGGGCACCTAGGAACAGTATGCGCTAGTGATCTACATGTACTACAGGTTCGTGGTGCACGAATTCGTGGTTCAATTAGCGGGGCCACAGCTTCATCCAAAACCATATTATCACTATTTTGAATAAGTTCCCTCCCTTCCTGACCTGTAAGAACACCCCCAGTAGCAATATATTGACGTCGCACAGTCTTCTTCTTCTTTTGACGTTCAGATTCAGCTCGTAAACGTCGATTTTCCTCTGCCAAAACCGTAGCTGATTGCATAGCCATCTTACACCCTTTAACCAATTGATCTAATGCAATAGCAGTAGGGCTTGAGAGAACGTTTGTACGTCGTTTAATAGATGCTTTAATTGTCTGGGTTTGCTGATCTGCCTCATATGTATTATGGGGTGTCTCAGGGACCCAAGGTAGTAGGTTTGGAGAAAGTAAAGGAGGAGTAGGCGTATGTAATTGAGTATGTAATTTACTCAATACTTGATCTGGGTTGTACGGGACAAGGCCAGTAGTTGCGAATCCATTACAGATTGTGTTTTTGACCATAGTGCTTGTACGGGCTACACGATATATTGAAAGGAAGTCTGGTTTATCGATATGATATGTGCCGGCTCGTACTAGCTCCTCGACTCCTCGTCCATAAAGTCGCTTTAAAACTGCAAAGCAACTAACATCTAATGGCTGTAAAAGATGAGATGAGTGCGGTGGCATACAAAGCGTTATGATGTTATGTTCTGAACAGAAAAGATCGAATTCGGGAGTAGAATGACTACCATGGCCATCGAGGATTAAAAGTCGATATACTCCTTTTACACGGTCCTTGGTATATTTCTCAAATACGTCTGAAAGCCACTTAAGACCTAAGGAATCATTGGTCCACCCTTTATCACTAAGTGCAATTGTCCAATCTGCTGGTAATTGATCTGTATACCAAGTCGATATATGCACCTTGCCCTCAAATATAACCATTGGAGGCAACACCCATCCATCTGCACAAATTGATTCGACAACTGTAACCCATTCGCGATTCCCTGGTTGTATATGAATAGCCCGTCCTGTATATTCTGACCCTGTAACAACTTTTGCGGTCGCAATTACTCCCATCTGAAAGCCAGTCTCGTCGAAATTGTATATATCCTCCGCTAGTATACCATATTTCGCAACAATATTATGTACTAATCGAAACCAATCTCGGATAATCGTAGGATCCTCGCATTTTGCGCGCTTATAGTCGTATTTACGAGTGTATTTCGTCCGTAAAGAGTCGTGGCGCTTTATAAAGTTGTCAACCCAGCATTTTCCGACAATAATTCGACCTACTCGTTCGCTTTTCCAGTAGTAAATCGGCCATTTGGCGTATCGAATCTTTCCGTACTGGCAGACCTCTAGCTCCCATTGATGACATCCATTGTATAAGTGCTGATTCCTCGAGGTCGGTGAGTTTCTGGTTTCGGGGTCGGAAATCGCGTTGTGGAATAGCTCCCTTGACGCGGTCGTAAGTAGTAGAATATGGCGCATCGTACCTTGTACAAGCTGCTTTTAAGCTTGTAAATTGACCCTTATTGTATGCACTGATTGCAAGAGCAATTTGACCTTCTTTTCGAGACATTTGAACAATAATTGGGTAAGTTATGTAGATTGAAAGTGTGTAGGGTGGTCAATGGTGGGGTAAAAAATCCGGACTGCTTATAAATCCGGACTCCTTATGAAGTACGTTAGATACCTCAATAAGTGTAAGCATCACATTCATCTACCGTAGTCAATCTACTCAAAATAGAACGTCTGGTGACTACAGCTATATACGTCACCTCTCAAAAACCCCAGATTTGTTTCAAAACAAGTTCGGCTGAACCTACTTCTACTTCCACCGCCCAAAATTGCGGGCTTGGCGCAGGTGTAGCTGATGGCTTTAATGCAAGGGTCTCCATCCCCCTTTGTGCTCGTACCCCCACGGCCCTACCCTATTTTTTCTCATCCGCAACATCAACGGTCTAACGGTCGTCGTCCTGAAGATAATCTGGTGATGGTCTCCTAACCCCTCTCTTCACCTCCCGCCCGACCTTGGGCTCTCTCTACTTTCTACACCTCCACCTCCACCTCCGACCTCCGCTCCTCTCCTCATCATGCGCCGTGGGAACGTCATCTTCCTCGTCATAATCTTGGTGATCGTTGGCTACCTGACCAACGAGTGCAGAACTCTCATCTCCCTCCTGTTCGAAGACGCTACCGCATACGCCATATCCCCCAAGGATTTGCCGCCACCGGGTACCAAAGACAACGATAATGGGACAGGGACAAACTTAATACCGAAAATCATTCATCAAACCTACATCAACTCCTCGATTCCCGCAAAATGGCAGGAAGGGCAGCAAGCTTGTGTAAACCTACACAGTGACTATGAATACATTGTTGGTCCCCTATACCCCGCAGACATTCTTCCACTCCTAACAACTACTATAGCTCTGGACCGACGAGAAATCCCGAGACTTCATCAAAAAGGAATACAATTGGTTCCTCAAAACCTTCGACGCCTACTCCTACCCCATCCAACGCGCCGACACGATCCGCTACTTTGTGCTCTACCATTATGGTGGGATATACATTGATCTTGACGATGGATGCAATCGCCGCCTCGACCCTCTTCTCAGATACCCTGCCTGGCTGAGATTTACGACACCTACGGGAATCAGCAATGACGCTATGGGTGCTGTGCCGCACCACCCATTTTTCAAATTCACGATCGATTTGCTGGAGGAGTACAATCGCAGTTGGGTATTGGGCTACATCACCGTGATGGGAAGTACAGGTCCGCTGTTCCTGTCGGTGGTATGGAAGAGATATTTGTGGGACCACACCAAGCCTTCGGAAATTGTGCGGATACTCATGCCGGCCGAGTACAAAAACCACCCATGGAGTTTTTTCAACATTGCCAAGGGTAGCAGTTGGCATGGAAAAGACGCGCAAACGATTTTCTGGATGCTTAAACATTGGGTTTTCCTTACCGTTGCTGGGTTTTTGATTGCGGGCGTTGTGGGGATTGGTCTTTGGTTCGCGTGGTCCGAGTGGGTAATGAATACGGGGAAAAGAACGTCCCATGGCCGGAAGAAGAGTTTTTGGAAGAGAGTAAGAGGGGGAGGTAATAGATATGAATTGGTCGACCGCATGGCATAATGCTATTAGAAGAGCTCGGAGAGAGGACTGAGTTATGGCCCTTGCTAGTGCAGCGTAAAGGGCCGTTGCCTCTGCTAGTCCTGTAATACATGGATAGGAGCCTTGGTTAGACACCTACAGTATAGGGCATCTTGATTGAGATGCTCCAATTAGATGGCTTCATCAAGAAGTCTTTGTATACCCATTTGTAATGCTATCATGATTTCTATTCTATAATCTTATTTTTATGAGTATGAAGACTGGAACGCTTATTTCTGCTATTGAAGACTCACCGCAATACCTATTTTCACCTAACGCTTTCCGCATTCGCTAACCTCAATTGAGCAAAGAGAATAAGCGAGTTTCTTTGATGTTTTTCCTTCACCATCTTCAAACAAGGACTTCTTTATGCTCAAGCGAGTCTACCATTGGTTACGAAGCCACCCAAACTAAGGATCCCACAATCGATTGTTCCACTCTAGAACACCATCATCTCACAGCAGCAGGAGCTTATATCTAGCACCCTATCCTTCCGCTACCCACTCCAAGTCCCAACAAAAACATACCAAAATCCTCTACACATCCAAAAATAAAATGTGCAAGCTCTACCAAATCCAATGCCCAACCTGCCACACCTCCGGCACCACAATCCTCGCACACTGCAAGCTAGGTATCCACCCCGCCCGCCCGGGAGTCCCTAAGGTAAAGGTAAAATGTCCCTTGGACTCCTCTACCCCTCTGGAAGCAAGCGAGGTAGTTGCTCCCACCCGCTGCGGCGTTTGTATCCTCCTCTCCGTGCAGGAAACCACTGACACCAACCCCATCAACCCCCAGGTAACCTCTCTTCCTCTCCCCCTCCCAGAAGACCTCGCCGTCGCAGAACCACTCGTCGCCCACGCGCGACACTTCAACACCCTAATCAACCCCCACGATCCAGGACGCTACATCCTCGCCACCACCGCAGACCTGACGATCCTCCACCGCGCGACGACGGTTCTGGAAGCGGTGCTGATGGGTCTACTACGTGATATGGCGGCGCTTGACCTACGCGTGAGGAAGTTGGCGAAGGAGTGCTGGGAGGTACACGGTGAGGATGTGGTGGAGATGTATCAACAGACCAGTCTTTTGATGGTGTATAACCTCGTTGCGGATCATGAAGCGGGCCGTTCTCGTGAGCCGGGAGAAGTTTTCCGTATCCCTAGTTCTAGAACGTATCCCCCATCCTTCCCTTCCGTCACGTCGTGCGCGAACGAAAGTCCCGAGCTCGACTGTGAATGCGCCATTTGTCTCGATCCCCCAACCAACCCCGTTCTCACACCATGCAACCACGTCTTCTGCCAAAACTGCATCGAGAACTGGGTCATACAGGAAGGGAAGTATGCTTGTCCCGCATGTCGCGCGCGGTTCTCGAGGAGCCATCTGAGACTTGTGGATGAGCTGTTGAGAGAACGACAGAGGGGTGTTCCGGCATGGGTGGAGCTTTTGAGATTGGTTTCTACGGAAGATGGGGAGGAGTGTGTGGGGAGGGGGGAAGTGCATGAGTGGTTTTGGGGGTATGAGGTGGGGTTTTTGGTGAGGTTTGGGTGGGTGTGAGGGTTGGCTGTTTTGTTCTGTACTGATGCGCATAGGACAGGCTGAGACTTTTGGAATTACTTCATCGCTTTGTCGAATTCTTGATCAATTGAAATAAAATAGAAAAGTTCCCCTGAATCTAAGCGTTTAATTACGACTGTAACCCCCGAAGTGTTTTATTTACCCGCTCGCTTAACTCGTCATCCCCTCGCTAGATTAGCTAGGACCTTTTAAGCGAAACGAATGGATCAAGTTACAAATCTATAAAGTGTAGTATACGACCTGAACTTAACATTGCCTACCCACTTGAAGGCGATTCTCTAACAGATTTATTCTGCTTTACCACATATATATACAAATCTTTATTGACAAGACTCCTTCCTACCTATCAACGCTATTCATAATCCAGGGGCCACTAATCCCATTCATGGGTCCCGTAAAATCCAATACCATACCCCAAACAACAAAACCAAACTCCATCACTTCATATCATGTAACCCGAAAGAAAGAATTCATCACTCCTCATCACTACTATCCACAACAAAGCCAGATCTCATCCTCTGCCTCGCTGGTTTCACCGCGGGCATTTCTTCATCTTCATCTTCGTCATCCAATACCATAGCAGAGTTTTTTGCAGCGCCAAAAGCTTCCTCTTCCTCTTCCTCATCATCACTCAAGTCCACCCTCCGTTTCTTCGTCTGCTTCGCCTTGGGCTTAACATGCGGACTCGACATCGGAGTATCAGTAGCCTCCTCATCAGAATCCTCCAAAATATCGTCTCTAGCAGTGGTGGAAGAGCGCCCAGAGACCACAACAGGAACATCATCCTCACTATCATCCTCATCGGCTTTGGATCGTCTTCTCTTGCTGCTCACAGCTGGAGGTCCATCTTCATCATCGCTATCAATAGATATCGCACTCGAATCCCTCTTTTTCCTCGCTGCAGAGGGTTGTTTAGCTACTCCCGTAGAAAGTAAGCCTTTCATGAGATCGTCTTTGGCTTTCTCTCGCAGGCGTTCTTGCTCGAAAAATGCTTTATCACGCTCTTCGTCGTCTTCGTCATCACTGTCGTGAACGAAAAGATCACTCTTGATTTTTCGGTTCTTTTCCAGGTCTTTCAGACGTCGGGCCTCAGCGCGTGCTGCAGCTTGTTCGTCTGTCAAACCACTGTTTTCATCTTCACTTCCTTTTCTCTTTAGTCTTCGTCTCTTTTTGAGTTCTTTCAAAGCCTCGGATGGTTTCATTGCGGTTGGACCTCCTGGTGCGAACTCAAACTCCTCCTCTTCATCATCGTCAATTCCATCGTCATCATCATCAAAGACAGCCCTCTTCCTCGAAGCTGCAGTTGCAGATTTTCGTCGAATGTAATCGCCAGCTTCTTGGCCATCATCAAATACAGGGGGACTAAATTCAGATTTCTTGATCAAGTCGAGAGACTCCTTCAGTTGATCCGCAGTAAGAGGGTGTGGGACAACCCAGCTACCGTCAGGGTCGTCGTCCACACCAATCCGCGCGAAGCCAACCAAAGTCATAAGGAGTCGAAGATGACCATTCTTGAACATAGCAACTTTACGTTCGTCTTTGTCTGGCTTGACCACTATTTATGGTTAGTTATGAGTTATGAAGATAAGAAGTAAACATACAAATAGAGGGTGTCTTGGGTGCATCGACGGGTGGTGCCGCTGGTGTTTCGCCGGGTTCTGCAAATGGATCATCCTCAATCGAAGGAATAGCGGCCGCCGAAGCGATATTCGCTCCCTCCCAACTCCGTCGCTCGCTTTCGGCGGAGGTCAACTGTGATTTGACCCATTCAATATGCTCCCCATCATTCTTATCCAGTAACGCACCAACGACAATGGCGACTTGTTCCTCCCATTCTTTTCCTGGCTTGACTTCTAATTCAGCTGCAGCACGTGGCTTGCTTGACACAGTCTGCTTTTCATATCCATACTCAAGGTAGTGCGTAGTCGCATTGATTTTAGAAAAGAGCATCTCGACTACCAACTCGGGACGCTCCTGAGTCTTCTTGAAGCATTTCTTCAGAATTTGCTTCACGAACTCCTGCCACTCTTTGAAGAATGGGGATTGTGGGTCTAGCCCTTCTGGACCTTTGACCATTTTGTGGAAAAGTGCGATAATGTCGACTCTAAACAGCATAACACTCATCTCTTGCTTAAACGCGACCCGATAAAAGTAGCGATGCGCTCTTTTGAGCTGTTCGGGCTTGAGATCATTGTAGTAAGCTGTAAACTTCACAAAAGTGTCGACGCATCCTTGGGATACGAATCTGTTGGCAAAACGCTTAAAGTCGAATTTTCGTTCCCGGGAAACTATTTCTGCTCTCGACTCATCTGCATCAGAGTCCCCTAAATCTTCGTCGTCCCCGCCATATTCTCCAGCATCTCTCGCAGCCTTCTTCTTTCGTCGCACACGTCTGCGTGATCTGACTTGTAAATCGACATTTTGCTTCGAGTATTGCTCCAAAATTCGCAAGTAGTTATGAGCGAGCTCCGTACATGAATCCAAATAACCGAACCCCTGGTCTTTGTAAGTACGAGCGATATTGGCCACTCTATCGTGGGTTGTGTCTTCGTAAAATATACGATTGAGAATATTCTCCGCGATCTCTTGATCCTCTTCGAGACGCGACTCTGACATATCCTGAACAGTCAGGAGAATTTGAGTGAAACATTTCATGGCTGCGCTGAGATCTGCCCAGGATTTACTTTCAAAAGTATAGTCCATCTTTCTGTTCAGAGTGACAAACATCTCCTGGCTCAAAACGCTGGCGACAATCGCGTAACTATCTATTTCTTCTGGTGGTGGTTCGTTTCTCGAAGGTTTAGCTGATTTTTTGCATCTCCTTCTTACTCGCTCCGCCTCTAAGAACCAAGAAACCAAATAGAAGAATTGTCTAGGATGAGTTTCCAGTATTCGGTCAGCTTCACGATCAATGGCCTTCCGAGTGTGGTTGAAGAGCGGATTGAATCCTGAATCTAAGAATTCCTCTACAAAAGAACGTAAATGTTTCGTTGCTTGGACATTCAAACTGACAGGTGTATTAAAGTCCAGGGGTCCTGTCTCTCCTTTTGGTTTCCGTCGTGGAGGCTTGAATTTCTTCGTGCTATCCATTTTGGCCAGACCCCTTGCAGAATCCGTTATAGCAGCTTGTCCCGAAACAGTTGTCATTTTGGCATCTCCTCTCTGAATCCAGGCCATGGCTCCGAAACGGTTGTGTCGCGTAGGTGCGTGTGCCTGGTAACTTCTATGCATGGCCGCTTCTTTTTGTCTCAGTCGAACTAATTCATCCATTTTGCTATTATCAATCTTCTTCTCATCCATAAACAACTTTTCCACTTCCACACCCTTGATTAGATGGAATATGACTTCCATAACAATCACATCTTGGGTATTAAAATCCTCGCCCATGGAAGAAGATAGCGTCAAAAGTAATTGAAATATACCCTGGTAGTCGAAAGCATCAATTGTTGCGGATCTCGAAATTTCGGCTTCATCTCCCTCGTATTTTGCGTTGGGTGGTGGTGCAATCATGGCGATGTTACGAATGAAATATAACAGGAGTTTGATAATGCCTTCGTCTCTAGTACTGCGATCTTTCATGTCCTCCGTCATTGAGGGTATGGCACATCTCACAGCCGTATGCAATATCCTCGCTCCATCAAAGTTTATAATAGCTCGTTTGTATCCCAATTGTGCAATTTCGAGGTAGGGAATATGTCGATGGTGGTTGACTGTCATTTCCTTGCCAGTTTTCTCGAGGGGCCATGTCAGAGGTACAAGCAGTTCCAGACATGCCAAAGCGATCTTCAATTTAATTCGATTTTCCGTCTCATTTTCCGGCCACAACGCAAGAATTTGAAGCAGATCCCCTCCCACCAGGTTGGAATCTGCCAAACATCTTGCTACGTCCAATCGATTCGCTTTTTCGTCGTATAACTTCAGCCATCTCTTCAAATCACGAAGACAGGCCAAAGCATCATCTCCCAGCACATATCGTCCCTCCTCGTCTGCACCACTTCCACCCAACTATTACGCGTCTGTCAGTATTTCGCGGGCAAACAAAGTGGAGAATCCTTACTGCGGTAACAAGACTCGATACATATGCTCGAACCTCGGGATCAACAACGTCTTTCTTGCCGTTAAACTCCATGTTGGGTGCGGTTGTTGGTGTATGTATGGACATTTCCCAAAACCTCTTTACACGACCTGAGGAAGTCGCGTTTGACGCGTTGCCGGAAATTCTCCGAAGCCACACTCAAGCCACACTCAGCCACACCATCCCGCATTCCTTAAGCCGAGGTGCAGATGCATAGAAGCCCCGGATTTCCAACGTCACTTCAACAACTTTGAGAAATCAACACCATGATCGCCCCTATACTCAGACGACAGGCACTTCAGTGCAGCAGGCATGCAAGATGCTTCAGCTCATCATCAGCAGTTCTGGCGCGGGACGTCAAGAGCCTTGGTGTTATTGGAGCGGGACAGATGGTATTCAAAACTTCTCACATGCTAGACACAAGTCTCTGAATTTATATTTTTCTAGGGTTTAGGAATAGCTTTGGTAGCTGCACAAAAAGCTGGAGTTCCAGTGACTCTAGTCGACACATCTCAAGCTTCAATTGATAAAGGCTTAAAGTTTGCCGGCAAGTCTTCCCTCCCAAAGCCCTCAATTGCACCCCTCACTAACACAACCCCAGAAAAACTTCTAGCCAAAGACGTCACAAAAGAACGCATCACCCAATCGCAATCCGATGAAATTCGATCCCTCCTCACACCGTCTACATCCATGGACTCGCTCTCATTGGTAGATTTCGTAATCGAAGCCGTCCCCGAAATCCCCTCTCTAAAGTTCCAAATCTTCTCTTCCCTCGCGCAAATATGCCAACCACACACAATCCTCGCTACCAACACCTCCTCCATCTCCATAACCAAAATTGCCGCTTCCACAACCAAAGATCCAACCGACACATCTGCCTCGTCCCGCGTAATCTCCACTCATTTCATGAACCCCGTCCCTATTCAGAAAGGTGTTGAAATCATCACTGGTCTCCAAACTAGCCAGGAAACAATCGATACCGCAGTAGCATTCTGTAAAGCCATGGGAAAAATCCCTTCCCAATCCGCGGACTCGCCTGGTTTCTTAGCAAACAGAATCCTGATGCCTTATATCAACGAAGCCATCATCTGTCTAGAAACCGGCGTTGGAAAACGAGATGACATCGATGCCATCATGAAGAATGGCACGAATGTCCCAATGGGACCTTTGCAATTGGCCGATTTCATTGGAATTGATACTTGTTTGGCGATTATGAAGGTTCTGTATGAGGAGACGGGGGATAGTAAGTACAGACCTAGTGTACTTCTGGGAAAGATGGTGGATGCTGGATGGTTGGGGAAGAAGAGCGGAAAGGGATTTTATGATTATTGAAGAGTGATGAAGCAAAATTGTACTACCTGAATAGTGTGCTCACAGTCACCCAGGCCATGAGAGTGTAAAAATATCCGCCAACTATGTAAGGTCTTACAAGATCAACCTGTGCCATGCGATGGTGATAAACTTCCTAACTACCGACCACCGATCGCAATACATCAACCCTAGCTTCTACACCCCATCCCCATTATCCCCACTAGTAAAACTTCCTACCAAATACCCCTTTCCCTAATATATCTTCCTATAAATCTCGCTACAGTAAGCGAGCTAAACCCATCTACCCAAATCGGATACCATCACCCAAACACCCATCCACACATACCTCTAAACAACTCACATACTCGCAGACTACACCTTTACAGAGTATTTCCATCATTACCCAAAAACCCAAAAATCCAAAAATCCATAAACTTCTAGAATAATACAAAACCAAGAGTTTGTTATATCGTGTTCGGTGGTGTCGGGTTCAAGGTGCATTCTTGTTATACTAGGTATGAGTGGGAAGGATGGTTGCTTTGATGGTGTTGTTGAGTGGGTGTTTATGGATCTGAGCTTGATTTTTTGGGAGATGGTAAAGAGAGTGTCTGGTAGGGTACAAAGGGGATGGGGGGGATGGGTGCGGGTGCGAGGATGGGGAGACTGGGAGACTAGGTTAGAAATTGAAATGGAATTGTGGTGCTCTGGTAGTTCTCCTCTCCATGCTCTCAGTTCTTACAAGAGGTAAAGTTCTCTGCTTATATAAAGACTCTTCTTCCTTCTGGGGACTTTTTCGCATGTCTCACATATCTCAATTGGGACCGGGAGGGGGGTGAAGTAAAGTCCTTCACATCGCATACAATTCATCACTATCCTATAACCCCCCCACCCCAGTAATAATCTATATAAGATTTCTCCCCAATTTCAATAGTACAGTATCTTCTCTCATAACACCTCATCTCATAAATTAACTTCTTCATTTGGAACTTTGGGAAACTTGATACTGTAAGAGGACATGGGTTGGTTGGTTGGTTGGTTGGTTTGTTATCTTGACGCTTTTTATGATGTGTTTCGTTCTTGTTATAGGTGTTGGGTATAATGTTTTTCTGTGTTTCTATGTTTCTTGTGTTGATAGGTCTAGGTCTAGGGAGTTGGGAGGTGAGGTGGTTTTTGAATAGGTGTATAGGAGTGATGTGGATATCTTTTTTATCTGCTGTTGCATGTAAGAGGTGAAGGGAATATATAGAGGCTGGGATTTGAGGGAGGTGTTTATGTGGGGAAGGGGAGGTTTCGAGAATGGAGATATTGTTTTCATGGTTTCTTTAGTTCGTAGGTTTATTTGTTTGTTTGTTTATAGGTTATTCAAGGGTGAAAAGTGATAGTTAAACCTTCATCTATATAGAATTCTATAAAGTATCGTGAGCTAATTAAGTAGTACTGTGGTCTGTAGCAGATTTGTGATGACTCTAGAATTTGTAACTTAGTACAGTAACAGAGGGCGGACGGATAATATTTAGAACATATCTCCTTCTCTTCCTCCCTTCTTTCATCTTTTCTTAGGAATAGGATAGAATTTCCGAAATCCTTGGAATCGTATTCCACGTACCTATACCGCCCGAAGGTTAGGAGGTAGTAAGCAGAAATTTTTTCCCGGAGGTAGAGGTAGAATATGTAAGATTAAGTATAGTTAGTTGTAGACGGCCTGTTCTCCTTTAGAAGAAGAAGAATATCTACCTTATGGCTACTTACTTACCCTTGGCAATAAATCAAAAGAAAAATCAAATCACTTATCCTTATCAACCATAATTCCCTTCACATCACCTCACAGACACACAACATCACAGATACAGAAAAACATTTTCAAAAAAAGAAATAGTTTATTTATATAAACACGAACCCCCTCCCTCTCCCCACCAAAACCAAAAAAGAACCCTCGAAAAAATAATATCTACAAAAAAACCCCCATCCATCTCCGAAACCCAAAGAAGGAACAAGGAAGAAGGAACAAAGTAAAAAAAGAAATCAAATGTATGCACAAAGAACTGAACACCTTCCACCCATCTGCTTGCTCGAAAAAAACAAAGTCAGAGTACCGCGGTACGCATACGTCGAAGCATCACCATCAACGGAAACCAAGGATGATCGAATCACTCGTACCTCTTATCGAATCCTCGATTCTCACCAGATCCCATCGCACAGAGAGAAAAAAGAGATAAAAAAGAACAAAAACCCCCCAAATGCACAAATGTCCCAAGAAAAACCTAACCCCTTCCTTTTATCCCTAACCTCGCCTACAAAAGCAAAAAAGAAGAAGAAGAAGAAGAAGTGATACCGAAATCCGAATCCAAAAGCTTGATACAGAAAAAAAGAGAACTCGAGCCACACAAAGAAGAAGTGATGAAAGTATATCCAACTTTTCCCTATTTCGGCTTGCAACCCGACAACCCGACAACCCGACAACACATGAAGGCACGAAAACCTAAAGAAAATTCAGGACCCACCCAAAACAAAAAAAGGAGCTACCGGCGACGAGAGGGTATCCAGAGCGGGTGATATATATCCAAAAGCCAAAGCCAAAGTCCCAAGCCCAAATCCCAAAGCACCCCCAAAAAAGAAGAAAAGGGGAAAAAACAAGAATGTTTGTGAAGAAGAAAAAGATGGAACAACAGAGATAAAAACGCCGGGTTATATGATGCTGTTCGTGGTGATGAAGTAAGAAGAGATGCCCGCAGAAAAGTGTGTTTTTTGCGAATAATATTTGGGGGGGGGTTTTCCTTTCCTTTCCTTTTTGCTTTTTCCTTGATTTATCAAAAATGATCTCGTCCCTTGTTTATGGGGTTGGAAGATACAGGATTCGCTTATCCCGGTCGTGCAAGAATGGAGGGGGGGAGGTCGTGAATTGAGTGGGGTGAAGGACGGATGCAGTAAGGAGGTGGGCTCGCTTAGCACTAGGAACTTTCAAATGTGCCCGGGAGGGTGAAGCTGCGTTTCCGCTTCTGGCCCGTCTCATAATCCGAGGGTCGCAAGAAAGAGGAATCCTCATTGCTTCTGGCATGTTGATGTTGCGGTTGTTGAGATTGCGAGGATTGCTGCTGTTGTTGTTGCTGCTGCTGCTGATCCCCGGAGCCCTGACCCTGGCCACTTTGGGATTGCGATCCCTGAGCCGTTTGACCCCCTGATTCCCCATTATTGTTTGACGCCGACCCGCCAAAATCGCGCTCCCCATGCTGCCCTCTGACTGGACTGACACTCGAATTGTATGCGTTGGAGAAGTCCTGCGGTGGTGCCATGGGTGCGCTCAATTGCGGGATGCTGAACTCGCGATTGTTGCTGGATCCGGATTCTGCGGGTGTTCGAGGGATCTGGAAATCTACGGGTGCCGTGAGGGGCGCACTGGCATATCCCCCGGTGAAGGCATTGCCAAAGGAACTACTGCGTGAGGTGGCCGGGCTATGTGGTGAGCTGAGGTGTGCTGGGTGGGTGGAGTATCGATTTCGTAGGTCCAGTCCTGAGGGCAGCCCCGTGGATGTTGCCCGTAGACGTGCCAAATTGGAGGGTGCGGAGGTTGGGAGACCATGCGAGGAGGAGTAGGTCATTTGAGGAGGTGAACTTTGTATGTTTGAGCCTGGGAGAGAGGGGACGTTAGCGCATGGGATCTCCTCCGGGGTGTCAACCTAAATTGGGACAAGTCACAAACCTGAAAATCCATTGGCGTCATATTGATGCGCATTGACGCTAGTGTTGCCAATTTGCGAGTGCCCCGCCGGGTAACTACTGTAGTCGAGTTGTTCCCCTTTCCAAGACATACTCGACCTCAGTGGTGACTGAATCGACTCGGATCGCGTTCGCGACATGGTTTCTCGCAGCTGTAGTGGCTGCAGAGGACGGATGGGCTGCCGGGAATGGGAGTGCGAGAGAGCTTGGTAGCCGCCGCCGTTTTGACGATCAAAGGGATTCGAGCTCCGCGGGCCCGAACTCATGGGACTGGACAAGTGACTCCCAGAATAGCCGCCATATCGATCGCCGGAGTTCATGGAAATGGGAGAGAGAACATCGGGGGTGTTCATCGAATTGCCCTGAGCTAATCCGATATGGCCGAATGCTGGACTCAGGCCAGTGGGCGACATGTGCTCCTCGTGTTCATGTCGTCTCATGGTATCTACCAGAAGTGGTCGCATCATTCGATCCGTGTAGCCTGGGACAAAGTCGACAAAGTCGACAGGCGAGTGCATGGGAGTTCCAATGCCGTGGACCGCGCCGTAAGGAGAGTGTAGCGCTTGCACATTGTCAAAATCGTCTGGAACGGCTCTCATCTTCATCATCCGTTCTCGATCATCCGCTGTTAGTCGCTTGATCTTGGCTCGCCTATTTCGGTCAGCCCATACTTCAACATCCCACAAGACAGCAAGAGCACGTACCGATTTTGAAACCACACCTGGACCTGCCTTGGACTGAGACCCGGAATCTCTCTTGACAGTCGTTCCCGGTGTGCTGCATCTGGATGCGCTTGTTTTGCGAATTCACTCATCAGAAATCGAGTTTGCTGATGTGTGAGACTAAACTTAACGTCAACTAAATTCTTCCAAACAGCTGAAGAGTGGGATGATCTACCGGAATCGCTTCATCTTCCTTCTCTCTGCTCGTCGCTCTGCTGCTGTCTGCGGAGGAGCCCCTTCTTCCACATCAAGCATCTCATCGTCCTCGTCGTCATCTTCATCCTCGTCCTTGACATCTCCAGGAGCCTCAGACCCATCGACCGTCGCGAGTGCGGCTTGTTGGGTTTGTGCGCTGGATTCAGAGCTCAGAGGATTGGAGGCAAGTGATCCAAGAGAAAGTGATGTCGACTCGGGCGAAACCAGAGAATTGTTGCGAGGTTGGGTAGTTGACTGCCCATTATCTCCAGGCGCCGAGTCTGGCCTTTCTATCACGGGTACCGGCGCTGCCTCCTGGCGTGTCGGACCCAAACTGTGCCGGTGTTCGAGGGCAGGTCTCGATGCGTTTTGCGGGGTGCCTTGGCCGTTTTCAGAACTATTTGATGCGGCTGATTGATCAAATGAGGGTTGAAGCAAACCATTCTCTCCTTGGAGAGGGAACGTCGAGTACTGCTGTTCTCGCCAGTCCGGCTGTGGGGGTACTGGCTCAAAGTTCGACATGCGTGGAGACGCTGCGTTCCGATAGATTGCCTCGAGCTTGCTAGAAGACCAAGTGTTCCTTCCTGTATCACATTGCCGTGTGACAAGCATTGAGAGGGTTGTTTGCTTCGGATGCAGGACAACCTACTGGATGTTGGTTTGATATGGTAGATGGAAACCAGATTTTCGTGTGGTGCCTTTGCTGGCGAGTTGCTGCAGATGGAAATATGGCGAAGCGATGTTACGATGCCGTGGAATGAACGAGTGTAAAGGTCACGGTCAACTGAATATAATTCACGTTGCTGATGAAGCCTTCCGGTGTAAGAACAAAAGGTGGATGTTTACTTATGGAATAGCAAGCTGAAGAGCTCGTTAGAGAAGATGTTGTTGTGTGTGAGGGTGTGTGTGTCCGTGATGCAAAAATTCTTCCTGCAGTGTCTGGGTACTTGTGGTGGTAGTGGTGAAAAAACGGCCTGCTGCCAGTTGGCTGAGATGGAATCTGGATCTCCAGTTGGATTGGATGATAGATAAGGTTGTCAGATCTTCTGCAATCTGCCTGGTGGAGCCATCCAACGGACTATTTGAGCTCTCGGCGTGCTTCAGAACGCGTATAGCTGCCAGAATGGTCGATACACCAGCGAAAGTGTACGGATCACGCGGGGGCGACGATAGGTATGAAGCGGCTGGAAGCGTCAAGGATGGCTTTGTCCTTAGCCGTTGTTGTGCGTGTGTTAAATGAAGGATAAATTACTGGCCGTTTTATGACGTTTCTTGTCCAGTTTAGGAAACGTGAGGGTTCTAGGAAGTTGGATGGGGTTGATTATCCTACTTTCCACGTTCGATCGACGAGCAGCGGGAGATATAAAGCAAGATTGGAGGGCCTGACAATGATGCTTGAGCTATGATCACCACGACAAGGTAAATGGACCCGAGGAGTAGCGCGCTTTACAGCCAGTTCTTGCCGATATCCACAGTGCCGCTGAGGCAGATTTGTTCCCGCCGATGACAGGCCTACCACGGACGGAGAATTGAAGAGAGGTCAACGACCAGGGGAGCACGGTAGATGCTGGGGGGGTTAAGTGAGACGACCGAAGAAATATGTAATATACATAGAACTAAAAGAAAGGGGCCTTTGGGCTTTTGAAGAGAAAATCAAGTCATGGTAATGTTTGCTGCATGAGACGTTGTAAAGGCTAGTCAAAAAAGATACCTACTTAGCCAGAGCAACTTGAGGAAGAATGAACATAGACGAGCCCGGCTCAATGACTAGTGTCTAAGAAGTGTGTCCCTGGTTAACGGCGGTGGGGATTGGCAAATGGGAGTAACGCTGCAGTAACAACATGGCTGTAATGCACTCTATTACGAACCCTGGTGAGAGCCTGGGTAAAGATGAGGGTATGACTTGGGGGGTGAGTAGGTGCTGTTACCAGGGGGAGGATGTCGGGGGGTAATGGGAGGGGCAACAAGGGCTTTGGTATGCCGGCGAAATCATCCGATACTCAGGTCGAAGCAAAAACACTGGGCTGGCATGTACGTGGGCGGAACTGGTGACAGACATGAGAAATCAAGGAGCATGCTGGCTGGTGGGAGCAACTTGCCCTATGGATGTGAAGCTGGGCGCGATTTCTTCGCGAGGTGCATCGATCTCATCCACTAAGCCTGTTGGAGGGCATACCGCGAGTGTGACGGGGAGGAGCGGAAGATGATCGAGACTGGGAGCCAGTGGAAGAAGCGATGCAGGTGTGGGTGGTCCTCGCTTAGCGGCCACAGCTTTCTTCTTTACAGGGGCTCCACACGGGGCCTGATTGGCAACAGGCGTGTTGCCGGGGTCATCATTGTGTGCGGGTCAACGCATAACGGTTGTCAGGTCTGGGGGAGGTTGGAAGAAGTAACCAATGATAGCAAAGCTAACATCACTTGCAGAACTGGGTGATGCCGGCTGCGGTTGACACCCGTATGGATGGGGGCCATTGACTGAGTCCAGTTAACGTCAGGAAGACTCGATGAGTGCCCATCAGCAGATATTGGAGCATTGAAGATGGCGGTTGAGGCTGCGGCGTGGTAGAATACCTCTCTTCCAGAAGATCCAGCTAGACGGATGCTACCGGTGCCAGGCACTACTAGGTACTAGCCTGCTTCATTGCCCCTGAACGTTTTGCTGCAGGCTCTAAATGCCCGTCTGCCAGCACCCCGAGATCGAGAGCCTAGAAAACGGCTACGACTCTGCGCTGCGAGCGGGCTCGGCTAGAAAGGCTTCGCGCAAGGGGAAAAGGGAAGGAGAAAAAATGGAAGCCCAAAGAACACTGAGTTTGTGTTGGACTGCTCGAAGTGGCAAGTGGCAACTTGTTCACAGTTTCTATTCTTGAAATTCTCGTAGCAAGTTGTCAGGTTGTCAACAAGCGGGGGAGATTTTCGTAACCTACACCCTAGCTCTGATAGTGCTCCATGACCCCTCAAGTGGAGAAGCTAGAAGCTCTATTTTGCTTCTAGGGACGGCATGGGCGCCGCTAACAACCTCCGAAGACGACAACTGGGTTTCAGGTTTGGCAGGGTCCAACACCCACTTCTTGAACTTCTTGGGAGCAGTGGGTACCATAGTGGGCACTCACAATGAGCATTGGACAAACCTTGTCCGGTTAGAACAAATGTCAAGTTCAGCCCTTCGTGCTGCAGACAGCAAGTAATATACTGGTAGAGCAGACCTAACACAATACTCCAAATATGCATTCATGCTTTAAAGATAGAGATTCTAATCCAATCTATGATACTCCTGTCATCTGATCTTTGGCACCGCTAATGTTTCGAAGATGATCTGAGGTTGTCCTTGTCATCACCGATACAATTAGAAGTAGTCCAGCTTCCCGACTGGAAAAGACCGTGACACTTGTGATCGCCATCCTCAGACGCCCATCAACGGATATTCATGCACATTCCGATACGATGCTTTGTGAATCGTGAAGATTTGGTCCGATATAAAAATCCCTCCCCCTCGATCATAATGAACGCCATAAGACCATGATGCATGGTTAAGGGCTCCGTCTGTCTGTGCGCATCGCATCGAAACAAAAAATCCGAAGTGAGTCCCGGAGTGAAGTATAATCTGCCGCTCCGAAAAATGGGGTCCAATCACATCGGCTAATAGCCGCTGCTCCCAGGGTCTAGGGGTTTGGTAAGAAGGGTGTTGTTGTGTGGCAGGAGAATGAAATTAGAAGAAGCGAGAATAAGAAGCGAGAAGCGAAGCAGAAGTCGGAGCAGAAATAGGGGGAAGAAAAAGCAAACCGAAGCAGAAGCCGAAGTAGAAAAAGGAGGAAAAACAAGCAAAGCAAAACCAAACTAGCACGGCAGAGGCGCAAAAAGAAAAAAAGAAACATCTCGACTCTTTGACGGTGTGACTTCGGAAGCGAGCCGTGGCTGAAGCAGTACGACATCTCCCGAAGCTCTAGCTTGAAGCCGATGAGGGCCGGCGTTTGGTGGTGGGAAAGCAAGCAAGTGAGATTCGCCTCCAAACTTAAACCAAACTTCGCCAAAGGCCAGGCCAGGCCCGGCTTCGAACTGCATCCCCAGTCAAGGAAGGAGTGGTGAAAAGTTTAAAAAATCCATCATCCGATCATTGGACTTGGAGTCTTCTGCGAGCCGGCCGGTGGGAGATGCTCAGATGGGATCGTGGATGGATCTCGTAGAGAATACATGGGCACAATTAGGTCCAACGGACAAACCCAAAAACAGGTGATTCCGATATCCATCATCATCATCATCCTCCTCCTCCTCCTCCTCTTCCTCCTCCTCCTCCTCTTCCTCCTCCTCCTCCTCCAATTCTTCTTGAATTCTCCAGGACTGCCTGGCGCGCGCTTGCTCCGCCCCTCCCACCCTTCTCAAACCAGGCTTTTGTATGCCAAAAACGTCCCAACTTCACAGGATCCATCCCATTTGCTGGTGAAACCCATCGCTGATTTTCCTGCTGGGGGCAACGTGGAATGCTCGGGGATCTGTCACCAGGATAGACGCGCGAGTGGCGACGTTGAAGCGACGAAATGCTCCTGATTCCCAAAATCCTAGCGCCGGTGGATGCCGTCGCTCTGAAGTGGGCCCGTCGAAGCGAGGATCAACACTGGTGGAAGTTTTGGGCACGATGGGGCCGACTCTGTACGGAGGTAAAGCTGGTGGAGCGGTCTTTGGGTCTGGTCCACTGGTCATCTCATCCCCTTGGTCGAAATCGCTGAACTCGGTCACCGCACGCTCTTGGGCCTTCGGGATCAATTTGAGCTTATCGGTACCAGAGAGACTCACCTTGCTTCTGTAGGGCTGAGACGTTTAGGAAGTCGGGAAACTGCATCCAGGAAAACAGAGGCAAATACGCGGGCACACCGCGCCAAGCAGTGTATGGAGCTCTGTACAATTTTTCACTGGCCTAGTCTCTCGAAGTCTGAAGCCCCGACTTTTTCCGGAAACAATGGCAATCATCACGATGGATCATGGGTGGCGGTGAGTTGGAGTCTTTGTGGTTGAGGGAAAAGCTCGCTTCAGACATGGGAGTACCGAGTACTTTTCTCGACTTCGTCTGATCTCAGGCAATCTTCCATGTGCCTTTCCGTTTCTACCTTCGGCACAGCGGGAGGGTCAGTACATCGCTTGGGACCTGTCGTGTCTCTCTGGCCGTCGAGGTGGATGATGTTTTTGGAAATCGATAGGACGCGGCATAGAATTTGGTCTTCGCCATCGTTCGATGGATTCTCGAGGTCTGTAGGAAACCGCTTTTGGTGTCGTCCGAACTCTTGCAAGCACTAGTGCGGTACTAGTAGCGTAATCCTTCGTATTCCTCCACGTACTGTTGTACTTTGTGCAGCTGGAGGACTCGATACTGTGAGTTCGGATGTGACTTGGTCCCCCAATGTGCATGTGGCGAGGTCTCACCGTCTCACAAGATTCTGCAAGTCCCTCCTCTGCGTAGTACCTAGGCAGGTACACGGAACAATTTAGGGACAATTTGAGGAGAGATGACAGGAGGCGGGTCGCTGAGGCAATAATCTTAATCTGATGGAGGGCCATCCTCTGCCACAGAAAGAGATTTCCCAAAAGAAATTGTTATGGTACGACACTCGTCAACTCTGAAATTCGTTCATTTTGATCTTCACTCCTGGGTGCTCAAAGCGTTGAAGAAACGGTGGAACACTAGTGAATACACTCAAACATGCAACCGCGGAAAAAATATTTGGAACATTCGACATTTCATCACCAGTAGCCTATCCAGGCATTGTGCACAGTAGGCATGGGAGTCTCCTGCCATATTCAAGACTTCAATCCACAAAAGTACCTTTGGCATAGCTTCATTCTTAGAAGCTGCCCTTTTGGGACGACGCCCTACTAACACGTGCTCACCCCGCAAGCCACGATGTTCCAGAAAATGCAAGAATTCGCAATTTCAAGGTCTCCCTTGCGAGAGCACAAACTCGTGAGCATTACTTTACTTGGTGTTTCCCAACGACAATTACACTTTTCCTCGTCCTTACTATTCTTGTATACTACCACCACACTCAAGACTTGCAAGGAGTGCGTCATATTTTTCTTTCGTTTTACTTTTCTTGTTTTCTTCTTTTGGGTTTCAAAGCCAAGAATACGGTAATGGCAATGGCGATGGCAACGTTCTGTTGACATACGATAGCTCATCGAATTGCGGTGATTGGATCAACAAGCCCATGTGATCTGTGGTAGGACGGATTTTCGTGGGAGTGAGCAGGTACCTAGTACGTACCTGATTCTGAGAATGGGTTATGGCATGCAGTCCAATAATGCCTCATGTCAGCAATAAACCATGTCCTTGAAGGTATCCCCAGACTCCGGGACTATGCTCATGATTATCAGATTACTGTACCTATATCCCCAGATTCTCTCATGCCATCCAAATCAGGCCATCGACAAATCCACGATGTGAAAATCTGGAACGGCCTAATCTGTTAAATCACGACGACACGAAACCATAGCTACCCCTTCAAATCTCGACTTTTTTTTCTTAGTATGATTTTCTCAAATGCCCCCATCGGCTTCTCTAAGATACTCCGTGTTGTCTCCAGTGCCACCCCACAACCGTGCAGCTTCACCCTGGGGGCCGCAAAGCTCACTCTGGTTACTCAGCACCCAAGACGTCACTTGCAGGACATCGCTTGCGTTGCCGAGAAAAGGGGGCTGCCGAGAGGCGCAGAAAAACCCACAGCATGTGTTCCTGAGTTGACATTCGAGTGCCGCTGTTTGGTGGGGTTATCAACCATGCATCATCATTGTGGCCACCGAACAACCTGTCATTTCACAAGCCGTGACGAGGCAAGGCAAATGTTCCATGTAGTGTGAACATTCGACCGGTCGAGCTACCTGGCTCTGGTAAGAATACTGGTGAGTCAAGTCCACGGGAGTGAGAGGTGAGAGGTGAGAGAGGGGGAAAGCCCCAGCTCCTTCTCTTCGTCCTCCCACACAAGTTACCTACCACCCCCCTCAAAACCCAGAACCCCCATTGTGCATTGTGGCTGCTATTCTTTCTGGCCCTTACAGACCTCATTAACCGGAAATTGAGGGGCCATGTTCCTTCTCCCCGCTACCCCTGTATGTTGGTTGGTCGACGGTCGACGAAATGGGATTGTTGGAATTGTTGAATAAAAGTCCCCAAAAGGGCTCCGGTTCTAGTCTCTTCGAGTCTGAGTCTTCACAATAGTCTTCCGAGTCTTCAGAGTCTTCACCTGGTTCCCAAGCCGGTTGACAACAGAAGCAGCCGAGATGCTTGCACGTACCTGCCTTGTTGTTCATCCTTTTGGGCGTTGATCATTGGGTAACCTTGACTAAAAATTCGCTCCCAACTCGCTTGAAGCCTTCCCTGGCTCGATAAGACGCAGACGCAGACGAGGCTATTTCTGCCACGCCCCTGAGCATGAGCATGAGCATGAGCATGAGTGTGAGCGTGAGCGTGAGCGTGAGCATGCATCCCATCTCACCGTTGGTCCGTTGCGTCGTCCCTCCTCCGCAATGAGGACAAGCTACTGCAAAACTTTTCTTCGCCATCACGGCCGACTTCACACAGCAAACTCTGCCAAGAAGCAGTGGCCGGCGTTGGTGCGCTGAATTCCGATAGGGCAACCAAAGGTCGAGAAACGGACGACCCTATTCCGAAGTTTACTCCTCCGCAGCTTACGGAGAAGGGCTTCCTGTATGTATACTGGCCAGCCCTGCCAAGGTTACACCGTTGTATCGATGTACCGTTGTACCGTTGTACCGTAGCTCAAAACTGTGGTGCTTCTTGGCTCTGGCTCTGGCTCTGGCTCGCTTCACCGATGTTGCCCAGAGATGTCACTTGTTTTGGAGGAATCTGAAATTGTCTACAGAATACTTTCATGGCTCGTCGCTTGTCGCTTGTCAAGCCGGACCTGGAATGATATTTGTCTGAGCTTCTAATCGTTGCCCGGTACTTTACTGGAGGTTTATCTCCGATAACCTTAAGCCCTTCAACACAAGGGATGACTTATCGCTCCTGAAACTCAGATTCAACGTCATGCTCGTGGGGATCTCCGCAAGGAATGTCCAGCCTTAAACCCCGCTGAGGAAGGCTATGTTTTTTATACATAGAAGTCTCCTTCAGCCTCCATAATTAGTACTTTTGCCAACTTCAAGTGCTTCTAGGATTGCCCTTGGAGCTCATTATGTCATGCTGTCAAATAGCCGACTGCCAACCCCAGTTTGTCAAAGATTCAAAAAGCAGGTTCAGTCAAGTAATAGACTCTCGGAGCCTGAAACAGGCACCACCTTACAGATTCCGATGCAATTCAGTTAGGCCTTGGCGGGTTTTCTGCCCTATATCCCCCTCCCTCGTTCGGACGATTCGGTGTTTCTGGTTTGGCGTTAGCCAGGGAAACATCCACACGATGTTTTGATTGGAGCGGCAAAAGGGGTTTAGGGTTTCTTGCCACTACACAAAAGTCTAATACAGCCCTCCGAGGATGTAGTTCGCTGGGTATTGCTGTCTAGTTCATCATTGTTTGTCATGCCGGTCATCCTGCAGATCTCAAAATACCTGTAGCATTGCGCGATGCGAGAAACATGTAAGACATACTGTAACGTCTTTTTTGAGCAAAACCTCGTACTTTAAAGTACGGAATTGGTCCCTCAAACAAACAAAACAGCGCGGAACTATTGACTGAAATAATTCATTGAAACTATCAATAAGTTCTAGGATAAGAAAACCACACGTTGTCTCTCGGCCTGAAAGTCAGACGTCTCCCACGCAATTCGGTACTCGGATTCCCCAAAATTTCCTAAACCAGCTATTACTTGAGCTGAAATCTCCCTGGTTAAAAACAAGCCTAGATCCCCGGTACTTCCGTCCAAAGGTCTGTGGTTGAAAGTACCGAAGTTCCTCAAACTTTTCCCCAAGACTTGGCTCCATTCAGCCAAATCTCTGGCTAAGAGCCGGTCACCCATCAGCCTTGTTTCAACCACCCGTTGACCCCAACTTCTTTTTCCCATCACACTGCCTCATCGCAAACCCAAAAAGGTTCACCCGAAGTTCACAACCTGCATCTTGCAGATAAGGTCCTATCCAGGTAATCCAGCCTCAATTCTGTCTACTTGTGGTTAGGCTATGTCATACCTCTCAACAGAAATCCCAATTTGAGACCGGCTGCTTAGATCGGGCCTTCAGAGTATGCGGCTCGCGTTCCATTTGTGGATGATACATTTCTGATTTGGAATTTTAGCTGCGTTCTTTGTTTGGCAATGGGACATGTGAGGTATATACAGTCACGATGCTCGAGTGGCACCTGAGCAATTGTTCCCTTTTTTTTTCGCCTTCGACAGCAAGTGAGGTTCGGCACAGCCGGCACAGCCGTTCGGACGAGTTTGAGAAGTAGACCGATAAGGAGACAAACCTAATTCATGTTCGTGCTGTATCATCAAGAAACGTGTTGGGGTCGTGCGACTTTTCAGTAGCCGAACTTCGCGAAATGCCGGATAGTACCTTTGCGAGATGAACTGTATATTTCCCACGCGACCGAACATGAGTTTTGCCTGGGACATCAATGAATCAATTTACGTCACGGGTAGATAGATAGACCACTATCAGAATCCTTATACCCAGGACTACGTTCCTTAATCTCTCCTTTACCACATCTCAGTCTATACCTCTCTACAAATTGCCCCTCAATACAGATAGATGAGCAGTTCGCAGTGGAACCTAACTTTCTTATAGCATTTCATCGCAACTCCGTCCTTGGACGTGGTAAGATGGTTTATGGCAGATTGGACTTATGCTTATACCTGTCCCAGATATCTGGACATTGGAAAATGGGCGTTTTCTTGAATCTGGGGAGATCTACACACATACCAGAAAGTAATCAAATTTACAGAATGACAGTCTTATCTTTTCAACTTGTCTGTGCCGATAAACGTTCTCCCATTGCCGTTTTCTTACAAGGTAAAGAAAGTTCCTTCCGTCCCACGTTCTTCTCAAGGGAACCCTCCGCTCATCCATCTGCCCATAGGCAGTATCTCATCCCATCCCGAGAATATTCAACAAGCGCCAAAGAACATTCTCACGGCGGCCGGCCCGGGTACGTACGGCCTTTGTCCTCGAGTGGGGCAGATAGCTCCCGAATCTCCTCTCCTCTCAATCTCTATAATTTACTTCTCAAGACATTGACTCGTCAAAGCATGCCTCGTAACCTTCGCCCTCTAGTGCGGCCGCAAACCATGCAATATCCCTTTTCCATGTCCTTCTACTGTACCCGCCCCTTCTAATCCCGTTATCATACAGTAAATGAACCAAGAATGACTCCACTGTAGCTTCCCCGGACCCCGCTTCCTTCGACCTGCCGTGTCGTATACGCTGTTCCTTGCTTCGGCTCTGCTCTGCGATGCGATGCTCCCCTTGCACTTCTACTTCTGGTGATTTGATATCGTATTGTTGAGCTGCTGGCCTCGTGTGAACGCGTAGCCGATTGTCTTATGGGTAGCTGGCACGGCTGGCTGGTGGCTGCTTCCCTGTGGTTCGGGGAAAGGGTGAGGGTGATTAATCACTTCAAGGCTTGTGATCTTTTCGAGCTTGTAGGACTTGGGGAACGCGGTAGATGGGATTTGATGCCTTGAAACCTTAGCGAGATGATAGGGTGTTTGACTCATTGCATGATCTGGATGATCTATCTATGTTTCTCCAAGTCGCTACAGTATTCTACGATCTCAATCACAGATTGGAGTGAGCTTATGGTTCTTTTCAAGATTGATTATGGTTAGAGATGAACACAACAGTTTATACTCTTTAACTTGATCCTTACTGTACTGTACTTACATCTTGAACCTTCATCATGGAACTTTCCAGCTGCTTCACGCCTTCATTCTCAAAGAAGAAACCCACTAGCCGTATATGTATGTACTTCGTAGTTAGCTGGACACGACATGTATGTAATATGGATCTGATAGTGCCATGTGCGAATGAAATCCATCAAGCCACTCAGGAATTGCATCTCACGCCCCCCAATATATGCATGTTCAGAGCATCCACTATTTGCCTTCCACTCAATAGGACCAAGATTGAAATCCTGTGCTACTATTAACTTCTACGCCTCTTCTAGGATGATTCCATCATCGAATAAGGCAAAATTGAGAGGAAGTAATGGAAAAGAATGCTAACTGCTCTGTGTTTTTCTAAACAGTCAATCTGATAAAGTGCTATTTGACCACTGTCCATAGATCCAAATTATCACAAACTGAGAGTTGAGAACTCGCCCGAGACCTGTGGATGGAGTACTTTGATATGGTGGGTTTCTTGCATGTATTGATTTAGTGCAGTCAATATGAGCCTGACCAAGTTGAGCTTCGCACATCTGGCTGTCAGACATGCAGACAGACCGGCGTGGTGAAGTCTTTTCCGGATCCAGCTCTGTCATACACAGCATACACAGCAAAGAGAAGGGTGTAACTTACAGCCTGGGGAACGAGAGATGCTTGTTGGATCGGCATTTAGAATTTAGGGGTTGGGGAGTGGTTCTCTACCTCGGGATTGTCACTTCATGTAAGCTTGTCTACGTGCTAGACATTCATGTATCTGTTGGTCTATCATCAACACTGGAATACCTCACTTTCTAGCCACTGTGTTTCACGGATGCTAAAGTGACTGCCCTAACCATGTGCCTCCCTCGTGAAGCCGAAAAGGGTAGATGTACGTACAGTACGTGAGTTCAAAGTCTCCGTACTGTACATACATCACGAAGCACCATCACCTTCCTCTTCCACGCACCGGTATATGACTATCCACGACTATCACAGAGACAGAACAGGTGGAAGCTAGGGTGTGAATGACGATGGAGAAGTGAGCATGGTAGCGCGGTAAGGAATAATGCACAGAGGCGGCAGGGATGTAACTTCAAGGTATGGAGGGGCAAAGGAAAAGCTTCCGGGTGGAAGGAGAGAAATTGCTGGTCATCCTTTTATGCTGTATTCATTTGGGTATTGGCGTGGTGGATGGGCTTGAGTGGTTCTTCTGTTCTGGGGGGAATCGTCGCGGTGTGTGGGAGGTGTGGGGTAAGATCATATATTTGGGCGTTCCTTTTGAGATTCCTTGGAGGTTGGAGGCGAAGTATTTGTCATGCACGAGCAAGAGGATCTTGGTACTGTGAAGTTTGGGGACTTTGTTGTGGTGGTAATGTGTGGAAGTGTGAGGGCGGTGGGTGGTTGGGGTGTTATGTTCTGGGTTTTTACCCACCACTTTTTCTTCTGGTCACATGAAGTACTGTGAGGATGGGAGAGTGAATACGAGAATGAGGCGATATCAAGAGTGCTGAAATTGGATTGGTCTTGGAAGTATTGGGCGTCGCCAATCTTGGACTGTGAATTCTGGGTGATGAAAAGGGGAATCGTATGTCAATAGTGCGAGAGAGAAAACCGAAAAATTTCTCTACTAGACAACTAACCAAAGTGGATCATGTTTGTATATATAACCATCAGTCTACTAATGAGTTCTCGGTATTAGGAGGGGAAGGGACAGGGACGACTGGTGTTTATTACAGTTTCATCTACGGGCATCACGTATGACATAAGATTCCCTGAATCATGACTCAACCTTGAAATTACAAACAGTCCGTGGGATCATAGGGTATGATGTAGCCTAAGAATACAAAATACGATAGATGGATTTTATACGGTCAATGACATCGGGGTATACTTATAGTCTTACATCGGTTTCTAAGGCAGGAGAAGAAAAGTTCATAATTGTTGTTCGAATCAGCCTTGTATAAAGCGCCATATTAATTGAAATACTAGAGTACATCTGTGTATAAGATAAGGTTCTAATTTCCTGATACCCTGAAGTATTAGTCTCTTATCATTTCAACTGATTAGAGGCCTAGAGTTATAATGAATTACCTAGAAAGAGTAAGGCAAATAGTTTCAAAAGTTATTAACATTTTCTTATTAAATAGGGTTCTTAATACTTGTTCTTCTTGAAACGAATCTCTTACTTATCAATAGTATGTATATATGAATCACTACTTTCTTATCCCTTTAACTAATTACTAATCTTGTTAGTTAGACGAACTAGAAACAAGTAATACGTTATCTAATAATTCCATTTTCGAATTTCTAAATCTTTTTTTAGTAGGAGTACAGAATATTCTGGACTTTCTTTGAAAAGAAACGGAATAGAATGTTTTAAAGGGGACCTGGAATAAAAAGGGGGTCTAGATATTACATGTTACTTGGAGCCTCATAGGAAAAGGGGATATTGTTTAGCGGATTCATTACTAATTTTAATTTACTAAGCGAGAATATCCGGAAATTATTACAGACTCCCTCAGTATCACTCCGAGCTAAACAACATAGCATAGTATTATAGTATCCGATTCTTGTATGATAATTAAAAGAAGACACTGAACTTGAATTTAGATTTACGAGACATTTGACTTTTTTTTCTTTCAATCTTTTCGATTTGAGGGGGGGTTGAAGTGTTTAGTAAGGTGCCTAAGTTACCTGCCTATGATAATGCTATTAGATGGTTACTATAGTACTTAGATCAGCTCTGAATGAAATATGTCTTGGGAGGGAATCAGACGTCCAATCTTTAATAGATAAACGACTTGAAATAAATAATGCTGTACCAAGTTTTCCACCCTACAACGAAAAGTCAAGTCAATTACGAGAGTAGGAAACAATTTTTTCATTACTGATCCATTTCCATTCATTCATAAACCAATTTGGGTATGTAACATAGTAACCACATTATCATACAAACTCCAAAGCTCCGCGTATTCCACACACCTACGATTCCTCAGCCTCGAAACCATCCTGCATTGCCTCAGTATCCTCTTCACCCTCCGGTATATGCTCTAGCTCAGTCTCCATTGGTACGACTTCCAGCTCCGCTTCTGGAAGACCTTGCTGAGCTCTTACTTGGTCCACTTTGGACTTGGTCATTTCGAAAATATACTGTCCCAAATGCTCAACGTTTTCCATTTGCACCTGCCCAGGTACATCTACACCTTCTTCTTCGGCCAGGATCCTTTGGCTGGGAAACAACTCGCCAGTGACAAGTTGCAATTTATCAGGTCGCGCTAAGAGCAGATCGAAGGCCTGACGTAGTTCAAAGCAGGATTCGAAAACTTCCCGTCGACCGAGGATATACAGACCCAAGCGAGCTCGTGAGAGAGCAACTGTGAGACGACGGATATCACGAAGGTATCCGACACGAGATGTACGAGTCAAAGAGAGAATGACATCTGAATATTGTTAGTGTGATCCATAAGTTTAATGTGAAATACGTACAGTCGTTCTGCTCTCCTTGATACTTGTCAACCGTTGTGACAATTTTAGGAAGACCAAAAAGTGGGTTCTTAGCACATCTGTGACCTAAGACATCTTTAATCAGAGCTCGTTGACCAGCATACGTTGCTAATATTGATATCTTTTCGGCTGGGTAGCCTAAGAGTCGCATGTATTGGTAGATGGCCACGGCATATTCTGCCTCACCAAGATTCTGGATAAAATGCGGTGTTGGTTCAGATTCTCCTTTGCCTTTGTAATCATTGACCTGAATGAATTGGTAATCAAACTTGAAACCAGCGTTAGCGGCTTGAAATTCCGGTAAAGACGAGACCAGAGGTAGGTTGCCCAAATTTTTGTAACGCCACGAGTACAATGCTGCTATCGAAGGTCTAGCACGACCTTGTTGGTCAAGATTAATTGTTGGGACACCAAGACGGACCAAGCGAGAGAATAGAGACTGCTCCAGGTTTGCGTATTGACGGAAAGCGAGGTTCTGAATAACGGGGGAATTCTGAAAGTGGTCACCACATAGTATGACACGCTGCAATGGCATTTGTCCCTTTTTAGGACTTTGAAGTGCCAATGGAATAAAATTCTCAATCTCTGTGATCTGAGCTGCCTCTTCCATGACTACGTTGTCGTAGTGGAAACCAAGAGAAGCAATCTCTTGTCTTCTCATTGCTGCGTGGGTTGAGGTCATGGCGATGATTCGTGCTTCCTTGATAAGAAGATAATTCGATCTATCACGATCACGGCGTAAGATTTCGAAAGGTCTAACATCAGCAAGCTCAGTGAAGATCTTGCAAACATGGTGATAGCAACCGTTCGCAATGTCCAAGATGGTATCTTTGCTGACGTCAGGTGGGAAAAGTGGTTGTGGTGCATTTGAGAAGTAATTGTAAAATGGGAAAGCCCCCATGATAGTCTCCGGAGTCGCGTCTACTGTTTTGGCAAATTCTTCAAATTTCGTCCAAGCAGGCTCTACATAGACCGTGTTGAAATAACCAGCAGTTTCAGCAGAACTGCCGTGAGCCCCTGGGGCGTTGAAATTTGCTGCAAGTCTGTCAACTTCCCTCAAATAACCATCTCGATTTTCCAAGAAGGACTCTACACGGCCGTGCTTGCTAAAATTAGCCTCAGTATCCAAATCTTCCTCACCATGACCCAATCTCAAAAGATGACGCTCATCGATATCCAAGGCAACGATCTTTTGAAAGAGTTGATTAAGCGCCTGGTTGCTATGAGCAATAAGAAGTGTTCGCTGACTTGGGAAGTTGTGATATATATTGTTGATAATCTGGGTTGCGACATCCGTCTTACCGGTGCCTGGTGGTCCAACAATGACCGTCAGTCCAGGCTGTGTGCCTGAAATAATCGCATCGACTTGCGCAGGTGTGAATCGGATTTGGTTAAGTTTTGGTGCGTCCATCGGGTACGGTCCAGTATTTGCTGGCTTGTATGTTGAAACCTCAATAGATTGCGACTCTACCTCTTGTGGGGCTGGCTCTGCTGCGTCCCGGCGCCTCTTTTTAGATGGCTTCTTGGTTGGCGATTCGGCTACCTTGGAAATCGACTGGAGAACATATGGAGGCCCAAAACTTCCCTTCACGTCAAAACCAGGCTCAACCGATTTCCCAGGTAAGCTTTCTACCAGATGCTGCCAGTCAAGAAAAGTATCGCGGTAGTCTACCTGTTTGAGACGATTGGAGAGATGAGTATACGTCGCTCCGGCTGGATCTCCATAACCCAAGAATACTTCATGAAGCCAAGAGGCCAAAGGGATATCGGCCAAAGTCAAGCTGCGAATTGACTCCAGAATTGGGTTGAAGTTATTTTCGCCACCTTTGCGTCGCACTACCAAGTTCATACATTCGTAAATATCGGGTTTGCCTTTGGCCACCCGCTCCATATCTTCTTTGTACATGGCTGCGTCAAGCTTCACCTGCAGACGCCTTATGCGGGGACGTCCATTTCCGTTATTCTGGCCATTCTGATCCCTTACCATGCGACCTTTGTCGTCCAGCACTTGGGTGACTTCGGCTGCTCGGAGATATTTGAGACCTATACGTTGTGCATCGGAAATTGTACCACCACCGTTAGTAATCAATTTTGGATCATCTGGTGCATGCACGGCCAGCAGGAATATTACGTCGTTTTGACGGAATTGATCCCATTCTCTTCGAATGTTGTCCGCTAAGCGGCTGACGTCTAGCGTAATTTCAGCGCGAATAGCCGAAGGCTTATCATCACCAACAAGTGCTGGTACCACTTCCATTATCCTAAAATCATGTCAGACATGTCATATGTGGGTAATGCTAAGAACTTACGCAGGTTTGGTGATAGGCAAAGCCATTTTGGAAAACCCATCAAAAGATGTCTGCCCATTTCGGCCTTGGGATGGCCGCAGTCTCTTAATGGTGTCTTCCACATGTTTACGAATCTCATAAAATGATTCACAGCGATGGAGGATGAACGATCTCCAGAGAAAATCGCCAACTGTAAGGTATTGAAGATTGAGTTTAGGGATAGCAAGAGGCTGGGATCCGTCGTAGTTGTCGTTTCTCAACAGGGCAGGCTCAAAAAGCGTCAGCTCCGTTGGCAACACGCTTAAATCACGTGCCGTCTCCTGAAATGTTTTACGCTTTTCGTGTCCAGAGAGGAGAACCTCGGTAAGGAATTGACGGTCAGTGACAACTTTGGTAGGAGCCGGATATGAAGTGCGGAAGTCCAACAAGGTGCATAACTCGATAATTTCGTCGTCAGAGAGAGCTTTCAGATGGTCCTCGAGCTCTGTGCGTTTATCAATCGAGCCATAATTAGACAGCGCAAGTACAGTAAGTTTCTCTTTGAAGTGTTTGAGGGATACTCGCTGGAGTGAAGCCAGCGTAGCACAATGAAGCTCGTAAGCCGTCGTGCGAGAATGCTGCATTCCGGTAAAGTCGTCTATGGCGAAGTACGTGTAATGCTTGAGTAAGGAATACAAATCCCTCACAAGTCCATTGTCCTCGTCGTTGAAAACCGGAGACATGCGGATTACAGATATGATGTTTAAGTCTTGGAGGAGAGTGTTGACATATCTTCTTGTTGGCAACTGACTCTGTAAATCGGAAAGAAATTCCACAAACCGCTCGCAGTAAAGTAACTCATCTACCGAAATTGTTAGTGTAGACTTCTCAGAAATTATCGTGGTACATACCTGGCTTGCTTTTCTCATTGTACAGCTGATTGAAAAAATCCAGTATTAATGTAAAGAGCCAGGAGCGTTCAAATCGCAATCTAGGCTTAACTGCATTATCAGCAGCATCATATCGTTTGGAAGCAGCCCTCCAGGCCTTCCGGAGTTGCACAGTTTGATCAAGCTTGCGCTCTCTCTTCTTTTCATCTGAAATATTGTGCCATATGGAAATGGAAACAAGAGGGGCGCATTCCTTTCTTACTATCCCACTATCGAGTGATTGAAAAGCGCTGATTATGAAGGAGAGAAGGTGAGTTCGGATGGTAGCGGAAAGTGTAAAATCCAAGGTCATGGATAGTATGCGGCGGAACAATGAGGAGAACTCGGAAGCGTTGTCGGTAAATATATCTACAACCTTGATTAGTATAAGGTGCGACTAATTGCCCAATCAAGCTTACCCCATGTTGGCAGATGCTCCCGAGTTTTGACATTGGTGATTAGAACAATCAATATAACATGAAAGTTCGTGGAATCCTCCGTATAGCCTGGCCATAAGTAACTGTGACTGGATTAGTATGGAAGTCAACATAATAAATACGGCCGAAAAGGTGGCATACCTCTCCAAGGTCTGCAGATTTTCTAGCGGCAAAAGACTCTTCAATGCAAAGTTATCCTTTTCCAATATCTCCCAAATCTCCGAGATGTCCTTGACCTTTACTTTCGTACTCGTGGGCTTTTTGGCGGATCGCTTCTGCCATAACTTCTGCGCCAGCTGCACCAAAACCGAGCCAGCATCCTGCACCGCAGCCTCTGCCGGACCACCTTCCTCAACCTTCGCCTTGTGAATCGCTGCGCTGGTTTTCGTCTTCCTCGGCGCCATTGTGGTGTTGAAAGCGAACAATCGGCGCGTGAAGGGAATTTCGCGGTTCGTGGTTGTCAAGGCTGCACGCGCGGGAAATATATTCATGCCTTGCGCCGCCGCCTTGTCCTCCTGCCTTGCTTCCGCGAACCTAACCTTAAATGTCCACCACACCTCAGCCTTCTACTCTGCAACACAACCAAAAACTATCGATACCCACGGCGGTCGTCGCGCACAAGATCAGAACACCTTAGCTACCAAGATGGCTGGCCAGGGAGTGCAGGCGGTTGGCAAATTCCGAGAACTCCTCGAAGAGCTGCTGCAAGAGGCGGAAGCAGCCAAACCAAACGGCCTCATCGAACCACCCTTGAACAAAGACGACTTGGGAGATATATCCGAACGTGTCAATTCAGTTTTTCTGCCTGTTACGTCGCCCGAAGTTAGAAAACGAAGCCAGTATGCTGTCGTCGAAACCGCAGCTCGAGACACGTTCAACGATCTACTGGTGAGCCGCGCATCTCATCGAGGCAAGGAACATATCTGACGGACCATAGGCCACTACGACAATAGATACACCAGAGTTTATGAAGCTATGGCATCTCTTGGACATCATCTCGATCCTTTCTGACGACGAACAATGCGACCCTGCCCTTTACTTTTGGTTGGTGGAGGAGCTCCTGGATAGTCAAACTATCGCAGCATGTCGAAAGGTGTTCGACTTTTTAGAGTCGCGACGAGATATTATTACGGCAAAGCAATTCCAATCGAAACAATTGGTCATACTTCGGAGTTGCAACGAACTGCTTCGTCGCCTTTCTCGAGCCGAAGATACCTCATTCTGCGGAAGAGTGTTTATATTCTTATTTCAGAGCTTTCCCTTGGGCGACAAGAGTTCCGTCAACTTGCGTGGCGAATTCCATACCGAGAACACCACCGTTTTTGACGAAAATGCATCAAAGGGAAGCGACTCGCAGACTATGGATGTTGACACGGAAATGAAAGTGAATGGGTCCATGCTAAAGGTTCCACCCAAATCAATAGACAGAGCAAACGGTTCAGCTGGTAGCGCAAAGGATGTTGAGCCATTGACTGCAGATAAATTGTATCCGATATTCTGGTCACTACAACAGAGTTTCAGCCAACCAAAAACTCTCTTTGAGAAAGAACCGTTCGATCGATTTAAAACTGGGGTGGAAGCTACAAGGGTGATGTTTCAGGCGGTACAAAATCAAAGTAGTAGTCGTCCCACGCGATCACCACCCTCATACGACAGCAAGAGAGGCACGAAGCGAAAGAGAGGGGAAGGCGATGATGATCTGGCCAATGCGTTTAATCCGAAATACCTCACCAGCCGAGACCTATTTGAACTCGAGGTAAGAACAATCGACTATGGAGGCTACTTGAACCTTGCTCATTCTTGTTCAGATTAGTGATTTGTCCTTCCGAAGACACATTCTCGTGCAAGTTCTCATTGTAGTGGATTTCCTGCTATCCTTGAGTGCTGCCGCCAAAGAGAAATTAGCTAAAGCTGAACCCGCCAACCCGAACAAATCTGTCATGTATGAAAAACAAGTTCTTAGCGAAGATGATGTAAGTCAATTTGATCTTTTGTCTAGATTCACGCTAATAATTCTCCAGACAAAATGGGCGGAGGCTACTAAATCTTCTGTTCTCGACCTTTTGAAATTGGGGCTCGATGGTCCTCACTTTCATCGCATGGTCGAATCTGTTATCGCAAGAGACAAGAATTGGGTCAGATGGAAGATTGAGAATTGTCCTCCAATAACCAAACCAGCGATTGCCCCTGAAGAATACGTATCAGTGAAAAATGACGCCCGCAAAGCCACCACGAATAAACGACTTCGTCTAAATCCTCTCGGCTCTTTGAACTTGAGATTCCTGACGGAGAATAACGCCGAGGCCGGATTAGAGCGTCTGAAGGACCCCTCAAGGTATCAAATTCCTTCCGTCAAAAGCTTCAAAAGCAAAATGGAGCTCGACGATATGGACATCGAGATGGCGCAAGACGGGTCAGAAGAGAAGAGCGCAGCTGTTGAATCAAAGGCCAGCAAGAGTTGGAGAGCCTTGCGTATTGCCAGTGCCTCTAAGCTTGTTGCTTTCGATAAAATTGAGCGCTCAGACAGCATTGATGAGGTGTTTCTTGATCACGTGAAAGTCAAAGAGCCCGTTGCCAATACTGAGGAGGAGAGCGCTGAAGTACCGATATATCCAAAAGACCGCCGACCGATCATACTTGCTGGGTAATTTTCTATAAAAAAAATTCAAAAAGATTGTGCTAACCCTTGTTAGACCCAGTGGCGTTGGCAAATCCACGCTTCTTAAGCGATTGATTGCAAAATACCCAAAGATCCTGAAGAGAAAGGTTTCGCATACTACTCGTGCTCCAGGAGCGGGCGAAGTAGATGGTAAGGATTATAACTTTATCACGAAAGAAACCCATACTATAATGCGCGATGGGGATCAATTCTTGGAGTATAATTGCTACAACGGAAACGACTATGGTACTAGCCGAAAGCTGGTGGAGAGTATTATCGCCGAAAACAAAGTGCCTCTGATGGAGATGGAATACCATGTAAGTTCCTTGTCCTCAGATACTCGGTTTCTCGTCTTGTCAAGAATAATCATACTAATTGAACCACCAGGGCATTCAGCAAATAAAAGACAACGGTTTCGATGCTCGCTTCATTTTTATTGCCCCAACCAATATGGCAGAATTAGAGCGTCGCCTACGATCACGTGGACTACAGGATGATGAAGAAATCAAGGGGAGGCTAAAGATCGCAGAGGATGAAATTCAACAGTCGGCTGTTGAGGGGAGCTACGATAAGATATTCATCAATGACGATCTTGACGCGACCTACGATATATTGGAGGATTATATTTTCAATCACACAGTTCAGGGAGAGGAACAGAACGGCGAAGTTTCGGAGGCACAATGATACCCCAAATAATGTTTGTATAATAAAAACCAAGGCGTTTTGAGCCTTGTTAGTGGCTAGCTGTTGTGGCATTTAGACGCATGGTATTTCACCACATTCAAAATGTATGCTCGTCGTAAACATCAAAAGTGACACTGTGTAGCGCTCTTTGATTCTGCCTTTTCAGGGCGACTATTCCAAAAGCTTCGAGTAATTCAAAATGCTAACTTAGGTTAAGTTTATCTTGTAGATGTTATTACTATAGCTTAAATGTTGTTAGGATATCAAGTATCGGGGAAGAGGGTCTAATGGCAGGTTTTTATAATAGGAAATATTAGGTTTGTTTAGTAAGTTCTAGGAGATATATAAAGACAAGATATTAGTAAGAATATATAAAAATTTATAAACTTCGAAACATCGGGCGGCTTATCTTATTAATCGAGGTTTTGAGAATAATATAATTTATTCTTTTGACCTACGCGAGTCTCTATAGAAAATATAAAGAGGTTTACTTATAGTATAGCTCTTAATAGTTAGTAGTTATAAAGTCTCCCCTATATCTCTAGAATATTAGATAATAATAATTAATTTCATAATGAGAAGGGTTCAGAGGTAGGTATTACGCAAGTACTTAGGGGCTTATTACGTATAATTATTATATTTTAGGATGGAACCTAAGAAGCTAACCCATTTGTGATGCTTATTTCTAGGTTCGTTGTCTATTACAAGCTTATATTCCGCCCCTGAACTCTCTCTTAAAACTTATAACCAGGGTTCTTCGGCCCTCCGAAACTTTTCTACCTCTCTTCTAACCTTGATAATTCCATTAACCTTCAAACGCTATGTTACTAGGAGAATGGCCGATATTTAGAATTATGTTCCAACCAAAGACTGTTTCCCAACGAAGAGAAATCCATACCAACCCCCTGATTCGCATATCTCCATAGAAAACAAACCTCAAAGTTGGGGTAAACATTTCCAAACTCCGACACATCCCGGGCCGCATGCAGTCTGCAGATTCGAAAGGTGGGGATGGCGCATCGGAGCAAACACCTATCGTGAATAACAATGACCATCTCCTGATTCCCTTCTTTCAATTCTTCATCTTCATTGGTAGCGGTTCTTCGCCCGCTTCTTATCAGTCGTCTGCCCGCATCCGTGGGTATCAGCCTTGGTGGGGGAAGCTCTCCCTTGTCTTTTGAGCGTACCACTAGAGGCTTGATAGACAGGTTCTTAGGTCATTGGGATGACATGGAGGATTGTTGGTGCTTGTATTTTTCTGGAGTAGGGTATTTAAATTGTGTTCTTACTCTACTTGTAATCCTCTTTCCGAAATCTTGACTTATTTCATTGTTGGGTTTACACTTTGAGAAATTCGTTCATACCTACAAATTCAAGATGTCTACTCCTTATCACCTCCCCGATGACATTTCAAAGGTCAAACCATTCGAGTGGGATGACAAGTATGATTTCCCCCGCGATCTTGTCGGGTACGGCGAGAACTCATTTAACCCCCAATGGCCCAACAAAGCCAAAATCGCAGTCTCGTTCGTGATCAACTATGAAGAAGTAAGTCTCTATACTCCCACTTGCACATCAATCTCTGACATCATTGAAGGGCGCAGAACATACAGTACTTAATGGAGACGTCCATTCCGAAACACACCTGTGGGAAGCAGCCGGTGCTGGGTTGAAGATCCAGGAGAGAGCAGTCAATATCGAGTCTGAATATGACTATGGATCCAGAAGCGGGGTGTGGCGTCTCTTTCGTCTTTTCAATAAGTTCAATTACAAATATACGCTTTATGCTGTGGGAAAGGCGATTGAGGATAATCCAGCGGTGGGGATTTCTTCGGTGAAGAATGGTCATGATGTTGCCTCGCATGCTTATAGAGTAAGTGACTTCCCCTCCTCTTCCTGAATCAAAACGGGCATTCATCGTCTCGGTTCTCAACTACTATTGAACGACCAAATCACAGTACTGATTTACTGCAGTGGATTGATTATGCCGATATGTCAGTAGAGCAAGAAAAAGCCTACATCAAGAAAGAAATCGAAACGATTCGCGATATCTGCGGCGAACCACCCAAGGGATGGTATTACGGCCGATTATCCAGTAGATCTCAAGCTCTAGTCTGGGAAGTCTACAAAGAGATGGGTGTCCCATTACTTTGGGACTCGGATTCGTATGCAGACGATCTACCATACTGGGTCGACGTCCCAGCCGAAAAAGACGAGCCTGAGCCAAAGGGAATGCTCATGATTCCATATAGTTACGGTCAGTCCCTGCCTCTCTTTATCTGATGATACGTTTTGCTCACACATCCTAGATTGCAACGACTACAAATTCAACGTGCCAACCGGATTCGGCGGGCCCAACGATTTCTACGACCACGTTAAGAACGCATTCGACACCCTGTACGAAGAGGGGATTGATGGCTCACCGAAAATGATGACCATCGCTCTGCACTGTCGCTGTATCGGGAAACCAGGACGCTTCATGGCTTTGAAGAAGATTGTGGAACATATTTCTTCCAAGCCGGATGTTTGGGTGGCTACGAGGACGCAGATTGCGGAGCATTTTAGAGAGAAATTCCCGTATGAGAAGGGGTTTTTGGCTCCGGGGGTAAGGAGAGCTGAGGCTCCTAATATGACTCCGAATGCGTGGCCGGCGCATAAGAGTCCGCCTGTGTAGTTGGAGATGTGAGGTTGTAATGGATTATTATTATCTTAATTATTTTTGGTGTGGTTGTCTTGTGCCGCTTGTCTCGTTCTCTCGTTGATTCTCGTTCCTTGACTTCTCCCTTTCTGTTCCTCTTTTCCTCTTCCCCAGATTTTTTTGAAACCCCTCTATGAAATAGACGACCATCTTTTCAAAACACCCTCAGCCCCGTCAACTCTATTTTAAACCACGTAACAACATCCGATCCTCCATCTCAAATTTCCAAGTAAAAATCATTATTCTGTTTGGTCCCAAGTCAGAATACACTCATACTTCTATCCAAGGACTAATTTAGGATATACATACCATAAATCTCATGTATTGCATTATATTATAACCTCCCCCAATTTAAAAAAGACATTCGCATTTTCCAACACCGAGTACTCCGCACCGTTCGTGAGGTGAATAAGGATAAAGAGAATGATGCTGAGGATGGAGAGTGGGTAGAGCATTTTGGAAGGAGGGTCGGATACTGTGGTGTATGTAGCGGGGTACTGTACTGGCTCTAGATTGAAATCCCGAATTTTTCGTAGCAGAATGTGTCGCTCTGAAGAGAAAAACTTATGAGGGAGACATAGACAAAGATATACCTCTCCAATTCGCCTCCCAATAAAAAAACCGTCATGTCAATTACGATAGCCGAGATGATAGTAGCCTTGCATAACACCTAATTAACGTGCCAATCCCCTCACCTGCCTCGGCAATGGCAAAACGCAAAACTCTATTCCAGACCCACCTCATCATGGGATATAAAATTGATTGTGTAACAGCTTCATCTACATCATAGCACACCTACTCAGTGACCTCCAACTTCTACAACGCAACATGACAAACCGATTGCTAATGCGTACAGTTAGCAAGATCACCAAAAGTATGACTCGCAGACACAAGGATCCGATTTGGGACTTTTCGGAACAGCGATGAGAACCCACCCTACGATGTGGACCCCTCTTGTTGATAAGCTTATCAACTAAAATGGAAGCTGCAAAATCAGGTACGGATCCCGACATGCTTGTCGGCAGATTGCTGCCTATGATGCGGATCGATGAGCGTCATGGAAACTTGATGGATGTGGTTATGTGTATCGCGGGGGTTCAATACATGGAAGTAGTGGGGTGAGTAGTATTCATTGATATCTTCGACTTGAGAATAATCCCAAGATATCTGTTTGAAAGAAATCCCTTCTCTTACCCAAGTATATCCTTTATTTCTGAATTTACAAAAAAACAAAGAAGAAATCATCATAATGGCTTCAACATCCCCAACACCCGAATCCCTCCTCCCAGGAAACGGCAAACCAAGCAACCCCACCGCACCCCGCGGTCCCTCATCCAAACTCTTCACCCCCCTCACAATAGGAAACGGAACCCTCCCCCTCACCCACCGAATAATTCTCGCTCCCCTAACCCGCAATCGCGGGACCCCTCAAAACACAAGTCCTGAACCAAACTCCCCAAACCGAACATGGCTTCCCAACACCTTAATGAAAGAATACTACCTCCAACGCACCACACCCGGCGGCCTCCTAATAAGCGAGGGCATCCCCCCAAACCTCGAAGGAAACGGCATGCCCGGCGTCCCAGGACTGTTCTGCGCTGAACAGGTTGAAGGATGGAAATCCGTGGTCGCAGCTGTGCATGCGAGGGGAGGATTCATGTATGCGCAACTCTGGAACGCGGGACGGGCGTCGATTCCGCAACATACTGGGATGCCGACTATCTCTGCGAGTGCGACGCCCTATGAGGGCGATGAGGTGTATCCTCATCCCCCGCCTGGGAGTGCGGTGCAAGTGAGGTATCGAGGTTTCCCGCCTACGGCTTTGGACCAGGAGGGGATTGAGCGTCAGATTAAGGATTATGTACGTGCTGCGAAGCGAGCTGTAGAGGATTGTGGGTTTGATGGTGTGGAGTTGCATGGTGGGAATGGGTATTTACCTGAGCAATTCCTTTCCTCGAATATCAATGTAAGGACCGACGCGTATGGAGGAACGCCAGAAAATAGATGTAAATTCGTACTGGATCTTGTTGATGCGCTTGTGGAGGCAATTGGCGAGAACAAGGTGGCAATCAGACTAACCCCCTTTGGAATGTATAATCAAGCGAGAGGAACGGAAAGACTGGAGACGTGGGGACATTTGTGTAGAGAGTTGAAGAAGAAACATAATTTGAGCTATGTACATTTTGTCGAGCCGAGATATGAGCAAGTCTTGAGTTTGAAGGAGAAGAATGAATGTAAGAATTCTCCTCTCCCTTATTCGATCGTTACTAACACACCTCCAAACAGTCCTCGAATCTTGGGGCTTCTCTGATATCGACCTCAAGTTTTTCCGTGATATTTTTGGAGATACCCCATTTTTCAGTGCTGGTGGATGGAACGACCAGAACCTCTGGGGTGTCTTGGAAGAAGGAGCGTATGATGCATTTGCTATTGGACGACTATTCCTTAGTACACCAGATATTGTAGAAAGATTGAAGAACGGCAATCCTTTGAATGCTTATGATAGAACGCGGTTCTACGGCCCATTTCCGGAGCCTGAGATTGGATATACGGATTACCCTACTTGGGAGGAAGTCCAAAAGTCTGGAAAGGAAATCGCTTAGTGTAAGCTTGGATGGAATGGGGCGATTGGAGTAAACAACAATGGAATACACTTGTATAACCGAATAGACAGAACCGCCAAAACGACGGCATGAAATACCGTACTACTGGGACGAGGTCGAGGAAGAATGAGCGTTCTAGTTAGAAGGATAGATAGTTTCATGTGTAAGATCTTACGAGTAAGAGAGATGGAAGAATACCTAAATAGAAAAATAGATATGAGATGTATAAAGATTTACCAAGATGTGTGCAGTCTTCGAAAAAAAAATACTCAACTATTCAAGTACTACTTGGGTTACTTGATATAGAGACTAGAGTAGATGGCTCGGTAAGGAGGAGTAGCTTAGGGTTAAAACCTTTACTCCAGTGCAACCACTCTACCACCTACCTTATTACTCTACTCTACACATGTCGAACGCTATGCCCATCAAAATCTCCAATCAAAAAACCCACCCATCCTTCATCTCACCACAAAATAACAGTACAAAGCATTGCACCAACTCTAAAGAAGACATACACACCACCCACCCCTTCTCTTCCCCCAAACCCATCCTCAACCCACCCCACCAAACCTAGGTACTGTATATATCCTAAGCGAGATCTAAAAGTACCAACGGTGAGTATCTCTCTCTCCCACAACCCCAACCCGGACTACATTTAGTAGTCAGACCAAGAGTCTCGACCTAACCAACTAAGGGGACTGCATTTACAGTCTAGATAAGCGAAGACGCGAATCAAATATTCTGTAAGTAGTTATTAAAAATCCCCTTGCCTCCATGTCCATCTGGGCTTTGACATCGATACTTGTACTGTAAGTTAATATAAAAGGTATACAACATGACACAACATGACACAACACGAGTCTCAGTTTCAATTTCAATTTGAATTTCAACATCAACATCAATTTCCCTGCCACTCCTGCTTGAGACGATGTCCTTCCCTTCCCTCATTTTCAACTATCTGACCCACCTACCTGTGCAACGCCAAATAAAAACAAAACCAGAGAGCTCACGAAAAGACAAAAGGAAAAAAAGGAAAGAATCACCCATCACCCCCTTCCTTCCTAAAGACCCTCTTCCACAGTATCATAAAACAATCCCAGAGGTGAGAAGTCTACACCCAACAACCCAACAGCCCAACAGCCCAACACCCACATCCATGGATCACACTGCACAAAAAGCGTAAACACAACTGACCCGTGCAAACGGGTGAACCGTTCCATCTCTAGTACCTACCAGAGCCAAGACTGATAGACTGATTGAGTTTTATGGAGATTGAGATTTGATTTAGTTTGAGTTTAGATATATACTATAGCAGATGACCTACGACTATCCACTTGGGTTCGTTAGAATGGGTTTGAACGTTAGTGTTTATATCAAGTGAAATAAATGGCTTCGAACAGCCCCTATTATCTTTCGTTCTCCCACACGCAAGAAAGATACAAAGAGCTGTTACTGCAGGTCGTACAACACCTACCTACTTGGAGGGGATCCCGCGGGCGGCGGTGTCAGAGATCCCCAGATACTTCGCTAACAATCTTTTTTGCAAGAAAGTATACTAAGTACTTTACACAACAGTGAGATTACCAGCTGCATAGTAGTGCAATAATGAACATGGTATAATTCTATATAAGATCCTATTTCCATCGCTGCCCCACCTAGATCCTTTGGCCCCTAATCCATTTTTTGAAAAAGACTAGCTGCGCAAATGCAATTCCCGAAAACGTGGTGGCATAGCATGTAAAAGAGCAACAAGAAGAAGGAAAAAAAGATGTCAGAACAAAGCAAGACGTCAATCATTTTTGGAATCTATGTGGCACCCATGCAGTCCCTGCTGGCCTTTCAGAAAAAACATGAAATCATCATACCAACATTCCCCCCCATCTATCTTGTAAAAGAGATTTATCCCTCTCTATGCAGCAACCTCTGATGAACCATCAATCTTCCTCTTCTTGGCAAGTGTCATTTTATCGTCTGAATCAACAATCATAGCCTCGCTAATATCCTCGACTGGCTCGGTACCTGCAACGACATCTTTGCCCTCGACAGTTGGGAAAGGTGTGAGGACCTTGGAGATATCACCCCACCATTTCTCACCGAATCTCTTGTACCAGTCGACTGTGATGGCCATTCCTTCGGAGAAGCTGGTCTTTTGCTCCCATCCCAATTGTCGAAGCTTGGTCCCGTCGACAGCATATCGGTGGTCGTTGAAAGGACGATCAATAGTGTGCTTGACCCATTTGTGAAGCTCTTCCTGTGTGCTGTGTGGGATTTCCAAGTATGTAAGAAGCTTGGAGCACAGAGTTAAGTTGGAGATCTCATCATATGATCCAACGTTGTAAATTTGGTCCATTTGACCCTTGTGAAGAATGGTGTCGAAAGCATCTGCGGCGTCTCCAGCGAAAAGGTATCTCCTTGTTGGTGTGCCATCTCCGTGGAGAACGACTGGCTGGCGTCTGTGGAGGAGCAGACTGAATTTTGGAATAATTTCTATTATTTGTTAGAAGTTGAAATCCGCGATTTTGGCTTTGGCAACTTACTCTCAGGGAATTGATGAGGACCATAAACATTGTTACTTCGTACAATGATCACAGGTAGCTTGAAGGACTTTTGGTAGGAGTGGACCAACATCTCAGCTGCAGCCTTGGATGCGGCGTATGGGTTTGTGGGGGCGAGAATGCTGGTTTCCAACAAATCATCGGCGTCGTCCTTGACCTCTCCGTAGACCTCATCGGTGGAGATGTGAATGAACTTCTTAATGCCAACCTTCTTGGCAGACTCCAAGATAACATGTGTACCATAAACATTGGTGTGGGTGAATGCGTAGGAGTTTCCGAAACTCAAATCAACGTGGGACTGGGCAGCGAAATGGAAGATGGTGTCAATCTTGTGTCTCTCCAGACAGTCCATGACCTCGGAGGGGTTTGTGATGTCTCCATGGTAGAAAGTGAAGTTTCGTTTATCATTGAGGGCTCGGGTATTGTTCAAGGATGCGCAGTAATCGAGTTTGTCGAAGGATACGATGTTATAGGCATTAGGGTAGGTCAAAGTAAGATGTCGAACCAACCAACAAGCACTACAGACAGTCAGCTATGGTGTTGAGGCAGAGAATTCGGGCACCGCAGAAGTAGGAGATGATCTGCCATGCTGTTGGCGCATAGGAACTGAGATACTGTGGCCAGTTTGGAGGGGTTGATGCTTACATGAAGCCTGCTCCTCCAGTAATCATAATATTCTTGACATCTGGTAGTGGTTCGTATTTGGTGCTTCCAATGAGCACTGGGGCCTCCTTCCATAAGCCAAAGTCCTCAAAGAACTTGTTTGCGCTCGCATCTGAGGCGATTGAAGCTATATGCCACACATGTTAGCCATTGCTCCATTGCTCCCGCCAACGATCGTGGGGTAAGGTGGGATGTGGATGGTGATGGGTGGCTTCACTAACCTCCGTTGGTAGCCATGATTCCTGGAGGGGTAGAAGCACAAATATGACTATGGGGAATATGTACGGGGTGGTTTCCTGATTTTTGGGACGGAAGAGGGCGGGAGTCAAGTGGGGGAGGAGAATGCGTAAATACTGTGAGTTGCAGAGGCGGTCTGGGAGATTTAATCAGATTTGGCGAGGCTCCAATTTTAGTGCCAAGGCTGACATGCCAATTAAAAAGGGGTAACCAGGAAATAGGAACCTGTAGATCGGTATTTGACCAGTTTGAGGCATGGCTTATTTGCGTACATCAGGTATTTTGGTGTGCATGTTAATCTAAAAAGAAACTGGTGTTTTAGGAAGGGATTCACGGTACTCGAGTACAGTAATTGGAGCACATTGAACGAACGATGTTTCGACCATCGGCTACGACTACTCGTACCAATACTGCTATGGTTACGCTTCCGCAGATATCTGTTTGCCAGCCAGCCAGCAGAGGCGAGAAAAGAATTTTTTTCTATCAGGAACCATTCCGAGTCAAACTAATCTCGCGGGCCGTTGGTGGTTGCATTCAAGGTACTCGCACCTCTTGTCTTAGCCGTTTCCCGCAGCGCTAACTAACTTGACATGGCTGTCGCTGTCAAAGAGAGAACCTTCTGTTTATATTTAGCCATGATACTTCATCTCCCACACATATATTTTTATACTGTATATAACTTCGACGGCTAGGTCCTGCTTGTTTGAATCAATTCAGAATCTCCAAAAAACAAGGCAAGAAATTGATTGCTGCCCCTTTCTGGATCGCCTATTAAGGGAATTTGGATGAACGGCTGAGAACGAAGGAGCTGAGTTGACACTCCGCTACGCCTCTCGTTCCTTTCCTATTTCGGAACGACAACGAGGGAAAGTACGAGAATACCCCACCACGCGAGCCAGAATCCATCGTTACCGATGAACATGGCATTCTCAGCCTCACAAGGTGGTCCAACAACAACCGTGCCATGCAAGCGGCAAGCCAGGTCGAATTGAGGCTCTCTCAAAGAGCGTAGGCTGGTCCTGGCGAGTGTTCAGGGCGTCATATTGTCATGCCATGCTTCTGAAAACGTAGAGTAGACATTGTGGCGGGCGATGATTTAAATGGAACCCCCAGGAGGTGGGGGCGTATGTCTAACCCCTACCTACAGTACCGCTATGAGTAGGGTAGCGAGCGTAGGTTGGTATTTTTGGAGTAGTGGAGATGGCTTGAAGTGTGAGGGTGTAGTGGTGTAGTACTGTAAATCACCTACGGAGTACTACGCATAGAAATATTATTTGGTACGGTAGGTAGCGGGCTATTCAAGGACGGTGAGAATGTCCAATCGTACCTAAGCAATTCTGATATCGAAGAATAAAGGGAGCTATTCGATAATGAACCAAAAAAAAGTCGGCAAAGTACATGTATGACGCACCAATTTTCGAGTAACCTTACATTGCTTATGCAGGGAGATGATTGTGTTTCCATAATCTGTACCTACATTATTCACAGGTACAGATTTAGCCGCCCATAGAATGAATGGAAGCTGACAGGGCGCGGTGGGCGGCTGAAAGATACAGTCGGTACTGAGTACTCATAGGCTCATAGAAGTAGGCTCGGTAGGTACCTGTAGCCGAGATATTTCTAGCAACACACCCCGCCGTATCTCTATCAAATTGCCAAGACTCAAGCCATGCCACGGCTCTTAGCCGAAACATGGTAGCCTGTTGGGGGCTACGCTCGATTATTACAGTACTTGGTACAACTGAATTCCTTAACCTGGTGAACCCTCCTCGACAACAACAATCTAACAATCTTCACGCACTCAGCTTGAATCCGAGGGACCTCGCATAACACAGACGCCCCCCCACGGTCGAGAACCATCTCCATCTCCATCTCCATCTCCTGTGCCAGTATCGTTTACTTCCCATCTGCATCTGCATCTGCAATCGCCATGGCAGACCGAACGGCTGATCGGGTGCCATCGAGCAGCTCCTCTGTCACTGCTGGTGACGTGGAACACTATGACGACAACGAGAAGATGGTTCCCTCGAATGGCAGTTTTGTCAAGTTGAAGGCCGAAGACGTCGAGGAAATTGGAGATGATGTGGAAAGGGCAGAGTTGTTGCCGGAAGAGCATGTCGAGAAGGCAGCGTCAGTGAAGGACAACTCTACCAGAACAGCCATCATATGGATGGTGGTCAACACACTGGCAACTATCGGAATCGTGCGTTTCCCCTATATCTTATGCGAGAGTCAGGCACACTAATTGACGCCGATCAACAGGTCTTTACCAACAAAGCCATCTTCTCCGACCCATCTCTCAAACTCTCCCAACTCACATTCGCTTCGTTCCATTTCTTCATAACATGGCTTACCCTCTTCACTCTCTCGAGGCCTCGATTCGCCATGTTCACACCAAGGAGAGTCGCGATTAGGGAAATCTTTCCTTTGGCAATTGCCATGGCGTTGAACGTCATTCTACCCAATCTATCTCTCGCTTTCTCTACCGTTACATTCTACCAGGTAGCCCGAATTTTACTTACGCCAGTTGTCGCCCTCATGAACTTCGTTCTATACAAGGCGACTCTTCCAAGAAATGCCATCTACGCTTTGATTCCTGCATGCGCCGGTGTGGGAATGGTCTCTTACTATGATTCTTTACCCAGCGCGGACGCCAACGTCAAGACTACGAGCTCTTTGGGAGTTATCTTTGCATTCTCCGGAATCTTTGCAAGCTCCCTGTATACCGTTTGGATCGCAAGTTATCACAAGAAACTTCAGATGAACAGTATGCAACTCTTGTTCAACCAGGCTCCACTAGCCGCTTTCATGTTACTCTATGTCATTCCATTTGTCGACACTTTCCCAGTATGGACCGAGGTACCACTCAACAGATGGGTTATGATTTTGATGGTAAGTCAATTGCATTCCAATTCGATCTACACATGCCCGAGGAAACGAAACTAATGCATCACTAGTCTGGTGGATTTGCATCCATCATTAACATGTCCCAATTCTTCATTATCGCTCAAACCGGCCCAGTTTCTAGCACCGTCGTTGGGCACGTGAAGACATGCTCTATCGTAGCCCTCGGCTGGATTACATCCGGTCGTGCCGTTGGAGATAAGTCCATCATTGGAGTGTTTATTGCTATTGGAGGAATCATCACGTAAGTTTCCAACTCATCATTTTTGGTTTCTGGTTGCCTTTCCACGCTTCGGTTCTCCGATCACAGGCCGAACCTGAAGGCGGGTTCAGTTGCTTTCAAAATCATCTTAGCGCCTCATCCACTTTGAAAAACAGTTTAAGAGAACTTGTATTTTACATACCTCTCCCATGAAACCTTGCTGACAAGAAAATAACAGATACTCAATTGTGATGTTGAAACACAAGGCAGCGGGAGGGAAATAAAAAAAATCAAATTACTACATGGGATCCCCGACGCAGCCAAAAACGTGTCCAAAGACGGCTTTCCTCCCAATTTCCTGAAACCTTCAAAATTGGGTTGTGAATCAAACCTAAATTTCAATACGCCGGACCTGATCCGAATTTATATTCATTTTTTTTCTTTCTCTCTTTCTTGTAATATATTACAGTGAGTAGTAACTAAGGGAGTTTGTGGAAGAGTCGTGTGGATTGGTGGGGCGTTTCTGGAGTTTTGACATTCGCGGAGAATGGTTAGATGTGTGTTTGCTTTTGTCATTGATCTGGTTGGGGTGTAGGATGGGAAGACGGAAGAGGATGGGAAGACGTGGGAAAAAGAATGGGTCTTTTTCTTTGGTTTGTTTTTGGGATATTTTTGGTGCGGCTAGGTAGGTATGGAAGGAAGGAGGATGAAGAGGGGAAAGGGATCTTTTGATGTCGAGATAGGAGGTAGGAGATAGCTAGAGGGGAATCCTAGTTCAAAATAGAGAGAGAATTGCTGTTGCTAGTCTCTTGAGTTTTGGTTTACCTTATTTGTGACTGGGGGTTTAAACATTTATTATAATAAAAATCTTCCAGTCCAGTCCAGTTCTTGATTTGAAGCTTGGCATGGACCATGGTTCGATATATTCATTATAGGAGTATAGGTAAGTCCTACACTCTCTCTTCCCCTATGTAAAGGCCCGCACAGTACTCCGTATCTATATCTATTTCAATATCACTGAAATCACCACAAAGAAAAAAAAAAGTACTTCAAATTCAAATTTGCAAAAATCCGTTTATTAAACTCCACCACCAGTAAGTACCAACCAGAACCAGTAAAACGCCAAAACGCCAACCAGCCCAGTTCAGGTCAGGTCATGTCCATTCCCTCCCTTATAAGTAAGTGTATAAGATTTTTCGTTTCCCGCTTTCCAGTCCCTTCATGCCATGTCATGCCATGTCATGCCATCCAGTCAGACAGAAAAAAATCCAAAGGTACTCACACAATCACAATCACAAAACCAACTGTTACATGGTATCAACCCACCCCGGCCCACGCCACCCTAACCCGCACGCACGCATTCGCATTCGCTAGCCCACGCATTTACTCTAGAACAGAACGGTTTTCCACAAGGAGAAGAAAAAGAAGAAGAAAAAAAAGGTAGGAAAAAACATATCGGAAGACGAGAAACGAGAAATAATTGATGAGGGGAGAAAACAAGAATTACCAAGGCATTAAACCAGCTGGTAACATAGGATATTCCACCCCATCAATGATCTCCGTCCTCGCCTCTAACCCTCTCTCCTCAAGAGGTCCGTATGTCCCGTCCCACCCGGACTCCATGCGTTTCCAATTCGCATTGCACTGTCCTGGGACGTACTTGGCGGCGTCCATCTTTAATGTCATCTTGACCTCGGGGCAATATTGCCAGATGTGTCTTCTCATCTCGACGGTCCCCCAGATGGGGCCGTGTAAATCATTCCCTGAGCTTCCTGTGTGGTACCCCATCGGTTCGTAGAAGCCCTCACGCCATTCATCGATTCCCTTGATTAAATCCCCTGCTTCAGGTCCTTCTTTCCCGGGAATCTTCTTGCCTCCAATCTTCTCTCCCTCGCCATTGAAGTTTTCGGCCGAGAAGGTGAGGGATGCGGTTCCGTTGGCCATCTTCGCACCTGGTCGAGCGCCCAGACGATCGGTGAGCCAAATGTCTTCGGGTTCCGAGTTCGGAAGGCGTTGTTGGTAGCGGATGACTTCGATGATCTTGCTCACACGTCTGAGACTCAGCCCTCCATTTCCTCCAAATCGACCATTCGGGTTCCAAGGTGCGCCGACCCAGTCGTATTCCAGCCAGCTGTTGAGAGATTGCCGACTGTTGGCGCAAAGCATGCTATCTGTCTGGAAGACTAGCAACCATTCCGCAGGTTGCAGGACGGTCTCGTAAAGCCAGAGGTTGGTGAGGAAGGCGGAGATGGCTTCTTTGTCGGAGGTTGACATGTTGGAGGGAATGTAGGTTAAGTCTAGTTTTCCCATATCGACTGCATCGCGGATGGCTCGACTGCCGTTGATAAAGGCGACGCTTTCTTCGCTGCCCATGAAGCGGAAGCGCCAGTCTGGGGGAACTACCGACATGAAATGTAACATGAGAGGGGCGAGGATTGGGTTGACTCGGTTCTCGATGAGGAGAGCAACTTTTGAGGCATTATAAGGCGATTCGCCAGGCCCATGTTTTCCATAATCGAGGTGTATCGTGGGGACTTTGGGGAGTTTGGGGAGGGTCTCTCTGCTGGGTAGTGAAGGGCGCAGGAGAACGATGGAAAGAATGCTATGTAGCAATTCATGTTAGTATCGATATCCTCATGAATCTAAAGTATTCCATTCCTCCTTACAATACTATTAACACGATTCCTCCAGCGCGCATCCGCCTGGTCGTTCTGGACCATCCCGCCATGGAGACCTTCTTGATCCATTCCCAAGCATCATCGATGGTCATTTCGGCTGCTGCTGAAGCCATTCCAGGCATCTTGAGTGTTGACCACCTGCTGGTGGCTATTTTATGATGAAGATGCGACTATCTTCGCAATCGTACCTTGGGTAGGTATGTCGTGTCTTGTCGCGCAGATGTAGAATGGCATAAGGTTGTCGTGTCGTAGCCTCTTCCGACTTGGAGATCTCCGTCCTTCCGCAAGGTGTCGAGGCACGGATTAGATACCTAGGTAGAGTATGATGAAGACGTAGATGTGGTGTTTGTGGGCCGCCGTACTCCGCGAAAGCTTGAACCTTAACCTTTTAGTGAGGCCAAGGCCGGCATGCCGCATGCACCAGATGGAGTATGGCGTTATGCGGGAGGCGAGCTGGGTTACAGCCTCGGATGAAAATAGATGACAAGTGTACGTAAGGAGTCCGCGTAGAACTGTATGAAGCATCAATGGTTCTTCTAAACGAAGGATCCCCTCAGGAATTTGGAAGGATTTGACGCTTACGATTGATGCACTTCTAAGCACTTCCTCGCCTCACCAAACTAACAATCATTGACAGCCTGACTTTGAGACAGACCTACCTACGATTCTTCACTTCCACGCAAATTTCCACAGATGAGGTATCGATTTTCAATAGGGGTAAAGGGGATATCGATATCGTTTATCTTTCCTATTCAGGTCTTTGATCGCTAGGTATCGAATATCTCCCGCTTACGAGTCTCTGATTAAAAGGGCACTCAATAATGGAAGGCTGACTGAGAGTGATGAATCCCTGTACCAGTAGTCTCAGAATAAGACCCACATTTCGTCAACCTATTGCATTTCCGTCTGGGTTTATCCTCTTCCACATATCGGTCGACAATTGGTTGATTAACCTTTAACTTTTTCTTCAGGGGCCGATGGAAAAGGCTTCATTTTGCAAATTCTCGTGTGGACTGACTTTTTTTTGTTGGTACCGTATGCAACTTTGTTTTCTTTTTCGTCACATTTTCAGCAAACCCTCTTTTTTTCTCATTTGAAAAGATGGAGGGTGTGGTCATCCGTAGGGCAGCTGGATGTACGCACGGTATATATGATGGCATCTACTGTGCGCTACTGCTGGGCACGGCCAAAATGCGCTATCATTTTCCTGGCTTGGGAACTTTTCCATCCCAAGGCTGGAGGAATGTCCTGGGTAAATGATGAACCGAATTCCGAACTGCCAGATGGAATGGATGTCTCCACAAGCACGTCAAAGGACGATATCAAGATTCGATTTTTATCTGAAAGGTTCGCAGAAAATGTGTTCATTATTTCCACGTTTTTCGATATGATATGTATGCTTCTTTGGTCCCTTGCAGCCCCCTTTTCATATCGAGAAAGTCTTGAGATATTCTACTGAAACCTTGTCATTAAGGGCCTATCAGGTTTCCCGTCATGGACGCCTCCAAATAGATTTTGTTTGTTCTTTTTGAATACCCCTTTCATGATGTTGAATGTCCTGGTTCTTTCCTTCCCGTCTCCTTCGCGGGAGAATGTTCTGTTAGTGGGCCTTTTTTTCGGATACATTTTATATCTTCAGAGTTTTGAAGTCGACGGACTCGAAGTTGACGGCGGGGTAGCTATCAAGTTTGTATGGAGTAGTGAAAACAAGATCCCACAAGGTTTCTCAAATAGCAAAAATCAACAGAGATACCTTCCAAACAGTCAAAAAGCACCATCCAAAATGGCAAACCTCACAACTAACGAAGACCGCCGACGAAAATCTCGAACCATCCTCCTCTCAGCCCTCCTCCTCCTCCTCCTCCTCTGGACAATCAAACTCCGCTATCCCCAACAAACCATCATGGAATTCTACGGAAACCACACCATCACCCCCGAAGCCCCCTCACTCGCACACACCACCATCCCATTCCTCGAACCCGGAGGAATCGACAACGTGAGCGGCGGCCGAAAATGGAAGTCCAAACCCGCAACCACCGACGCCCTCACCAGTCCCGTCTTCAACGGCACTATCACCAAGAAGGTAGCCGTGATGGTGGCAACTGGTTTCCGGTCCAACCTCATCCCTCTCATCCTGCATTTTTCAAGTGTTCTTGGACCGAGTTGTCCTATCATCATCTATACATCGGTCGAAGATGTGGGATTGTTCTCTACCGCTACCGCTTTGGGACGCTACATACTCTCTGGAACCGTGCAGATCAAAACGCTTCCTCAAACCGTATTCCTCAGTGACGAAGACTCGTTTAGTGAGTTTCTCACTAGTAAGTGGATTTGGGAGGATCTGGCGCCGGCGGAACACGTGTTTCTCTTTCGCAGTGATGGCATGCTTTGCGCGAACGCAGCGAGGAGTGTGGAGGATTACTTTGAGTATGATTTTGTGGGGCACCTGCTGTGGATGGGAAAGCGGTGGACTACAATGGTGGACTGAGTTTGCGGAAGAGAAGTACGGTTTTGAAGGTGCTGGAGGGGTGGGAGGAGAAGGCGAGGAATGAGAAAGAGAAGAAGAAGGGGGTCTTGTTTGAGGATCAGTGGTTTTTCAACCAGTATGTCCTTGTTTCCCCCCTCTTCAATTTAAGAGAACATCGCTAATGATATCTGCAGTATCAAAATGCTGCAAGAGAGGCAAGAAGCTGAAGGTGTCTTGCCCTCGGCAAAGGGTGCTATTAGCCTTCCCACTGCCGAGGTGGCTAGGACGTTCAGTGAGGGTAATATCGATTATCCGAATCCTCTGGGTGTACATCAGGTTCATCGTTGGGTGGAGAAAAAGGTGCCTGGGTTGGATGAGGTGAGGATTCTTCTCCTTTGCTATCCCTATACTGCGCTTGCATTGCATACGATACTCCTATAAAAACAGTGGTGTCCTGAACATAGGCTTTGTAGCACTGGGTAGAAGTGTTTATGGGATTGGTGATTGGAGTTCACAAGGGAACTAGCGAGCAATTGATATTTAGACGGGCTTTCTGCATATGGGTGGAGTTTTGGAGCGTGGCATTCTTTTCCGTAGGTAGTTGGAGTTTCTTTGAGAATTGATGTGGTGTATATCTAGTTTCGATTTCTTTGGGAGATGATGTGGTGTAGATTTAGTTTCGGTTTCTTTAGGAATCGATATAGTATTTATCTAGTTTAGGGTTCTTTTATAATTGATGTGTTGTACTCTACTTTAGTTCTCTCGTAAATGATGCCGTGTGAATGGTGCAATGCAATGCATTATCTAACTCATGCAGCACCAAGTCCACGATGCAATTGGATATCATGGTGCGTCAAAGACTAACAGTAGCCTACTACGTATACGTCCATACGGGTTGATGATGCCATCTACACCTCATCCATGCCACGAATATCTCCGAAGAATGCGCCTAAGCAGCCTTTCCAAAAATTGAGATTTACCAAGTCCACGAAATTTCTCCTTGTTCTCCACTTCCTCGCTCCACAGTCCACGGTGCAAGTGGGAGGTGGAAGGTGGATTTGGTGGGGTTAGAGGTGCATGCAGCAGCAAGCAGCTTTCGGAGTTCGGAACGGATCTACATTGGTGTGGTCGTGATGGTATCAAAATTCAAAATTTAAGAAAAAAGTAAGCAGCTCCATTCGTACAACTACCCAGGATGCGGTAATTTTACGTGCAGCATCTCATCATTTCCAGCTCGTGATATGGTCGCCCCTTTTATTTTATTTTTTGATACCGAGGTACGAGTACTAAGATACTTCCAAGTGCCTCATACCAAGAAAAAGTAAGAGATAGATTCGGATGGTTGGTCTAGGATATGGGTCCGTTTGGGGGAGGTGAAATCGGCTTATTCTTACTAGCCTCCCATCCTTAGCTTAGTCATTTCCCCGGCCCATACCTAGGTAGCCACCTGCACTCGCACCCATGAATATTGTCCTCACACGTCGCTGTAGGCCACCGTAGATAGCGCTACGTAACTATCTACTGTACGTTTCATAGGCGACCAGCAATCCTTCCATAGGCCGGGACTGGTGAGCTGACGGAACATCATCACCACGATACGCTTAGACTGGACTGGACTGGGTGGTCTTCCTTCTGCTCTTTTTTTTTCTAAAAGTGGCGTGGACGTGGCACATATCCCACATACAAAGACATCATGCCAATGCGGCTCCAACCGAAGATCTGAATCCAAGGTCGAGATTGCCTTACGTTGCGTTGCGTTGCGTTGTGTTGCTTGATTTTTTGAAGCTCCAGCACCAGCACCAGCACCGCTTCTGCACATTCGCCTTCCTGCCACTCGTTTTCCTCTCTCTTTCCCTTTCCCTTTCACGTGCAGATACTGGTACTGTACCTGTACCGAAGCCTCGGATAGGTAGTACGAGTACGTACCACGTACTTGTACCCATCTTCGTCTTCCGTCGTCATCCACTTCCAGGTTTCTCTCCAGTACCGTACCCAGTGCGTCTTGTCTCCACGGCCGATACCCATCAACCATGGCCACCATCTCAACCGCACATCCTGTCTCCAACGGTCTGGGGAACGGATTATTCGTAATTAACAGAGCGAGGATCCTCATCGTCCTGTCGTTAATCTTTACGTGAGTCAACTTTTTCTGTCATCTCATCTAGTGATGGTCCAAGGGAGTTTTGAGTTCGGTCGTCTGTCAACACCAGCGCGACCGCAAACAAGGATAAAGGATACTAACGAAAGGGCCCTCTAGATGGACCATCGCGCATCTGATCCCGAAATACAAAGATCAAGTCAAGGAGTTTGCGAAGGATAAATACAACGACGCGATTCAGCATCTGCCCGCCGTCGAAGTCGACTGGCATCCAAACTACGACCCGAAATCCCAATTCAATGCCTCCAAGGTCGCCCTCCTCATCGAGGGTCGTCCGCTTCCTCATCTCGTCCCTCAGATCCTACATATGATCACTACCGTCCCCCCCGATTGGCGCTTCGTCTTCATCGGCACGAATAAGAGTGTCATCAGCGTATCCCGAAGTTTTGCGACGCAGTTCCAGGAGGCGAATGGGAAATTGGATATGATTGTCATGCCGGAGCCATGGAAGATTGAAAGCAAGGAAGACGTTTACAGAGTGCTGACGGATACACGGTTCTACGATGAGATTTTGCCGGGCGTGGAATGGTTGTTGAAATACGAATCGGATAGTATCCTCTGTTCCAACTCCGATGATTCTCTGAATAGCTGGTTGCACTACGATTGGGCTGGTGCTCCAAGGTTGGTTCTTCACCCCTTGTGTTATTTTGCGAGACCTTCAAGATTTTGTGGAAATAACATCCAAAATCTAACATACTAATAGATCCCCCGACGATAGATTTGCTGGTAATGGTGGCTTATCTCTCCGGCGAATCTCCGCTGTCAAGAAAGTCCTGAGCTTTCAAGCTCGATATAATGATACCGAGCCAGAAGATGAATGGTTTGGGAAACGTCTGATTCTTTTACCCGGTGCGAAAGTTGCTACTGGTACAGACGAAGATCATTTCGCGGTAGAAGATGTCTACCACGAGAAACCTATGGGTTATCATGTCCGCGATGGAGGGGAAAATCTCGCCGATGACGTGTGGAAGGATCCGGAGAAACGGAAGAAGATTTTCGAATACTGCCCCGAGTTGACCATCATCATGCCGATGAAGTTGTTGACGGAACGGTGTGAGGGGGATAACCAGATGGGAGAGATTATTCCTCCTGGTCAGCCGGCAGCGGCACCGGCGGCGCCTGCATGATGAATTTTGATGATATTTTTCTTCTTCTTCTTACTTTTGAACTTTATTCTCTTGTTTTTTTTTTCTTCCCCTGGGGATTGTAGGGAGCATGGTATGGGGGCGTATGGTGCCTTTTCTCTTTTCTTCTTCATTTTTTGTCTTTTGTTTAAAAAGATGAAGATAGGGTTATATTACAGGATTCCTTGATGGATGGGTGGGTGGTCAGCTGGAGGAGTGGACGGTCGGTGGGTAGGGGGGTGTAGGGGGAATACAAATATACCAATTTTATAATTATTTGACTGCTGTTCGCTCTACTACCTATGAATGACTTGAAATTGGGGGATTGTGGTGGTAGGTGGTAGGTGGTAGGTGGTACGAGTGGTGTATTTGGTTAAGACCTACGTTTTTTTTTCTTGTGTGTTTAAGAGAGGGGGGAGAGGAAAGGGGAATCAGAGAAAGAATAGGAGAGGAGGGGGAGGGTAAGAAGGTGAAATGGGGGGAATAGGGGGAGCTAGAGGGGTAAGGGAAATAGAGTAAAAGGTAAGAGAGGAAGAGAGGAAGAGAGGAAGAGAGGAAGAGAGGAAGAGACGGAATGGAAGAGAGGGAGAGAGGAAGAGAGGAAAGAGGCGAATAAGAGATATAATAACATCTATACCCCCCTAACCTATACCCTACCCTACCCTACCTAAAGTATATATAATCCTTCTAATCCTTCTACTCCTTGTAGGTACTTGTCTAATAAAAAATCTAGGTAGCTAGGTAGGTAGGCATAGTATGGTATAGTATTTCCAACTAACTCTACCTTAGAGGGGAAAGCGAAGGTTTTGAGACTATCTAGAGACTCTTACTGGAGTATAATTTAGACGATACTAGGTAGGTAGGTGGTACTTGGTATAAGTATTATAATATATCGTTTAGGTTAGTCTTAGCTAGTTAAGAATTCTATACTTGTATTTCTTCTATACTACCTGATATAATATACTGTCTTGGTTATCTAGTACTTTACTCGGTTAGGATTATACTATTATCTATTAGACTTTTATTCGGAATATATAGGGCCAGGTACCAGAAGAGTTATATTCAGATAACTAGGGAGCTAAATAATATAGGCAGGAGCCTAGCTTATATAGCCTAGGCATATGCCCCTCCTTTGTTATATACTCCTGTTCTATTTCATGTAGGTTGGTTCCGTGTTCTATATAGTAGGAACCACGGGTTAATATATTAACTAATAATAAAACCCCCTTTTTACTTGTAGCTAGCTAGCTAGTTGATTCTTAATTTTTTAAGCGCTTTTTTATTATACTTAGGGTAGAGGGTAAGGGGAGAGGGAGAGGAGAGAGGTGTCACGAATCACGTGCACACGTGATAAGTGAAGACCAGGCGGCGTCCTGACAGGTCAAGCACATCTATAGACTTATAGCAAATAAGGGATCGTTTGGGCTAGCTAAGCGATCCAGGGATTTCCTTGGGTTGGAATCACGTGACCAGCGACATGGCCGACACGGTCGACCATGGCGACTATGGGAACGAGGGTTCTATATAATACTGGCACGTCTGCCATTAGATAGGAGCTTCGTGCTCAACTTAGTTATCAATCTTATATTAGTTTGACATCTTTGATACAAGTAACGAGTTCACTTCCAAGTGAACAACCCGATAGTCTTCTTCTTATCATAGCATACCAACCAGCGAACACCCAGCCAAGTTTAGTTAGCCAGTTTGAGTATTCGTTACAAGAGGGAGAGGAGAGGGGGAGAGGATAGGGGGAGAGGATAGGGTAGTCTATTAACTTAGGTAATACTTTTTTTTATCTAAGATAATTACTCTTTCTTTCTTTCTTTCTTTCCTTTATTCCTTTTTTTTCTCGACCTAGGGTTCTAACTTCTAAAGCTAGTTACTATAGTACTTATATAGTCTACTAAAGACTAAGCGAGAGAGTAAGGAGATAAATATAAGCTATTATCTATAGGAGAATAAAGTAAGAGATATATTTTTACTTTTATTTATTTATTTATATATATATAAGTTATATATATATATATATATATATATTAATTATTCCTTACTAGATAGTTTCCTGGTACTAGTACTATCTTTCTAAACTCCTAGGGTTAGTTTAGAGAGGCTAGTAATAGATTTACCTACTCGAATACTATTCGAGGAATACTCTAGTCTCTAGTTATCTTACTTTTATAAAACGTACCTAACTCTATAATACTCGCTTATACCTATGGTAATATGAAACTACTAGACTAATTCTTATATAAACCGATCGCCTTAATACTTCGAAGTAGTCTAGGGCGCGCTAAAGGGTATTAGGGTAATATAAAAAGAGCTACTTAAGTTAATCTAGGATTTAGCGAGTTAAGTTTAGCGTAGAAAATTCGGGTAGTTAAATTAATAGATACTATTATTTAACTTAATTTAACTACTAGGATTTGCTACGCTAACTATAAGGGTAAAAAGAAGAGTAAGAATAGCGCTAGGTATCTAAGCGTAAGGAGTTATATAGCAGGATTTATAGTGAATGAGGATAGGGTTGCTTAGTAAGCCATGGTGGGATATATATCCCACCCTACTACTAGAATACTATATTCCTTTAACACCACCACTATATCTACCATATCCACCATATCGTTAGCGAGCTCTTTTGTGTTGTTCTTTGCTTTATTTGGTCCTAGATACCATTCCTACAGTCAAACAAGTATAAATATAGGGACGGGGGTAGTAGTGGTACTAGAACAAACGCTCGATTATCGCTCCTTTTAAGCTCGATCCTTAACTACCGACGCACTCTACGAATCTGCGTCGGGACGGATATGAGTCGGAATAGTAGATTCGCTAGGCAAGGAGGGCTCTCTGGGTGTGGTATTTAGCCTACAAAAATGAGGTTTTCTCATGCTTGTTATACAAATGTAAGAGAGGTGGAAATATATTTGTAGGGTAGTCGGTGGATATTAGGTGTTGGATACTAGTATTTGGCGGTGGATATGACTATACGCTAGGAGGGTTCTATGAGGATAGTCCTTCCTTGTCCCCCTTTTTTTCGTCTTATTCTTGGGTTTCCCCTTTCACCTCCTTGTTTTGTTTTGTGGCTGCTTCCTTTCGCGCTGCTCAATGCGGCCGAGGGTGCTTATACTTCGCTTTCCACTTATATATGTGGGCGGAATATAAGCACTTGAAGCTAGCCAGCAATACAAAAGAAAACCAACAATAAGCCTCAGTTGAAGTGACGTGTACCGACTGACGAATGAATAATAAAATATATTATAAGGGGTTACTACGTAGTAATACTTACCTCCTTAGTTACAAGATCCCAAAACCAAAAAAATCATTACAAGAAAGCCGATGAATAATCACAACTGTTATGTTAAATAAATATCTACTAGCGCTATAGAGAAGACAAACTAGGTACTTCGCAAAATATGTAACAAGGGTAGAATTGGGTATATCCAACCAGACAAATCCATCTGCATATATATCTCTCCACCTTCCTTTAACCACCGCATGATCTATTGACCTCCTCTCCAATTTTATCATATACGTCGTTAAATATATCGGTAAGACGGGGTTCCGAATCTCCAAAAGGGGAAAACGCCATTGGTTTCGTTATCGTAAATTCGTTAGATGAGTGGAGTGGACAAGATGCAGCATCGAGCAAGGAAAAACGAGCAACCCAAGCGCTATGCCAATAACGCCCATTGAAAGAACGCCGGGAAAAAAGAGAACTCAAGGACACCATTCCTTGTGCTAACAAGCAGCACCATTGACGGGTGTCGTATCATTTGACGGATCAGGTTTGTCAGGTTTCCTCCCCACCAGAATCCGAACACCAGCCCCCAGTCCATGACCCTCTACAGGATCCAAAGCAAGCTTCCTGAATGCTTCATCGACAACTTTACACACTCTCCTCACCTCAGCTGGATCCCATCCCAAAACTTCTGTAAGTAGCCTCAGAGATACGGCTTCCAGCCCGCTCAGTTGAGCCACGAGATTATGCTTCCCGATTCGGTTTGCTTCTGGATCCTCGGGCCAGATACCTAAAGGTAAATATCTCGTTTGCACACTCACTTCTACGAAGCCCAACGCCTCGAGACGTTCGGGTTCGAGATGTTTTCCATTGCGGTCGCGCCCGGATATGTGTGCAGCTTCTTTGATGGCTGCTACCCATTTGTGAACAACCGAGCCTTTATCAAAATACGATAGTAGTTTCTTGTGGTTGTCAAAATCGATGACTTCGATCCAGCCTCCGGGTTTCAAGTGTTTGAAAGCTTGCGCATACATTTCATCCCAGCTTTTGAAAGCCCCTGCCATAGTCCTGAAATGAACGAGATCGAATTCATTGTCTGGCCATGTCCATCCTCCTTCTTCTTCCGCGTCGTCAATTTCAAAGAACACATTCAGTGGAACGGCGCTGGGTTGGATTTTGGCGATGTCGATACCGATTATTTCTGCTGTTGGGTACTCATCTCCCATGGCCATTGCCCACTCGCCCGAACCGGTGCCCACGTCTAGGATCTTGGTGGGATTCTCGAGTTCAATGGTGGTGAGTTTTTGGTCGAGAAGGTAGAGATAGACAGTGTGAAGGATTTGGGTGCGAGTTTGTTCTTCTTCATCATTGGGCATGAAATAATCTTTACAGTAACGTCGACCATGGATCATAAAGTATGTGATGTCTGAATCATAAAGTGACTGAGTAGAGTTTCTAGGGTGTGAAGTTAGTTACTTTCTTCCATTGGACTTGATCAGGTGGTGTGTATCTCGACTTACAAAGTATCTTGGTCACTTCGTGGTTGATGGTAAAGTGTTCTTGAATCACGACCCCAAAAGGGGCCATAATGTGACTCTTCTCCTCCTTCATCTGCATCGTCACTCTGCACGTTTCCCATTTCACAATCGTCGTCAACTTCCAATACTGGGATATCGGAAGTTCCCAAGGTCAATGAGTCGTCAGAGATGCTTCTGGTATTTTGCTTTCCCAATGACATCTCTGCTGGTTCGCCCATCAACCTAAAACAACACAAAGCAGATTGTCTCTTTTTTTGAAGCCAAAGACTTTGACAACCGTGACGAGTCTTTTCTCCTGATTGGTTTGAAGAGAAGTCCGGTGTCATGACAAGTTGAAGTAAATGTAGAAAATGAAGTTGAAGCAGAGAATATCAGGAAAGAGTGGCAAGCTCCCGGATCGGATTGAATGTAGTAGAAGCCATGCATGGATTAACGCCTCGATGTCTTCTTGTAGCTAAGAGATAAGTGCCGAACCACTCAGGCGGGAAAAAAATAAGCACCAAAAATGGTCTGGTCGGAAGAAGAGAGTTAATAACGCTTGGATGGGAAGGGCGGCGGGTTAGGGCTCCCATACAACACTCAGCTGGGCTCCAGTGAACCCGACAATCGGTAGGTGGGTCGAGCTAGGTTGAGTTGTGGAAAAAATTCGCGATTCCCATGCTGCTGGGAAAGCGGGAGTGACCTTGATTGGGCGATGCGGGCTTGGGTGGGCATGGCCCCTGGGCCTGCATCTGGCAAGAACAGGAAATCGGTACCGATAGGCCTATGTACTGCACCTAGCATTTTGAGGAGAGTACAGTACGATGTAGATACCGAGTATTATACTTCTAGATACCTTACCACTCACCAAAACTCAATGCAGGTCAGTAGTAGTCGGAGTGTTACATTGCAGAGAGCCATCTAACGGCAAAGCACGTATGACACCTTCGGTTCCAGTCTACGGAGGACTCGTGGTACTCGTACCCCGCGAGATCAGGTCACTCTGTACCCTCTTGCACTTTGGGAGAAATCTCCTCTACTTTGCGTTAGTGTGGGTGGTTCTAGAGACGTATTGTACTGTATGGAGTACATATGCCCGCCTACCAGGGTATACCTGAGCAGGTATTTTTGACTATCATCATATCGGAGATGCCAAGAGACACCTTGAAGACTTTAAGCTTAGACTGCTCCGGAGAAAGCAGAGGAACCACTTAGAGGTCCACTTGAGGTCCATCGACTAGACCATTCGGATAGCAGGTCCGGCCACCACAAACGTTGGACCTCTTGCATGCATTCCGTCACAAAATATAAGATTACCCAAGCAGCACTACTGCTCAAAGCACGTTGAGGGGAAAAAAGAAGAAAAAGGAAACGCAGGTCTTGAGAATTATTTCAGATTATACGTATCTAAACCATATGTATAATCTCTACATCATTCATGTCGTCGTACCCAGCTCATCCCAATCATCTCATCCAGGCTCGTAAACAAAACACCCAGACTCCACTTATGGACAAATGCACCATCTCCTCACGCTCCACTTCTGTACACCTGCGCACCCTGGTTTCTAATGGTGATGGTATCTCTCCTCTGTAGAATGGTCAAAGCTCTAGCGAGAGCTTGCTCGGTATACCCCTTGCCCTCACAAATTTCTCTCTTTAGAGTTGCAAGACTAGTACTCCATCCAATCGGCAATCTTCTCTTCAGCTCGTCTTCGAGCTTGTTAACTTCCTCATTCAACTCTTTGCTTCCCTGGGTACTACCCATGTTCACAGCATCCATGGTAGAAGCCAAAAACAACCGGATTGCTTCGTCGACATGCTCCGTTGTAGCTACTGGTGATAAAGAGAGCTTGGCGAGTGACTCGGTGATACGAACAATAGCTTCTAATTGACGAACTGTGATGGGAATAGAGGAGCGTGCGTTGGCTTCGAGTTCCGCGGTGTGAACTTGCTTCCGAATAGAGACGAAATGAGAGGAAAGCTTTTCTCCAGCCTCGGGTGAGAGGCGGGGCGCCATGCGGCTAAAATTTGTCAGCTCTTCATCCATGGATTTGGGATTAGGTGGCTTACGATCTGCAGTAACTGATGTATCGCTTCATTTTCTCTACCGGGATTTCGGATTCGGATTGTTCTTCCACACCGTGACCGCCCTTGTGTACGCGCATAACGTGCTTAGCAATCGTCTCATCTCGGTTTCTATCATGGTCGTCTTTGACGATGAAAATCATGTCAAATCTAGAAAGAATGGTAGTTTGGAAATCGATATTCTCTCCAGGAGTTTTAAGGTCGTCATAACGTCCAAAAATTGGATTTGCGGCTGCCAGAACAGATGTTCTGGAATTCAAAATCGTAGTGATACCAGCTTTGGCAATTGAGATGGTCTGTTGCTCCATGGCTTCGTGGATTGCAACTCTGTCTTCGTCTCTCATTTTGTCGAACTCATCAATACAGACTACCCCACCGTCTGCTAAAACCATTGCTCCCCCTTCCAAGTAAAATTCTCGTGTCGTATGGTCACGCTGAACGGATGCTGTCAAACCAGCTGCCGAAGAGCCCTTTCCGGAAGTGTAAATGGCGATAGGTGAGACTTTCTCCACGAATTTCAGTAATTGGGACTTTGCCGTACCTGGATCACCAAGAAGCAAGACGTTTATATCACCACGCAATTTCATGCCATCAGGTAGAATCTTCTTCGAACCACCCATAAGAAGACATGCAATGGCCTTTTTGATATCCATGTTACCGTAAATCGAAGGGGCTATGCAGTTTGCGAAGACATTGTACAAATCTGGTCGTCGACTCATCTCCAAAAACTCTTGTTCCTCCTCTTCTGAAAATATTGCATTTCCCTTTGCGGTGTGGTCCACATCACTATGTATGCCGACTGCTCGCAGATATGGGGTTCTGATTGCCACTGCGGAAGTAGTCGAAGAGCCCTTGGATTGTTTGTTTTGGTAGATTGAGAAAATTCCAGTCACTGTACATCTGGACCCAGGAACAACTCTGTTTGTCAAATAACGGTCTGTGGAAATGAGTACATGTCTTGGAAGTTCTCCCACGGGTACTTGGTCCGGCGCCTCCTGGAGTTTGATAATTTGCTGGTCTACAAATTGACTGTTCTCGTGAACTACAACATAAGGATCCATTGGACATCTATCCTCTCCAGGATTCGACTGTCGATCGCACATTCGTGGGAGAGAAACACCTGTAAATCCGCCAGCAACAGGCAGAACCTTGACTTGATGACAATTGCGGCATTGTATATGGAGGGCTGTCGCTTTTGAAGACAGGACGGAAGCACCGATAACGATACCCGGCACTCTAACAAGACGTGAGATTGTGAGGGCGTCGAGGTTTCGAATGGAAAGTTCTTCGGCGGAGGAATGTAGAAGAAGTTGATGTTCTGGAATAGGGGGTGAAGGTTCTCTTGTTGAAGGGTAAACGATACGATGTGTGCACTTTTTCAATGCCGCCTCGAACTAGGTAGAGTTAGCGACCACAGAGCAGAATTCTTGTGATGCGCGAACCAGTGGAATGATCTCTGCGGGCTCCGTGACAAGTCTGTGAGCCAGCTCCTCATTGAAGGATATGAGGTGTCCAACATCAACATCGCAGTAATATTGTTTGAGAAGAACGTTCTCGCGGATCTGGTCTCTGTTCAAGATTAGACAATTGCCTCCGAGTCACTCACTCGACCATATGTTACCTGTAAATAAAGACGTTGTCTAGGCGGAATTGCAGAATAAATTGTTCTAATTGGGCTTGTGTTTGGCCCCGAGTATCTGATTCGTTGTCATAATCCGGCGGCAGAACACTCAAAGAGTAGACACTCTGACGATCCATGGTGCTGAATTATCTGGTTATTGTTTTGACGAGTGCTACGACTTAGCACTATCGTGGTGGAATTTGTTGTTTCTTGACTTTGTTTGGTGCCTGAGGGGTAAAAGTTGACGGGTGGTTTTGCGAAAACGCGCTCAAATTAGACATCGCGACGCGTATAGAGCTTGCATGTGAGGCTAACCGTATCGGGATTTCTGTCTGTCGATCAAGCAACCAATAAAATGCTGCCACTTTGGACCAACACCGAAGATCCAAAAAAAAATTATTGACTTTCTTTTTACCAACTCAATAATTATTATGTGCCCCTTTTTATCGACATCGGTCTGCCTTTGGCCTTCGGATTCTTTGTCAAATTGTTTCCCTCAGCAACGCTGAGTTTGACCAAGCTCCCAATTACCAACAGAAAGCTCATACAGTAACTAAGATATTAGATCTCTGTGCTTTCTCCTGTATGTTCGATATATTGCTCTCTATTTTCAAAAATCCCCTCTAGCCCAGAAAATGTAGAGTTTTATTCGCAAAAGTGGGATTTTCTCAGGACATCTATTCTCTGATTTTCCAAGAACGCAACGACTTCAGATTATTCTACACATTCCTGCAAAATTGCAACTTCATGTCAGAATCATTTTACCTGTTCTTGTGTTTAATAATTGGTTTGGCGAATCCACTTGGCTATTTACAAGAATAGTTCTGAGGTGCCTTTTGAAATGCGCAAGCGAGCAAAACAAGCTCTGAGGCCACACTCCTTAGTTGGGAGTACCTCATGGAACTACCCTCCCCAACACAATTCGTTTCTATATGCCACTACTGTATTGATACCCCAGCTCCCGGTAGACAAGAAAAGTGGCAGAGACCTCTTTTATCTTATCCTAACTTAACTTAAAACCATTATATTATGTCATTTACTTAGAGTAATTAAAATGATTTATCGGAAACGATAGCACAATAAAGGCAATTGTTCTAGATATTTTATACATTTTAGTATTTGGAATCAACTTACGCGAATAGTTAAAAAATAAATCTCTACCACTTTTCTTGTCCACCTGGAGCCCAGCTCTCTCCTTCACAACAACGACTCTGGTAACGCCACGAAGAGCGCTAAGAATGGAATGAATCCGAATGACATTGCTTTCAGCTTTCCACGGTCTTTACGAGCTGTGTCGCAATACCCGCTGCATCCACCTGTCGGGGAAGGATTCGTTTGGTAAGGCATACTAATGCAGCCGGCAGAAGGGATATGTCAAGACGAGAAGCGAACAACCAAGATCAATCCTATGATCGTGGCAATGAAGTCACGATAAGGTACGAAGTCTCCGGAACCGGCAGTACTTTTCACGATCCTTAATGAGGCCATTCAAAGTAACCCTCCCAGCAGGAGTCTCTCTTGGCTAAACAGGAGGACAAATTATTTTTGAGGGAATGCCATGCCGGAATCGTCAACCCGCGGCCGCAACGGCGAAGAGAATGCAGAGTGACTGCAGCCGCTATCTCGACTCGCCCCCGATGATGCATTATTGCAGCAAGACGGGGCTCTATATCAGATACATGGTGCAAACACCCACCTTTACTGAAAACAGGCATCGAAAGGTTCATTGGAACCACGCTGCTCCAAATCAGCCAACATACCTTACTGCAATACCGCCGTTACCAAACGAAAACGCCATTTGCAACCATGAATCTGATTCAAGCCACACCGAGTTGTTTCAAATTGGGTCGAGTAGGAAGCACTTGTAAGTATGAGTACTCCATAGGTAGTCATCGTGGCCGCCTCACTTTTAACTCTTATCTTGGCCATGCATAACATCGGAGCCATCAATCAATACTTGCTCTGCTCTCCCACGCCAAGATCCCAAAACTCTTTGCTGCAGATGAAGAGCTGACACGTCAGTTGGTCGACAAAATACCTTTGAAAAGCTAAGGTACCAGGATACAATGGGCATTGGCTACCGGTTTCGATCGGCACCCAATTCCCCGTTCATGCCCACAGCATCGGGATTGCTTAATTTTAGTGTTTCCCCAGGTGTTCCCAATCTTCATCACCGTCCCGACCCCACCATGACAGACGGGACGTACCGCATATGTTGGAAACCAACAACACGAGAATCATGTGGAGTTGAGAGCTTGAAAGGCGTGGAGAATCCCGGGAAACAATCCGTGTCACGGTGACCTGGTTGCTGGAACAGAAGAAGCAATCATCAAGCATTTCTCCAACCTCCTTTACCATGGGAACTTGGGAAGCAGCCGAAAGAGGTAGCTTTCACCTCCAATGGGACACATCCGGGAACCACCGTGTACGCCCCCGGACTACTACCATCATCTGCCTCAGAATTCAGGAGGTGAGGTTCGTGGAAGGCTCGCAGCTTGGTTGGACGTTGACCAGCATCCAGACCAAAATCAGCCGATTGCAGGGGATTATTGCAATGCAGCGGCGTTGAATGTGCTTCCGTTCTGGAAGCCGTGTGACCGCATTTCCCGACCCGACATTATGGTCCACGGCGTCCCTGGGAAATTCTGCACATCTTCCGTGCTACGTACCCTTCCATGGCGTGTTGGTGGCTGTATGGAACTGATATCACTCGACGACAAGTCCCAGGAGATGGAAGAATTCCTCGAAGCTCGGCACCGATGTACGTTTTGGCATGAATTTTCGCACACGGTGTTGGTCAAATTAGATTCCTTAACAGTCGTAATCGCAAGACAGAGAAGTGGACTTTTCAACTTTCCTCAACCTTGTCAAGAGCTACATGGCGCTAGCAGTAAATTGCTCAAGAGTTACTCGCTCGAGTGGCTATTATCCCACATATTGCCAAGGTGACGAAACGAGAAAGTGGGATTTCCAAGTACCAGACTCTGCGACGTTTTGGAATTTATCCCAAGTGGGGGGGTAAGCGGAGAATATCTCTTGCGTGTTGAAAATGTGAGCTGACCAGTCCACGTTTTGGGTTGTTCTGGTTTGATTTGCCCATGACATCTCAATGTGCAGTGGGATCACTTAGGCATGACTTCCCCTCTAACTTAGGACTTTCCATGATACGTATTATTCCCTTCTAGGATTCTCTGGAATAGTCGAGACTCCTCTCGTACGAGCGCCGAACCTATTTTTAAGAGACCGGTAGCCTTCTCGAGCCAAAATCTATTCTTCGGGAAACCGAGCCCGTTCAAAAATGACAGGCCTCACTCATCCCATGTTCGAAGTCATATGAGTTCTTGAATCCCACTGCCACTACTCAAAATTATTATGTTATGTGCAAGTCTACTATTTCGAAGATGCCAGACCTTCTCGATCTGGAAGTCTCTGGATCTATGAAATGGGTGTTTGTTACAAAGAGCGGTTTAACAATATACCAATTTCTCTTACCACCTTCGGCGAACAAGAAAATAGGGGAATATGCTAATTACTACTATAATAGTAAAGGTACTCGCTACTTACTTTATAAGTTTATAGCCTACTTTTTATCTTTTTCTAAAACTAATTAGTCTAAAATAGGCCCGAAAGCTGAAGAAAAGGATCTTCGTGTCAAGGAGTCAGATCAGGTGACCTGCGTTCATTCATGAAGCTATTCACAATTATGGATAAACCAGCACAGACCAGTGTCAACCGATTTAAAAGATAGATCTCCTTAAGAATCTCTTCTCTCCCTGTAATCAATCTATTCAACCAAGTCGCAATTGTCCTCGACTTGCACTTGTACCGTGACACTTCGCTAGCTTATAGAAGAGGTAGAACCGGTAGTTCCTCCTACTTTATTTTCGTCCCCCCATTCTTAACTAATCATACGTATTATAACCGCTATACTCTCTTCTTTATCCTCTATATAACCTATTACACAGATTTTCTTCTCGGATCTCTGCACCATAGAAGCTCATTATACGGGTTCCTTAAAACTTCCGCCGTCGAAAAATTATCTGTTGTCGATAATTACTTATTCATCTAACATACGAAGAAGCATTCCACGGAAATGAGAGGAGACTCACCAACTAAGAATTTACCACGCAACGTCTTAGGCTTTGTATTCATCATTAAAAAATCCCAGCAAGTCGACCTTCCACACCTCATACACCGGTCATAATTTTTTCTCTCGGTGGCGAAGACTGTATTCTGTCAAGACTCTTAAACAGATATAGTGTTGAATGCTGTCTTATGATGTTTTGCCTAAGTATAGTACCTTTCCCCAAATGCAAGAAGCGTCTGTTGTCTTTTCCTTTGGGCTTTGGCCATGGTGGTTAAGTAGAGTTGTTACTGTTTCAAAGCTAGGATAGGAATTAGGGTTAGTGTGACAGTTTTTGATTTAGTGAATAAGGGTTCGCTTAGCGAAGTTGCGGGTGTACCCTTCCGTAGATAGACAAATACCTAAGGAGTGCGAAGAGCGTCTCTCTTCCCTCCTTGTGAACAATCTATTCCTTGATCCCCACCATAACAGTTAGTATCGTTAGTAGTTGCACTTTTTGTAATGATATAATACGATAGCGCTCCGGTTATATATTCCGAGTTTAGTAGAATACTATAGTACGTAAAGAGTACGTATATACTTCTCAAGTCTAATATTATACTATACCGGTATAAAAACTATATATCATAAATTCTACTCTGCTTCTTCTCATTCCTCATTTAGTTTGAAATATTTCTATCCAAGCATCATTATATCTAAATCTTACTAAATCTCATACTTATAAATCCTTGCTAACTAAGAAACACATCTTTCCAACTAAACTTAAGACCCGCTAAAAATCCGGACAAGATGAGATAGCGATACGAACATAAATAACAAGAAGAATCTGGACAGCTAATGGAAACCAGAAAGAAAGAGTCTGGAAAAGGGGTAATACTGGGAGTGGTGCTGACTCGCTGAATGTGATTATGTAGATGGTTAAAGTAACTGTACCAGGTTACGGACGCAAAATTTCACTGATCAGCCACTCTGTCCTGCTTGCTTCGTTGCAAGTACAGGTGCTGCGAGATGAAACTGTTGAGTTTGCTGTCGAATTAATATTTGTTGTCGGAGATCAGTTCTTCGTTTGTCTAAAAAAGAACTGATTGACATCTATCAGGTGGCTACAGAAACAACTGGGTATAGTTTTATACTGCCCGATGTATCCAATATTGTGCAAATTAAAATAGCGTATTACAGACTTCTGAGCGGTCCTGCTAGTTATACACTAAACCCCAGGGATTTCCTTCGCTGCTGGAAGATTACACGCATTATGCGATGTGTATCTCAGTAATAAAGCGCGTCCGCAATTTTAATTATAGCTATTCGAGTACTTAGAAAATATGTATTCGGAATTAAGACTAGGCCAATCGACGCGTTCAGCAGGGACTTATAATAAGAGATATCTGTCTAATTGGTATTTAATTACAACTCAAGATCTGTGATAATATAGAGTAAAACCAATATGAACAAGGTTTTGGGGGTCGCGTCTGGACACATGAAAAATTTAACCTGCATCTAACTGGAGTGTTCTATGAGAACCTTAGGGGGTAGAGTGATTGTTTTTGATCATTTGAATGCGAAATTTGAAGTTTCTGCCCTGAAACGGAATCCATAATTTCCTGCACGATCGTGGTTTAATGTAAAGGAAAAGTTTGCGATATTCACAGCAAGATCACCAAGTAAGAGAAATACACTTAGCATCGCTTTGTCAGTTATAGAAGCTTTCGACTTATTTTAACGGCAAAGGTAGGTACTTAACTGTTGCGATATATTCCACTCCTTTGATCACGTTATTTAGACCCACTTAGTTCGAGTACTTAATACTCGAACGCTCACACTCTTTTAGCTCCTTAACAATCGAATCACGGAATATAACCACCTATTGCTTGTTCACTTATCCTGTTGGATTCCCTCTGGAAATTTGACAGATATCTCTATACCAACATTAACAATCCAAGAATGAAGACCAATCTGTTCTAATATTCATGGCATAGCCTTATATGCAAGTTACAACCAATCCCCTTCTAGTTAATCATAGTAGTATTTACTCCAAAATCTGTTAAGACAGAGTTTTTTTAAGCGAAACAAAACAGCCATGGCCTTTGATAGCGCTCTAGCATCAATAACTTATCAGTGACGAGTCCTCTAAGACTGACACTCAGAGATCTCAGGTTGGCCACCTTGCTCAACCCCGGGTTCCAAGCGGGTACCAATGGCGAACGCTTCCCTTTCAATATTATCTTCAAGTTGAAATTAGTTAGGAAATGCCGCTAAAGAAGCGTGATGTTGGGAACTAACCGATGCTGGAAGACATTTTAACAACCTTATTGTCATGGAGGGCGCATAAGCCATCCTTGACCCAAACTCTACAAGTTGTCGGCTCTCCGGTTCTGGCTGATGGGGAGCCATCTGATTTTAAACCGCGAAGTACCTGGTCTAGAGTCGATGTTGAAGACACGGGCCCGATCTTGAAGATGAGTACCAGACTCATGGACGAATACACGTCTCTGCTCGTTTTAACTTCGAGTTTCCAGCCCCCTGACTTGTTGGTGATGTGATAAAGTACACCAGTTGGAGCTTTTCCAGTTACAAAGATTCCCCAGTGCTTATAGAAGGTTAGCACTTATGGATCTAAAAGCCGGTTGTGTTTTAGACTAAACTTACAAATGTGCCTCGAATACCACGGGAGTTGAGTCTCATGTGGACAGTGTTGTTTTCGAGATCTAGCATGGTGAAAGGCACAGAAGAAGGAGAAGCAAGAGATGAAAGAGAGCTACTTAAACAAAATAGAAGAATGCGGTAAATTTGAAAATGCTGGGCAACGGAGATGGATTGATAGATGATTGAGAAGTTGGAGAGATTGAGTAATGATTTGGAAGGGAAGATGAGAGATACTTATACCTGATAAATCCAAGGAAATTAACAAGACGAAAGTTGGATCTCCAACGAGAGAGCAGCATTTGATACCAGAATTAGGCAACCGAAGAAGCCTTTAACAACAAAAATGGACCCAAAAGAATTAGCGCTGAGAATCAGGCATTAAACCTGGCCTTGGAATTCTCACTAAGTGGGTAACAGAAACACCAACATAGCCAACATAGAGAACCCACGCGGACAAAACAACTCGGCCATCATGAGAAGGACGACTGACGGAACGTTGAGACTGTAGTCAAAGCGCTAGAGATAGGGATGAATGGGTTTTCTCTGCCTTAATTATCGTGTATGGACTCATGGTAAGATTGATATATGATCGCGATAGTGACTGATGAGACTGGAGATTTTTCGAGGACTTGTAGATTGCTTGCCTTCACATGTATCGAGACGCCAAGTTTTCGAGTCCACCTCACTACCCCACTTTTTGCTTACTCCATAGATCTCAAGCAAGGATAAAGCTGGGGAAGAAGTAATGAAGATCAGAGATGTAGATAATTCAATTAAACGCTGAAGACTTTAACTGGCAGTCGTGACCTGATTGGCTGGCCTGGCAGGCTAGCTAAGCTATCAAAACTGTTCAGCGCCCACACGCCAGGCAGTGCAGTGTGGGTCTGTACAGCCAAGCGCCAAGACAAAAAGAGGGGTGATTGGTTCAAAAAAGGCACCTAGCCGTGGCGCTAGGTACCCGCAACTCTCATTCCTACTCGAGTACCTAGTTATCAACACCAATTCCCAACATTGTCTTCAACTTCCTAGGCGCGGTATCACGCAATGGAAAGTAATGTCCCCTATGCTTTGCGCGTGGTTCAAAGTGCGAACTTGCGACATCCTGATTTACCTCTGGTAGAAATATTCCTTCAGAATGCTGCAGATTCCGAACAGGCGGCCAGGTACTTCTTGCAGACCTACACAGATGATGTAGGGGGGAGCAAATTTACTCAATTTGCTGACGACTGGAAATGTCTTGTCAAGAAGTGTATGTTTTGGGTCATATCTTCTAGGATGGAGTAAACTAAATCAGAACAGCTTATATCGAAAACCCACATTCAAAATACTTGGATTCGATTACCAAGCGAGCAGTGGCCCAGCGAGACAACAATTCATGTTGTATTCTTGGGACAAGGAGCCGATTTTGGAATTCTTCAGGGCTATTTCCGGTCATTCCTCTGACTGCATTCTACATCAAAGAAGTATGAAAACCTTGTAGATCATATGGTTTCCAACATCTGACTAGTAGCAGAAACGCCTCTATGATCTACTTGGAGCTTTCATTGGCTCTTCACATCGCGATTTTCTCCTTTCTGCTCGAGATGGAGATTCAATTTCTCCTCGAAACCATTGGTATCTGGGCAAATCAGTAGCAATGTCTTTTTCTACGGGAGAACTTCAACTTGAGCACATAAGCAATGCAATGGTAAGTCCATGACTACAGCGTTGTATTGCTAGCTAATACAACCAGTATGACATTCGCCATAATAGTGGGGTCAACTCATCGCCATTCATCATATTTAAGAGAATCTGTCACTGGCAGTGCAATTTGATAGATCACTCAGCCACTGGGATTCAGAGTCCTGATTCGAGGCTGCTCGAGATTCATCGTCGATTTGCTCCTGCCATGAGATGGACCGATATTTCTGCGAAGATGGAACGGCGTAAACCACGCACGCACAAACCGCCAAATCGCAATGCCTTTTCCGAAATACTCATCAAAAGCGCTCTCACAATCTGGAAGATCTTTCCGGACTTTATCCGACTGCAAACGTACAAAATGCTAGCGTATGCTGGTCTTCGTTTATATGGAAAGGCTACTAGACAGGTCCAAAGACTGCCATTCGGCATGTTTATGAAGTTTGATGCCCAAGAAAGATTTTCTCCTCGCATTATGAATGAGTTCAATGCCTTGACACGTCCATAATAAAACTTCAATTCCAGTTCCACGCCCTATTGACCTAATTGTCACATCAAACGGGTCATATTTGATATCTTCACAAATCAAGGGAGTTGGTGCTGGTTACGCACTTGACGAATGCAGTGACGAAGAAATGCATGTCATAGCCCAAGATTTACAAAAGTACATCGCGGAGTTGCGGACAATTCAACAGAAACCAGATTCAACCTATGCAATATCAAATCCTTCAGGTGGTCCATTTCTTGATTATCGAATCGATGTCTCGCCTGTAGGTCCATTTCCCACTGAAAGGGATTTTAGCGACTCGTTGAGACTTGGTGGTGCCCCTGATGTTGTGCATCGGGATGACCACCAAATCGTCTTTACACACGCGGATATCAATTTGAGGAATATCATTTTGAGAGATGGCAGGATCGAAGGTATTGTAGACTGGGAGAATGCAGGTTGGTATCCAGAGTACTGGGAATACACGAAATGCAGATTCGGTGTACGGGTTTCAAAGAGGTGGTTGAAGATGTTAGAAGAGCTATTTGATCACAAATATGAGGAGGAGCTAAAGATTGAGCAGGTGTACTGGGAATTGGACTCGGGTATGTAGTTTACCATGTAACAACAAAGTTGCATCTACGTATCCCTTTAAGGTAAGAGAGGCGAGCATTGCTTTGTACATGCTATCAAAAGTCATTATGTCAAAACTCTGGTACAACTCAATTGTCCCATTTCACCTAGCACAATAAGAATTGAAAAGTAACATTTGTTCTGAACTATTCGTATAATTGATTTAGTTGCGTGAGGTCTTTAGGATAATATTTTATAACTCAGGTGTGTACTGTACAGAGTAATGCCCGCCTCTCTTATAGAGATCAAGTAATTTGATCGAAATCGAAGAACCAAAATCTAACTACGAGCAACTGAGAGAGCTGCCCCCAGTCAAAGCTGTGAAAAGCCTTTCTGATCGCCGTAACTTACTCAATAGTTTGTTATTGTTCCAACCATATAGAACAGCTGATTTAATTAACTAAAAGTCTTAGGAATACTCAAGCAATTGTCTGAGAACATCTAGATCAATGACATAATACATGTTAGTACTTCTATTCTTGAATGCTTATAATAAATACTTCCATGAAAAAGTAACTTACACCAATCCAATTTTATACTAGCTCCAAACCTTTCTTATAAATAATAGTGTTCAAAACAGCCAATGCGTTACGGTAAAAATCGAGGATCGTTATAAGAGTGATCTGCTACCTATATAGGTGGGTAGTTTACTTGTATTGCCGACCTCATTTACTTTTGCGACTTGATAGTGAGAGTTTTCGGGTCAAATTAGAATTTTTCTTTTCTTTTCTGTTCTTGAACCTAATATGAACACCATAGTATAAATAAACCCTCTTACACTAAACGTTGAAGTAGGTATCGCGCCGCGGCATAAATCACAATAAACCAAGAATTGGCCAAGAGCAGAGTTTTCTATTGTATATAAACTAGGACTGTCCGCACCCCTCTAATCTGTAGTGAATTCAGAAGTAGTCGCTCAACACTAAAACGGGACTCACAACCACGTAACCTCAAAATACCCAAGACAAAACTCGGCACGGATCATAGCGCGGTCCCGTCCCAAATTTCTAGATAAGATATCTCAACTACTCACTCACTACGTCTCAACTTTCCAATTTCTGCAATTGACATACGTCAAGATGCGCACGCGAGTAGCCCTACGCGCCCTCTCCGCCCTCCGAGTCGCAGCACCCCGAAACCCCTACTCAACAATAAAACCGCCCCAAGTTCCCCTCTCCTACGACCTCCATGAGCCCGCAAACCCCTCATCCAAAGCTCCCGGGGCAATAATCTTCATGCACGGCCTCTTCGGATCCAAGAAAAACAATCGGAGCATTAGTAAGTGAGCATTCTCCCACGAGTTATACAAAAACCCGAAATTCTAACAATGGGGAATAGGGCGTTAGCAAGAGATCTTGGAAGACCTGTATACGCAGTCGTACGTCCCCTCCCCCGCTCTGCCCCTCACCCTACGCCAATACAAGGAGAAAATTTTGTATTAAGAGAGGAAAATAGGATCTCCGAAATCATGGCGATTCTCCGCATCACCCTACACACGATTACACATCCATGGCTCAAGATGTAGCAGCCTTCATTGACACCCACGCTCTAAAAAATCCTACTTTGATAGGTCACTCCATGGGTGCCAAAACCGCCATGGCACTCGCTCTCCAGAGCCCAGATTTAATCAGCGACATCGTATCGGTGGATAATGCGCCGATTGATGCTGCGCTCTTAAGCAGTTTCGGGAAATACATACAGGGAATGAGGAGGATCGAGGAGGCTGGTGTGACAAAACAGTCAGAAGCGGATGCGATACTGAAGGAGTATGAAGAGGTATGTTGAAATGCTGCCAAAACTTCATGGACTCACAGGCTGATATTTATTTGGAAAGTCAATGCCAGTAAGGCAATTCTTGCTGGGTAATCTACATCGTCCTGCTGGGGAGAAGACGCAGAAATTCAAGGTACCACTGAAGATCATTGGTTCTGCTCTTGATAACCTAGGAGATTTCCCTTTCAAAGATCCGGGCGAGGTTCGATTTGAGAAGCCTACTTTGTTTGTGAGGGGTACGCAGAGTAAATATGTTCCGGATGAAGCTCTGCCTATTATTGGACAATTCTTCCCTAGGTTCAAACTTGTTGATATAGATGCTGGACATTGGGTTATTTCGGAAAAGCCGGAGGATTTTAGACAAGGTATGTTTATGATCCTTTTCTTTCCCGCCTGGTGTATTTGTTGTATTCCTGCTAATTGCTTTGATTCAATAGCTGTTGTAGACTTCCTCAAACCCGAGGTGTAATATGTAGAATTTGTAGAAAGAGAAATATAGAATACAACAATCTAATGTAAAAAGGGTATCATGTGTAATGGCCGACCCATGCTTGCTAAAGTCCATGCCAAAAAGAAAAACTCCCTCCCTATGTCCAATGTATGCCATCCATCCTCTGAAAAGTATTCGTGTCAATCCATCCTTATAACATCCTACAATCTTGAAGTATCCCACCACTTCAAACATCCCACACCTCTCCTCAACAAGCACAACCACCAAACCCTCCTCCCCCACCAGCAACAGCAACAGTGGCCCCCTTCCGTCCCCCACTAGCCATCAACTCCTTATCCCCCACAATGACCCCCACAATCTCCACGAAAGGCCTCCGAACACCCTCCCTCGTCTTCGCACTCACCTCACAAAACCCACACCCATACTTCTCAGCCAACTTCCTCCCCTCCTCCTCCTGCACCCTCCTCTGCGCAACCTTATCACTCTTACTCCCGACCAGGAACAGCTTCGCGCCGGGCATCGCATTCCCCTCCGCCTCCTCAAACCAACGATTCATAGCATTGAACGACTCCCGATTCGAGATATCGTACACGAGGATCACGCCGTGTGCACCACGGTAGTACGAGTTCGAGAGGGTGCGGAAGCGTTCCTGGCCCGCCGTGTCGAGGAGGTTCAGTCGGTATGGTTTTCCATGGACGGAGAGGCGTTTTAACTGGTTATTTGAGTTGGGTTAGTGATCTATACTGTACATGCCATCGATGCAGACAAGAGGATGGCAAGATAAACGAACTTTGAAGTCTACGCCTATCGTCGCGGTCGAGGACTCGGCATCGAACTGGTCGTCGCAGTATCGTATCAGGACTGGGAAGCGGGGAATACGGTTAGCATCAAGTCGCAGGCGAGCGGTCAGATAGTTAGTTTCTTACGAGCGGATTTGCCTGCGCCTGATGGTCCGATCATGAGGATCTTTAGCGTTGGTAAGGACTCGTCTGATGCCATGTTGAAAGATTTATTCCAAGAGAATGTGGTGGTTTGGAAGAGAGTTGCAAAGAGAGTTGCCTTTTGATGTCCACAAACTGGCAGCCTGGGAAGTGTGAACTGAATCAGCGACGTCAGATGCACCCTTGCCAAGATTTCCATGAGTAGCCAACAACACAATACAACACAACACTACCATCGCCACCACTCCAATTAATAAGTTTGAATCACCCATGTACAACTCGAGAATACATAATATTTTTTTTCTTTTTTGTTCTGAACGCTTGAGATTTATTTTGCTAGCTCCTATGCTAGACCTGATTTACGCACGTCACGCCAAATGCCCAAGCAAAGACCTTGACTACATGCAAAATAACCAGTTGAAGAAAACCCCAATACCGTGACATTCATCATCAAACCGTTCATACGTCCTCTAAAACCTGCTCCTTGAACTCCCGCTCAACCTTCTCACCAGCTTCATTTGTGTTTGATTCACCGTGGAGGTTAAGAAGAGCGCCGAGGTCGAATTTTGGTGCCTTCAAGAGCTTGACTTTGCGGATGTGGACCTATATCATGTTAGACAATTCTTCCATTACCATCTCTCCAGGATTCAGCCTACATTTTGTAATGGGTAAATGCCTTGGGTGGCTTTCTCGATCTCGCGACCAATAACCTCTGGGATGAGCTTGGCAGTGAGTTGTGTAAGGGTGCAGGTAGAGGCTTCACGTTGAATGATCTCGGTCATCTTTCTTCGGATAGCTCTGATCTGGGAAGAGGCGGCGTATGTGGTCTTCTTGATTTGGTTTGGTCGTCTCTTGGTGAAGGCGATGGCGAACAGGCGGAGGAGGTAGTCATCGGTGGTCTTGACTGTGACATTTGCCTCAATCAAAGATTGCCACTTTCGGACGAGGGATCGAAGTTTGTCGGATGTGAAATCGAGACCGTGGAAGTTGGTCAAGCAGTTCTTTCCTTGGACCTCATCGACACGTAGCTTGACCTTGCGGAAAGCGTGGTCCTCATCCTTCTGGAGATCTGCCAAAGAAACCTCAAAGATTCTTCCCTTCAATGCATCGTTTGCGTTCTTGAGACCGGTGGTTCTGTTGACAAGGGTCTTTCCGACACTGCGAAATCAATTAGAATCTGCGAGATGTTATTTCGAGGGATGTTAGGGTGCGTACTCTCTAACTGCGAATGAGGATGGAGCCTGACATATCTGTTAGCCGTCGCGAACCAAGTATCTGACTATCAATTGCGCGTACCTTGACCTGGAACCAGTCTTTACGGGTGAAAGGGTCTACGGTCTTCTTCTTGAGACCCTTCTTTCCTTTCGAAAGGCGCTTGTTCCTGTCGCATTGTTAGAGCTCGTCCTCGTCATGTATATTTTGCCCCGCCATCCATCCACGGCCGCAGCCTCGAAATCGTCCATCATCGTCGGAAAGGATCATAGGGCGAGAAACTCACTTTCCGACAGCCATGATTCGTCGTTAAGTTTCCTTTACGCGAATGTTGCTGGATAGGCCGGAATTTGTCGAGATTGCAATGTGTTGGTGGAGTTCGTAATTTTTCGGTATTTTTGAGTGTGTGGGAGTCGCTAAAACCACCAGCGTCGTGCACGGGCGTTCTCAAATGTCACGTGCACTTAACTTGGACCAATCCTCAAAAAGCGGCACCAGTACCAAAGCAATTGGTGCCAGAATGAGCCTTCAAAGCATCGTTTGACCAGAGTACAATTGTTGTCCTGAATTCACAGATAATCACAAGAACAATTCGGAGGATTCCCTCTATACATACACCACATCCATATGCAGAAGCAATACCCGAGAACTAGGATATCACCATTAAGTGGTAAGCAGTTTGAAGTGGATACTTCAAGTGCATATTTCTCCCTTTACGAGTATGGTCAAATCCAGGAATAAGGAGGCCATAACTACACTTCCAAGTCAAGCAAGCAAGCTCCCGGTGATCATGAACAAGACAAGTGACAGAGATTCTTACAAATGAACTCGACTTCGACTTCCAGTGACTGAAATATTTCAAACATCGTGGAACGATTGTTCTATCTCTCGAAGGAATTTCGGTTAACTGTTTTTATTATTCTAGGTTAATTAGAGTTACATAAACAGGAAGGAAATCTCTGCCACTTTCTTGTCCACCCGCAACCGTGTAAATATAGTACAGTAAGTTATCTTGTTAACAGAGGCCCCATTCATTCTTCCAAAAGGTCAGCGTTAACACAAAACTACTCAACTACTCAACTCAACTCGAGTGCTACTCTAGTTTAGTTGAATGAGGATGATTAGGTGATTCCGTTGAGTTGAGTTGAGTTCAGTAGTGGATTTGACTACTCGAGTTGATATGAGTAGGTGCCACTACTTAACTCAACTACTCGAATTCATTACGCTGTAAAAGATTCGTAGGCCGTGGATGTGAATGATGTAACACCTCCAAATCATCCATCTCTTTCGAATCTCGCCTAACATTAGATCGGCACGGAGTGTTAAATAACAGCAACCCCTTTAACACGAAATCACAATCTAGGCTAGATTAGCGAAAGATACTCGACGTCCCTCTATTACTATCACGTAACAGACTAGCTATTCTACTTGAGCCTACGTAAACAAAGAGCGGCGTCTTCTATCTTTTTAAATGTAGAGCCGCCTACTCTTACAATATGGCCGATTAAGCGAATAGTGTAAGATCTTACCGATAGCCGGTTTTTCCTCATGTTTTACGCATGGAGGGTATGCTACAAAGAAGCTCTATATTCTATCTCTCGTCTCTCATAAGTAAGGTTCTCAGCTTTATAATCCATAAAAACTAAATTAGTAAAATATAAGAATTTATTTAGTAATAGCTACCTAAATATACCGTTTTAGAGACTAGACAAGTACCTAGTATCTAGAGGTATTATTACCCTTTTTTAGAGAGTAGTATAATATATATCGGGGAATAAGCAGCGTTCGGCAACTGGAATTCCATTCTATTCTAGACACCCCTTCTAGAAGGATTCTATTCTATCTAATATTTCAATAGAAGTATTCTATTCTAGTCCCCGATATTCTATAGAATTTATAGAATCTCTAGCTAGAACTTATTATATAACCCGGATGAATGTACTCCCGCTCCGTTAACTAATAGGAAGTCCCTATTTATATAAACGGTTAAATAGATAGTAAGACAGGCTTATAGTTATATAAATTTCCCTCTTAACTATTCCTCTAGAGTATAAAAATCGCGAATTCTTTATTAATTATAAAGGAAAGTACTAGATAGCTACTAGTACTTCTACCTATCGACCTACCTAATTAAATATATATATAAGAATACCTCTACTAAATCACGTGTTTTATGCCTCTGGAATTCCAGAGACGGACTAGAAGTATTCCATTTCATTTTATAGGTGCTCTGGAAGTATTCTAGATGGAATGGAATCCATGGAATTCTATGGAATGGGTTCTGTTTGCCGATCGCTGGGAATAAGCGATAAAATTATAAGAACTATTAATTAGTATTTCTAAGTTCTAAAAAATCTCGACCTAGATAAACTTATGAAAAGAATATTTTTTCTTTAATTACCTCTAAATTTCCAGAATAATCACATCTACTCTTTCAGTACGTTATCATAGTAGAACAAACCAAACCAACTAATCACTAACCTACCATCCCATCTACACATCCACACAACCACCGGAACCCAGGCCCGTCCCCGTCCTCCGCCATAACTATACTATCTCACCTCCAACTCCAACTCCAACTCCTCCTTAACAAAGCAAACCAACATCTATCAAATCAAATAGCATACCGGTACCATACATATCCTCCTCCAAAATCCTCCCTCCAAGTCCATACAAATGGACTTCTCAAACCGATCTGACCTGACCTGACGTGACCCGACCTGACCCCCACGCCAATAATCTCACTCCCTCCTAAAACAAGACAGGTGCCTTGGAACCACACCGCACCGCCAATACACAACACAGCCATACCCCACAAGCCGCCCAGCCGCCCAAGAAAAACCCGTACAATGCATCTGGGCTACCATCCATCCCCAGACTCCAGTCCAGTCCAACTCAGACCAAGAATTCGGAACCCGGAACCCGTACCGATCCAAGAGAGAAAGAAACACGAGATCGTGATACGGAGTAGACGACAGACACACAGATTTAGACGTGATTAATTTCAAACTAACATTGTCCGGTAGTTTCCTTCTAGACTCCCGACCAAGACTCAAGACCCAAGACCCGAGCCGACCCGAGCCGACCCGAGCCGAGATGGTTGTTCCCATACTACGTACGATATACGAGGATCTTAGACCGTAATACTGTAGTACTCTACTTAATACACTATTCAATACAAAGTAAAGTAAAGTAAAGTAAACTATAGCCCCTTCAAAGTAGTAAGATATTTCACGACCCTACCCAGAAAGTGCGGAAGAAAGGAGTTTATATATAAAATCTCTTGTCAAATGTCCTGCAATACAGTACTGTAGTGATAACCCTTGTTTCTTCCTACAGTACTTTTGGGAAGGGGTTGTAATGTATCCCACGACTACGGACGGCTAAGCGGAATAGGTTCCCCGATGGCGACACATAACGATCATCAGGATTCAGTCGACAAGCAGAACCAAAACTATACCATGGGTGATGGTTGTGAGCGTACAGACGTGGAGGAAGCGATGTGGCCCGTGCCCTTGGAACTGTAAATAGCCTCAGATCTTACGATCACTTCCACTCTTTGTAGACAATTTAGTTCTTACGCATACAGTTGACCTTGTCGCTATCGCACCCTTACAATGGTGAACTCGGTGATAGTTGGTACACAGTATCAGATCCACGGCATGGCATGGCGTGGCGGCTTGGCGTTGTAACGTGTTCTCCAACTTCTCTGGCTTCTTCCTCGTTTGTTTGAAACGGGATGGAAGGCTTGGTGTTGCTACAGTACAGCACTGGACTGTATGCTACTTACTGTATCTTGGCTAGATTTTTGTTACTACTAGGACTGGAATTTGGATGTACTGGATGCTGGATGCTGGTATAAGATGAGATGGTTGAGGATGAGGATTGAGGAAGGGGGAGGGGGAGATGTTTTAGATTTCTACTTTTTGTTAGAAGGTGAGAAGGCGATGAATGTATCGCCACATATGACTATGAGAATATGGATGTTGATGAATAAATATCTACTACACTTCATTGAGAATGATCGAATGATCGAATGTTCAAGTAAACAATCTATAGAAAGAGAGCGATATATATTATATAAAAAGGACAAAGGGTATCTCCATTTCATTTCATAAATATAAACATACCAAACTAAATAAATAAATAAAAACAACAAAAAGAAGCTGTATACTCTTATCGTAAAGAGAGAAAAAACAAGTATCTGTACCACCTTGTTCATCTCTACTCCATCCCATCCAACCCAATCCATTCAATCCATTCCATCCATTCCATCCAATAATACCTAATAAACAATAGATACCAAAAACCAAGTACAAACAAAATCAATTAAAAACTCCCGTAAATAAACTCCACCCTTCTGCATCAAGCAGACCATACCCAACCCAAACCTAATCCTATCCTAATCCTAAACTAGATACGAAGTACGAAGTACGAATACCAGTAGAATCCCAGACCCAGCCTAGACCCAGTCCAGACCCCAAACCAAAACCAGAATCCAAGAATTCGAAAACCGGAAGCCAAAGAAAAATCCCCAAAAAACTCATCTCATCTGGATGAGATGGCGTCACACAAGTAAGTAGACAAAAAAAAAATCAGGTTATCGATTCGATTTCGATTTTCGATCGCACAGCCCCGAGTCCTCGCTATACCCCAGGTTCCAGGTTTTCTTGTTGTTGTCGTTGTCTTTGCCTCCCCTTCTCACCGCTGTCTCTGTCTGACTGAGTGACTGCCATGGATATTCGCATAACATCCGTCCATGCCACGCCACGCCATGCCATGCCACAAAACCAAGCCGACCCAAACCGATCCCTCGGAACCTTGAAGTGTCGGGGTCGGGTATTCCGGGTTCTGGCTCCGGGTCCGGGGACTGCTTATGTCGTGTACTGAACTGTGCTGTGCTGTGCTGTATGTACGTAGCGTGGCGAGCGTGGCACCGGGGTATCATCCGTCTTCCGTCATTGTATTCTTTCATGGAATGTACTGGTGTACATATGCACACTCATCAATTTGTATTTGGAGGTCTCGTCATCTTTATGTCATCGTAAATTTCATCCCGGTTGGATCGGTCGGTCGGAGAAGAGAAGATGTGGTAATCTCATCTTGCTCACTCACTCACTCATGGACGACGTTCTTGGTGGTGATACTCCTGCGACTCCTCGAAACTGGGGAAGGAATAATAATTCGCTATAACATAAATCAGTACTCATATCAATATCAATCAAATCTCAAAAAAAAGAATATTAAAAAAAAAAACATACAAGACCCAACCATCTCAAACGGTTCCTTCCTCCCCCCCATCCCAACCGGACTCTGATCCGGACTCGAGCTCACACTACTACTCCGACTGCCCCTCTGCTCATACTGTCCTAGGGAGTAACTCGCCACGCGGGTTAACAAGGCTGTGGCGCGGGAGCTCTGGAGACTGGAGAGGTCTTTTCGTGAGGCGTTGGAGGTTGCTAGGGAGGGAGCGGTGGCGGAGGCGCGGATGAGGTTTGGTCGGTGGGAGGAGGATGTTGAGCCTTTGCGGGTGGATTTGGAAGGCATGGTGGTTGTTGTGAGGTGAGTGAGGTGGTAGATGGATGGATGGATAGAGAGAGAGAGACTGGCTACTCGTACTCTTGATTGGTGAGAATTCGAATTCGTCGATAAGGTGTATATATATAAGTAGATATGTATAAAATATACAATATGAAGGCGTGTAGGTAAGTGGTATTTGTAAAGTGGAGATATCTCAAAAACGATATCCCAAAAAGCGGAGGATCCAACGAATTGATATACAAAACAAAAGTGTTCCTAGCGTAGCGTCCAGTCCGTGTCCGTGTCCAAGATCTGCCAGTCTGTCCTCAGATATCACTTGTCAAAGCAAGCAAGCAAGGCAAGAAGATCCAGAAAATATAATTAGAAATGGCAGGTAAGTTGGTTTGGTTTGCGTTTGCCTTTTTGCCTTTTGCTTTTGACTTTCACTTTTTGCTTTTCAGATCGTGCCGCAGCCCAAAACATGAAGAGCGTGGCACTCGTCTCATATACCCAGAGCTTTAGCTTAGTCCATGCCAGGTCAACCAAACCAACCTTCTGCATGATAAAGCTGCATCGCCATTATTCCTCAATCATAAGCCAACCAGCCAACCAGCCAACCAGCCAACCAGCCAACCAGCCAACCAGCCAGCCAACCAACAAGAACCAGGTAAGCAACCAAGTGGCCAAACAGCCAGGCCAGGCCAGGCAAAGCAAAGCAACTTGGAAGTAGGCAGCAGAGGCCGTCAAGGACAAGGACAAGGACAAGACAGACCGGGGTCCGCACAGCACAGCACAGCACAGCACAGCACAGCACAGCACAGCACAGCACAGCACAGCACAGCACAGCACAGCAGCACCACAGCACAGCGGGATATCCACTCCTCTCAGCATCGTAGCCACTCCCCTCGCTACCCCATCTTTTCAATCCCTACCCACACACACCACACACACACACTCACACCACACGGCGGAAAAGACCAAAGCCCATCTCGCCACATGTCGCCCTCTGAGTGAATTTCCCATCGTTGGAAAAACCTTGGAACACCCTTCGTGGTCCATGCGAGGCGTAGTTGAGGTCGTGGATGTCCATCACTGGGACCACTATCTACTAGCCTACCTACCTGTCTACCTTGCCTGCCTGCCTGTCTGCCTGCCTGCCTGTCTGCAGATGCACGGCGGTGCGCTGAGAATATGCACGCCTCGCCTCGCAGAACCTATTTCACTCGTGTTGGCTGGCGGCCAGGACGGGACTCGAGGGAGTGTGGCCAGTCTTTCCATCCACACCCGAGGGACCCCACCTCAACTCGAGTTCTAGAAGCGATGGGAGTTACTCACCCATGCGTCTTGCATTAATACCGTACGAATCCCAGTTCCCGCTTGGATTGGATTGGAAAGCCCGTCAGTAGTTTCAAGTTCCCAGGTGTTCATGAAATGCGTCACACTAGAGTAGAACCGTCCAAGGTCCATCCCACCAATCTGGACTATGTTACATTCCGATATAATGGAGATGAGGTGGATGATGTGGATGATGGATGGTCTTGACAGTGTCAAACTCCGTAAAAAACCACATCATTCAATTCCCATCACGCTCAAAAAGTCATCCAAGATTTAGGGGGGGGGACAAAATCCCTCATCCAATTACCAACGCGGCCAACAAAACGTCTATTTATTGATAGTAAACTAGTGCATGTTTAGGCACGGATGCAGGTACTTTGCTAACTATGCGGCCCAAGCAAACGATAAACTTTCCAACCGTGTGATCAATGATCGATACTACCTTAGGTCAGTTTCATTTTCTGACTAGACTTCGCTCCAACGGGGCAAACTTACTCTTCCCAACTTCTTCCTTTAACGGCGGCTAGCTCTTCTTCCGTCATTCGGTGTCCAGTGGTAAAGTACCCTTCAACCCGACATCAGCCCTACCCACTCAACGAACATGCGGGAATGATGGATAAACTCACCTGCCGTAATTTTGGCATCAATCTCAACTCGGGAATCTGCAGGAATCCAAGATTCGGGCAGTTCCACTCGCTCATGAATAGGAATACTACACAAGCCATTAACATCACTAACTGCGAGATTTTGCCTCTGTTTCACCTCGGATGATCTTACCCTTGGCCGACGATGGCGTCGTGCTTCATGCTGTGATCAACGTTAATACTGCGCGCATCTGTTTACCGGATACCAGGAGACCTTACTTGCTCATACTCAACATCCTATCAATCTTCTTGATGCCAAGCCAGTGGAGGATGTCCGGCATCAGTGCTTGGAATCTCATGTCCTTCACACCCGCAATGTTTTCGGTACGTTTAAAGTACTCAGATGCCCGATCCAACCCGCGCTTCCGGGCATTGTATACAAGATACTGCGTTAAAATGTCAGACAATGTACATCAAAGAGTCAGAACGGGGTGAGGATTGGTAAGAACTCCGGGGTGAGCGGGTAAGACTGGATGCTGATGTGGGGGAGTGGGATAAGAAGTCATCAAGGCTTCAGTGGTGGGGTCGCCAAGTACGACGTTTGAAATGGAATGATACGCTGGCATCATCCTAAAAGATGTTTCCCCATTCACGAGGTAGATGCGGAATTCTTACCTTGGTTACTTCTCCAAGAGCCCGACCTTCTTTACGAAAGTAAATCACCACCCCACTTCCACCCCTAAAAAATGCTCATTAGATGTTGCACGGCATATCAACGAAGATGGGAAAACGAACTTTTGTGCCTCCTTGACAGCCTCCTCGATACCATAGATGAGGTAAGGTCGACAGGTGCATATGTCAGATCCGAACACGTCACTACCGTTACACTGACGTTGGGTCAGATGAAATTCTCGAGAGAAAAAAAAAACCAGGCAAACAATGAGGGATATTTACCTCGTCATGTACTCTCAAAGCCAGTCGCACCTTTTCATCCGACATCTTTGCTGGATCTCCGAAGCAGTATACCGTAAGACCACCTTTATACAGTCAGTGATCTGCATGACACCGCATATATTTGACAAGTACCTATTGGAGGAAGGAAAATTTTGATATCCCCTCTTGTGATCAATTCCGGATACGATCCGCCAGTGTGTTCAAATAAAGCTCTTCGGAGTGTTCCTTCATCTGATCAGATGTTAGCATAATTGTAATCCTAGGGAATTGAGTGATTTACCAATTCCGAATCTCTCTGCAACACCAGGAAGGTACCAAACCTAGGGCGTTGTCAGACATAAACTCTTGTTTTCGGAGTATATAATTTACTGGCTCAACGGCAAATTTTGTGACAGCAAGTTCGCCAGATTCGTTCAAGCAAATCTTACCATCCGGGACCCTACGTTTACGGTGAGCGAATTACTGGTAACATTTTCTGGGTTGACTTACAGACGACCTTCTTTCACACTCTGCTCCAATTCAGGCAATTTCATATGAGCTCTCGTGATTGCTGATCATTGTCAGTTAAATGCCTCATAATACACATGTAGCGAAACTACCAATTGTTGGTCTGATATCAACTAGTTGAAGTTAGTCATGTCTATCTTGATAATGATAAGGAGGCATACCATTTTCTTTCTCAATCGTTTCACTAAAGAGCCATGGAGATAAATGACCCAATGGATCCATTGCGACGATCTTCTTCTTATCAGCCCATTGTGGGAATGGTCCAATATTTGCAGCTGGCTCGGTATTGGTAAAATCAGGTCTAGCACTATGTTAGCTATCGTATCAGGAAGCTTAAGATATACATATTTTGTATTCGACAGCCTTGAGAGAACTGCAGAATGAATACAAGGGCCCCCAAGAAGACAAGAACAACCCAGAGGGCCCAAACCGAAATTGGCAAGTGCAAAAGAAAATATAAATCATTACCTGTGATCTGATGTGATTTCTTTACTTGCAACTGCCAAAGCATAATAGATGGAATATGAACCACCATGAGCTAAATATGTTAGTTTATCTCATCAATTGAACTTTTTAGGTAAATCACCTCCAATTGCTATGATACATTAGTACAACTTCACTAGGGTAAGGAGCTTGGCCATACCATTTCTTCTGCGAATTGTCGTTGAATTTCTGGAGACCACAACTGGGCCACGCTCTTGAGGATCCTTGTGACCCCAATTCATGGGAAGAGGGTTGATACCAGATTGACCGGGATAGGTACTACATGCAAATAACAGTCAGCCACATGTATACCACAATGTTGACCAAACTTCTGGGAATAGAGACATACGTGAGAATGATTCTTGAAGTGACACCACTGGGCTTTCGAGCATGAGTCAAAGCCGCAAGAGCCTTTTCACTTTCAATCTGCTCAGGAGTGAGAGTGGGAGAGCTGGGAACCTCTTCTTCCTCATGTGCTGGCTCGGGAACGTCGGCTGGTTTTGTTGAGGATGGAGTTGAGGAGTCTCCGTTGGCGACATCTCGAACTTCCTTCATACCGGCTAGTACGTTGACTCTTCCATTAATAGCATCAACATTGGAAGCAAGTTGAACTTGGCTGGCTTGTAAATTCTTGAGAGCTTCAAGAACGTCCTTTAGCAAAGCTGTCTGGTCTGGCGGCGAGGAAGCCATCTTGGATGGTTTTTGGAGTGGTAATAAAGCAGTCAGGCTTTGTAATGCGGCTCAAGTCTTCGTTGTACTTGAAAGGTACAGAATACACAGAAAGTGTTGAAAGTAGAGGGAAGTCACCAAGAGACGGTGAGGTGGGGTTGTACAGTTGTACGAGTACAGCGGAGCAGGGGTAGATGGTTTTGTTTTGCTTGCTTTCTGGTAGAATGAAGCAAAGTTCAACTCTTGCGAATATGAAACTTCAGACAAAATCAAATAGTGAAGATGACCCTAATTCACGCTGGATTGGGTGACGTTTTAAGAGAACTTTGGGAAAGCTTCATCGGAGACTTCCATACTCCTTGCAGGTAAACATTGTGGAGGGATCCGACGCCACCTGCACCTATCCTATCGCCGCCCATTCGTCCCTTATCGCCCCACAAGGAAAGGGGTGCATTCAGAATCGGCCGCTAAAACTAACAAGGCACCAAAAAGGGACGTGCACAAGGCCGACTTCTTCAATCTTTGTCGCGTCGGTTGGCGACATTCAAATAGACGCAGCTACTTCTGTGCAATAGTATCACAACTCACGAAACCATGGTAAGTCATTCCTTCTTTGCAGTGCATCTTTAGGATGTCTACTAACATGCGGGCTACAGGGAAAAAGAAAGAAGGCTGCAAAGCCCCAGGGCAAGAAGAAGGTAGGAGGGCAATCAATCTCAAAACCCAAGTTTGCGCCCACGCGAAACTGACAAGTACTGTATCACAGAACGAAGGACTCGCCAAAACATTTCCATGTCTCTTTTGTAATCATGAGAATTCCGTATCAGTAGAGCTTGACAAGAAGGCTGGCGTGGGAGAGTTGACTTGCAAAGTCTGCAGTCAGAAGTTCCAATGCGCTGTCAACTGTACGTCAAGCAAGCTCTTTGCGCTTCTACCTGTAAGTTTTGCAGCAGACGATTAACATAGTCACAGATCTATCAGCGGCCGTTGACGTATACTCGGACTGGGTTGATGCTTGCGATGCGGTTGCTAAGGAAGGAGGCGAAGAGAGAGGAGGTGATTTGGCTCCGTCGCGGGCACCTGTTTCGGGCAGACAAAGCGGAGGCAAAGCAAGTGACGATGAGGAAGATGACGACGATAACGACGATGATCTTATAGCAGATGAGGATGGCCTTCGAAACTATCGCAGAGGAAGCGTGGCTGCGGAGGACGACGACTTCTAAGGGTGTTATTGGTAGGATTGGGCTTGGAGTTGGGGATACCTGAGGCGTTCACTGGTTAATTCAGGTTGGCACAAAGATTGTAATGTATGGAGAGCGGTCATTGGCATTACTTGAATTTCAAGGCAGGCAATCTACAGATTTTGCAAGTAACTCCGGGTCCAGCAGTTTATGCATGCTTTTGAGGCTTTCCATTGTTACGCCATGATCGCAGAATATCCCCTTCTACATGGTGTAAAATCTGTCTCCGAAATCCCCAAGGCCTGGAACAATATAACTACAGAAAGTTAGCAACTCAGAATGTTAAATAAGCGTAGGAAAAACAAGCTTACTTCTTCTCATCCAATCCCTATTATATTTGTTAGCTGTTTTTCATTTTTGGGTCTCAAAGGAAGACTAACCTGGTCAATGAATGCTGTTACTACTCTGAGTTGTGGGAACTTGGTAGCGAACTTTTCGATACCTTCAGGGCTGGCTATAAGGTTCAAGAATAGAATTCGGTTCTCCGGCACACCACGGGATTTCAAGACCTCAACAGCCATGATTGCAGAGCCTCCTACACAGATTTGTTAGCCAGCTATATCTATAAACCCAGTTACGCTTACCAGTTGCAAACATAGGATCCAGCAATAAACACCATCTATCAGCAATGTCCTCTGGAAGCTTGTCATAGAAGAGCTTTGGCATGCAAGTTTCTTCATCTCTCTGAATCAGGATCTTGCCAATTCTCACAGAACGGCAACAGTTCCTTAATCCCTCCTCCATAGCCTCACCAGCTCTCATGATAGAAACTCCGCAAATCTTTCCTTGGAATTGAACACCCGCATATTGTCGGCCTACAGGGGTCTGAATAGCGTGAGCAACCACTGGAAGATGATTGAGCCCCTCTTCGACTAGCAGTCTAATGATTCGGTTCGAGTAGAAGATGAAATCTGCACGCTCTGTGTTCTTGTCTCTAATCATGCTGGAGGTCACATTGAATCAGTGGGTTTTCTCATATTTGAGAAAAAGATGATGTGAACCCACGTGAGGAGAGCAATGAGTTGTGGTGTCTGGGGCAACGTGTGCACATTCTCAAAGGGGACCTCTTTGGAGATTGTAGCCGTTGGCTTTTGCTGCTCAGGTCGGTAGTTGGGTCCTACACTTGATACGGGGGCCTTCGATTCAGTCGCCATTGTGAGCGCTTTTGAAGTTTTGAATTTCGAAGACCTTGAGAGTTGACAAAGGCAGAATCGAAGTTTAGGTATGGTGGGGTAAAATGAATGTAGTCGCTTGAACGATGGAATGTATTAAACAAAATGTCGTAATAGTGGGGGAAGGGAAGGATCCTTCTACAAGTATTCACTAGAGAGACGAGAGGTTCTTCTATACAAGGAGATTGCAATATTCAATGACCAAGAAGATTCACCTTCCAGCCAAGGGAGATATACTTTGCGGAGACGCTGTCGTGTGAGGAAAGACAAGGGAGGAAGGTGGATTCCAATCATGAGGAGTTCGCCTGGTCCCGCGTCTGTCACTTCAGGCTCCGCCTCGGCCATGGCATGGTGTGTAGATAAGATAATTGACTAAAACAATCCCATATTTCAGCTACAGTATGGAGGGCGCTCGGCCCGGGATCGGAGGTTGACATGCATCGTGAGGTTCCCATTCTATTTATGGCATTTCAGTGAGGTCCCCTTCCTTCCTCGGACCATATGTCAAATACTTGAGAAATAATATCTTAGAATCTCTCGGAATACAATGGCATATCATTCTTAGATTTTAAACATCTAGATAACCGATAGATGACAAGTAATCTAAACCCCCGGCATTATCCCAGAACTCTCCGTTCTGCAAGCGGAGACATTCACACCTGAGCCGATAGAACCGCAGGAACGTCACTTCTATAAATCACTATGGGCCACAACCCTAAGCGCCGCTGTGTCACTTGATGCTACCATAAAGTGATATCAGAGAGCAGTGATTCATTGAAGCAAATTTCGTCTCCTTTGATACGCTATGTAAGACCAAACTGAAGCAAACACTGCGCGCGTTTGATAAGAAGTACAACCTCCAAGTGAAGCGCCAACATTCCAACCACTTCAACCCTTACTGATGCCCCTGAAGCCATGGCGGAATCAATGCTGATAGAATGTCCGTTTCAACTGAATTGCGACTACAAGACGACCAGCGAATATCAGATCATGGTAAGGCCTCCCCTCTCACGTGCTCCAGTCCGACTAACCTCATATCAGTTACACATGGAAACTCTGCACTCAGAAGATGGACGATCTCCATTTATGGTGACAGACGATGCGAGTATTGCCGCTATAGCAGCTATGGACGATGAACCGCAGTATTCGATATGTCCGGTTGAAGGCTGCGGCGAACAAGTCCTCTGGATGGAGTTTGATAACCACATAGATTTTCATACCGCGGAACAAGAGCAAGAATCCAGTTCAGCCGATGAATCAAGTCTAGCACATAAGAAGGTTAAGCTTGGTCCCAAGTCTGAGCCTATCTTTGATAATAATATCCCTCATGCCCTCCGAGCCGCAAAAGATGATGGAGGTCCATCCTCTTCCAATGGGCCACAGCCATCTCGTCGAGAAATCGCAAAAGAAGCCTGGAAAGCACTTTTAAGAATGCCGCCTGAACAAAAAACAGCTCTTTCCTCCGCTAATGGTCCCTCCAAGGATTCTAGACGGAGACTGGGGGTAAGTGGATCGTCCCTCTTTGATTCCATGCATCATGAGGTATTAAGAGTAGTTAAGAAATCGGAGTTAGGTCCGCATGCCAATGAAAAACAAATGCCCTCCTGGCTTGTAGATTTACTGGAACGAAAGGATGGCGAGACTACGACAATGAATCGACTGGATGATCGGGGAAAGATCATTAAAGTTAGAGTCTGTCCGAATCGATCCGAGGAGATTCTACCTGTTTTGCACCAGCTGTTGACCCAAGATGAGAACGTGGACTATGCGTATCTGTGTCATCCAGTTGTTAAACATGTTTCCAGCTTAAAACGTGAAGGTAGGGACTTGTTATTATTTGTACGAATGACGTCTGACATCCTCAGGTGGCTTCTGTGGCTATCGAAATATTCAGACGATGAGCTCGTACATTGTGGGTGTCAACTCACAAGGTCATGAGGCTCTCAAAAGCAGAATCCCCACAATCTTCGAGATTCAAGACCATATCGAGACTGCTTGGGATCTGGGCATCAACTCTCGAGGACGTATCGAAACAGGCGGTATTCGTGGAACCCGAAAATACATCGGAACCCCTGAAGTAAGCCTGAACGTCTTTTCTAAATACGTCCACGTTCTAACTAAGTTTTAGGCCGAAGCAATGTTCTCGAAGCTTGGTGTAGCGTAAGCAGATCTCCCTCCCATTGGCACCCACATCTAATTCTCCAAGCTGTGACACAACAGCAATCAAAGCCTCCAAACCCCGACGCGACAAACGAGATTCCCATCCCGAGCCAGCATACACGCCCTCTTATCAACTTCTCTTCCAACACGTCGAGAGATATTTCAACTCCGGCTGCACAAACTACGATCCAAAAATCAGATGTACCTTATTACCACCCATCTACTTCCAGCATCCAGGTCAGTCTCCCTTCCTCCTTCATTTTCCTAATATCTCCTTTCCATGGCTAGGTAACATATTCACTCAACCAGGCCACTCCCTAACCATAATCGGTCTCGAAAAACTCTCCGACGGCACCAAAAACCTCATCGTCTTCGACCCCATGTATCGTGACCCCCCCTCGGTAACCAAACACGTAGGCCGATCACAGTTCACACACAAAAGCCCCGAGGATGCGCTCAAATTGTATCGAAGAGGAAAGAGGTATCTGAGCAAGTATAATGAGTTTGAGACTTTGACGTATGTTCCCTCACCTCACCTCTTGGGGCGCTGGTTTGCTAATGAGATAGACTCTGTCCACCCGTCGGACAGAAAGGCGATGTTGAGAAACCTGGTGGTGGCATGTATGATGATGGGGATTATGAGGATGGGTATGGGGAGTAGAGCAGCAGTTGGGGGTATTATGTTGTGTGATGAGAGTCAGTTGGGGGATCAGGGGTACATCTTGACCTCCAGATGTTTGTATCTCTCTTTGCAAGCTTTCTTCCACCAGTACTCGTACTAGGGACCTGGGATTTGGACTTACATCTCATTGCTTGGCAATTAGGGCTTGAAGAGAAATTAACTTGCTACTTGTAATACATAGCGCTTCGGGCATTTTTTGGTGTTTTATGGGCTTTTGCTATTAATACATTTGACACTTGATCGCTGATCTGGCGTTTTGCTCGTGGTTCTAGAGAGTAGATAGCAGACCCTTTGATGGTCTTGGTGTTCCAAGGATCCAAGCTCCTTTCACTATTCTACAACCTTTTCTTGGGACTACAGTGTCCCTGTGGGAGTTGTATCCGACTTTTTCGAATTTCTTAACTACTTGAATAGGGTATACAAAAGTCGGAGATTTTGACTTGTAATATAATTTATAGGGACTAACAAAAACTAGCTCTCATTTAGCGAGATGGAGATGGCCCTAGGTTATTAGACCTTAGAATCCGACATTATTAAATAGTATAGTGGCCGTAAAAGTCGTACTCCTTTAACTTACTTATCCACTTGTTTACTTATTTACTTATTTTATTATCTATCTACCATATACCAAGAAACGTCCAGGAGTGTTGGGTATTACTCTGTAAGATACACGCTATCAAAAGTCGTTGTGCTAAAAGTCTGGCACAACATAATTAATTGTCTTATTTTACCTACATAAGTTAATAGGGAGTGAAGAGTGGCAATTATTCTAAACTGTTTATATAGGTGATTTAGTTGTGTGTGGTCTTTAGGGTGATATTTTTATAAATTTTAACTCAGGGGTGTACTATACAGAGTAATACCTGCCCCTCTTACGTACCTAGGTAGAGAGAGGTGGGAGAGGGGAGAGGCGGAGGGGGTATAATTAGAAGTAGAGACTTATAGGACGGGATGGTAGGAAAGTCCTTATAAGGAGGGATCTGTAAGGAGGGAGGGGGAAGGTTAGGTAAAAACGACTAAATACTTATAGGTAGTTATAGAGGTAAAGGGAGGGGAAGGCTCTATAATATAGACAAATAGTAGTAGTACTCCCGAATAGCGCCTAAACTCTCTTAAAAGTATGATAGTTTCTAGAGTACCTTCTATCTTCGCTTCGCAAGGGGGATTTTAGCGTATAATAAGCGTATCCATACCATCCTACTTTTTTGTGCTTAATTTGGCTACTGTGCGTTACAATGCGACAATGTTTGCTCCTGAGTTCCTAGAGGGAGTGTAGATATACTATATGTATACATTGAGACTCGACGGCGTGGGAAGTACGTGGGTAGATACTAGGTGTATCGATATCGAACACCAACCTCGAATTCGGTGCCCAGCCTTGACGTTGAGGTTTGCTATTACCCCCCTCAGGTATTGCCTTGTCAATACCCCAGCACGCCCTCAACAACGGTCCAAAGTAACACTGGACGATGATAAAGCTACCTCTCTCCCTCCCTCTCTTTTCCCACTCTTTCGACCCCTTCTTTGCACACATTTTGCTGTGTGTGACCCTTCTCGTCCGCCTCATTGTTTCGAAATCAGCCCAAGTTCAAGCCCCCGCCCTTAGCGAGTTGCCCTCATGCAGGACAGCAACCATTACGAGGATTCGGCCAATTGGGAGATGGGGGAGGATTATCAGGGAAACCACACCTTGAGCTCAGAGCTTGCTCCTATTGGAGGAAGTGGGGCTGAGGGGTGAGTCTTTTATTTTTAAACCATACTGATCTCGCCCGGCATATACAAGTTCTCAGTCGACAGAACATGGAATTGCATATTCGACCAGTACGAAGGCCCCAAACTTATCTGGTCAACCACAATTCTCTGGTGATACGTTTGTTATCTCAGGTCCGATTACAGTACCCGCTTCAGGGTTCTCGGAGGCTCCTGTGCCCTTCAATTTTCAAATTGTTGTTCCCCAGCCAGGCCTTCAATTCGACCCCAATGCGTTCGAGCCTTCTTCAACCTTCGTGATCCAGCCAGCTCTTCAACAACATCAATGGCAATATGGATTGGACTCCCAGGCTTCCCTTGTTTTTAATAGCCAAGAGGATTTGCCGCAGTACCCTGAGCAGCTCAGTTTCAATTCCGAGCTTAATTCGGTCTTTAACACTCAACCAGCTTTTGCACAGCAATATGAGCAACATGGAATAAACTTCCAAGTTTCCCCTGCATCTGGGAGCCAGACACTTCTTCTACAGCCCCATGACCACTTCGACCTGAGTTTGCAGCCAGCCATCATCATGTGCACCCAGACTGGATGTTTACACACTTTCACTCACGACGCAGACCGTGTCCGTCACGAAGCATCGGTTCATGGAGTTAATCGCCGAGCATTCTTTTGCCATGTCCCTGGATGCCCAAAGAGCACTGGAACCTCTTACTCTCGTGCTGATAAGTTGAAAGAGCACCTTTATAAGAAGCACGCCAACTTGGGTTATACCAAGAGAACTTGAGGATTTTAATCGGGATCAATTTGGGGTACATGACAGCAGGGTGGAGATTTTCTTGTATTGTACGGTCTTTCTTGTCATGCTACTTGGAATTTTGGGTCATGGCAATGATTGGATGTGGATGCTGGTTGTTTCTTGCCAGTTGACACGCTCTTTTAGTTGTTTTGATTGAGAATGAATATTGATGTTATGTTTTCTTAACAATGAAATCCCCAGGTACCTTTAATATTCACAAGTGTTTTCTACTCCTTGAAATGACTTAAGATCCTCAAGAAAACTGCTCGCTTAACTTGTAGTAGCCGACGCCGTGTAAACAAAACCATGGTATTCTACGACCCCCCTTTCGAAGCCATCAATAGACATATTTTGATCACTCTGTTTTCATTTTTATCTCACAACTTCCCCGCCCTACATTGGAGCCTCGCTATCTTCAAGGCTCTCAACATACGTGCATGCCTCCCCCCAAATTCAACACAATTAGCCGAACGCCCTGAGGCTGGGCATGAGTTGGCACCTTCAGGAAGATAAAGGTATCCCTCTCCCACTCCCTTTTTTTCACACTTTTGCCCACTTTCCAGCACGCTTTTTACCTCCAGCCTCGTTTGTCTCTGTCGTCATTGGCTTCTCGAGACCCTGCCCTGCTCGCCCCTAGCGCTCGCCCTCATCATGCAGTCATACAGCCATCACGAAAACTCGGCCAATTGGAATATGGAAGGAGAGGAAATCCATGCTTTCAGACCACAACCGCGTCCTGAAGGGGTGCCGGGTGGGGCTGGGGCTGGGTAGGTTTTTTTTTAACCCTTGCTCACCGAATTAGGTTATTACAGTCTGGTGTCACCACTCCAACTACCCACGAAACAGATGTCAACTTTCCTTACAGCTATGTATCCGAGAACTTCTGTCCAACCTTCTGTCCACCTCAATTCACTGAAGACAACTACAATGTCACGAATCCAACTACTTACGGACCGGAATCCAATCAAGATGCCTTTGCCGGTTTAAATACAACCTCGATGAATATGGGACCTTTGGAGCTCTCTGGGACTATCGACAATCAACTCGCTGTTCAACAGCCATTTTTCCAGTGCGATTTCAATCATGTTCCGACTTTTGACTTGCAACCGACCGCTACTTATACAAACCTCCAATTTGACTACAATGGTGTGCCACCTTTTGCTTTGCAACTCATTGCTTCCCAAGCAGACCTTTTGGACATCATCACCCAGCCAATCATCCCCATTTGTACTCACTGTTACATGGCCTTCTCTCGTGATGCAGATCGTGCCCGTCACGAGCGATCAGTCCATAGCCCTGCTACCTTCATTTGCCCAGTCACTACCTGCCCTAAGCACAGAGGAAGACCATATTCTCGCCAGGACAAGTTGACGGAACATCTTTGGAAGAAGCATGCTAATTTGGGTTATACTAAGAGAACTTAGTTCTTCCCTAGCTTGTCTTTGATGACGTTTCAAGGACATGGCCGCAGGGTGGGAGATTTGTTGTACGGTCTTTATGGCTATGTTGCTTGGGAGGTTCGATGATTATGGAAGTACTGATGGTATTTGGAAGGGATGGGATTTTTAGTGAAAGCAATGATATGGTGCGCTCTTTTTGTTTACTTTTCTTTGAATAAGTTGTGACCTGAATACTTTGTAATCTTCTAAGTGAGAAGTTTATGAATCTTGACCCGCGATTGCTCTCGATTGGCCAATCTGGAAAGATGTATTCCCACTCGTACCTAAAGTGTCTTTAAATTCCATAATAGCTCACTTCTCATGCAACTTATGATGCGCAGTTGAGCTTTTTCTGGTCTTGTGTTGACACTGCATACCTACAGTGTAGTAGGATCAATTAATGCTAGCATCCTTACAGCTATGGGAGTTGAAAGGGTCTGCCGGTATAATTCAAGTTACGAAACATTGTGTAAACCCAGTTATACTTATTGCCCCTTGGATGATTCGATATGGTGCTTAACCCCAGGGTTAGCAACTGGAAGGGAACCAGTTGCAATGACTTTTCCAAAGACAACATCCATTGCCGACTTGAAGGCGGCGATTGTGGTTTCATAAATAGCAACGTAATTTCTGATGTCTTCTGTATCTTCCAGAAAGTCGTAAGGGTCACTTGTCGCGATGACGACCAACTTATTTCCAAGTTTCTTCCCAAGTGACAAACCAATGGCTTTTTGATACCCGCTCAAACTTGCATTTATAGTTGCAAGAATGACATAGTCTGCTTCGGCGATCAATTTGTGAGATTCCTCCGAGAATGGGGTTTCTTCATGGTATTGAATCTCCACCGCGTTCAAGTCGTGGCTTCGAATGACATCAATGTATGCTGCGGGGGTGTATTGATCTCGTACGTTCTCCTTGTCACTTTCTTCAACGCATCCACCTGGCTTGGGTCCTTTTCCAGGTCTGAGAAACACAATCTTGCGCGCAGCATCTGCTCGAATCGGAAACGCTTCTGGTTCAGATCGTACAACTGTCGTGCTCTTGGAGTATATCTCTGATGCAAGGGCTAGTTGCTTTTCGTTCCGTGATTCCGTACCAGTAAAGTTTATTGGTGCTGTGTTTGATACCGAATATTTGGTCTTCAGCGCCTCCACTCTATCTACAGACTTTTGGGTGGCTGCTTGTGACAACTCCCCGGACTTGACTGCGTTGATAACTTGTTGAATGGCACCAATCTGAGAGGCGATTGTATGGCATATCATCACACAGTCTGTTCCGGCCTAAAATCAGTTAGATAATACTCCTTAGACGAGTCACAAACTAAGGTGACAATGAAAAGGTTACGTACCTTCAATGCCATGACTGCAGCTCGCTCAGTACCATAAGGGCCTCGCACTCCCTCCATTTCGAGACAGTCACTGACAACTAGTCCATCATATTGCATCTCCTTTCTCAAAATATTGATGATATCTGGGTTCAAGCTCGCCGGCAAACCACCCTTTGATGATTTATCGCTGTCTGTTTGAGATTTCTCAAGCCCGGACATTACTATATGTGCTGTCATCACAGCATCAACACCTTCGACCACGGCCTCCCGAAAGGGTATCAGCTCGCAGGCATCCACTTGTGCTCTACTCTTCGAGATTACAGGCAGCCCAAAATGAGAATCCACAGCCGTATCTCCATGTCCGGGAAAGTGCTTGACACAAGGCACCACCCCACCGTCCTGGAGTCCTTTGAACTGGGCAGAAACAAACTTGGAAACTGTACTAGGATCATATGAAAAAGATCGTACCCCGATGACTGGGTTTTTGGGTTCCGAGTTGACATCTGCTATTGGCGCATAGTTCATGTTTACTCCAAACACTTTTAGAGTTTCTGCTGTTGCGGTAGCGATCTTGTAAGCATTTGAAGGGTCTTTAGTTGCTCCAAGAGCCATTGCCCCGGGAAGTTGAGTAGCCACTGGTGGCTTGATGCGGGTTATAATGCCGTTCTCCTGATCGATTGAAATGAAAAGACCTTGGGTTTGACCAGCAGAACGTGAGATCTCATGAAGAGAATTGGTGAGTTCGACAAGTTGTGTAGCATTTTCGATATTTCTGGAAAACAAGATTACTGCTCCTACTTTGTGTGTGGTAATGAGGGTTTTGATATCCTCGCTTGGGACATGACCCTTGAATCCAACAATAAATAGCTAACGCACTTGGACATTAGTGTTACAGTCCTAAGGAAAATTCATTGCCGATATCTTTGAAACACGAAAAGGGCAGAAAAGCACCATTCAAGTTCCTTCGAGACAAATTCTTCCAAGCCCCGGGATGAATAGGCGCAGCAGAAAAAAGACGTGAGCGTACCTGTCCAACTTTTGACTTAAGTTCTTCGTCTGACCACAAGGGCCTCGGGTCTTCTGTTTCACTCATTCTTTTGTATTCTTGAGAGAGGGTGATCGATATTGAAGTCAAGATGTTGTAGGATGAGAGGAGAACTATTTGAGAGGACAGGCCCCCGCAATGCCAAGGCTCCACTCACGTGCCCGTTATGAACCAATCACATCTACGGTTTCTGCTGAACTATCTCTTCACTCTTGTTATTTTAGCTGTGATGGTGTAAGACTGATTACCCTCTGCTTGCTCACTCTTCCGCTGATAATAAGCTTGAATTCGCCAGAGGCTGTAGGGTTATGCAAAAGACAAACAACCCTCCCTTATTGTGCAACGAAGAATACAAAAATAAGAAGAGGGTTTCTTAAGAAAACCTGGAAAATTAAAGTACAGGCTTCCCTATATTTAACCAATCTTATTGTTTGAGAAGTTTTACATTCTTGGGGCAGTTTTTGAAGGTAAGAGCGTCTTTGGTAATGAGCGTTTCTACTCAGTGAACTTTAAACAAATTTCAATGGCGACAGTGTATCTATTTCCCCAGAACTGTAGTGCTTTAGGTTAGTGAGCTTACGACAACTCTATCTTCCTAATAAGCAGAGAAATATCACCATTCTATAATATAGAAGGTAATGTTATGCTTAGGTGATGTACGCTTATTTTCACATTTCATATCATATTTGTTAGAAACAACAGTAATTTATTACAGTCATTAGCCTCCAAGGGGACATAAGTACTCCTAGAGTACTTGAATCTCTGCGAATAACCTGATTCTTGACCCTACGCAAATATATAACCCCCACTCAATCCTGGCTCTCAGCATCTAGTAACCACCAGGGTAATGCTTCTTCACGGAGCTTCTTCTTCCACAGGCAGTCCCCGCGAAGAAAGCGCTCGATACATTGTCCTTCCTCCACTCTTGATAGCCTTGTGCTCAACCAACTCAATCGTACTGGAATCCTGCTCTGCTGTAACACATTTTTCACAGTACATTGCCGACGGCTCGTTGTTTTTCAGTCTCCATGTCGCAACCCAATTCAAAATCGACCACCCTGCCTGCAAGAACACCAGGTCGGCAATTAGAAGTAATAGCAACAGAGAGCCCGTCGACTTGACAGGTATTGCGCATAAATATAGGAAGGTGTGATGGCCAATTTCTTATCATCGTCCGCATTGGAAATATATGGCACCCTTGCAGGGCCGGCTTTAAGCCAATTCGACTCCACTGTGTTGTTCATGACCGTAATATTTTTTGAGAAGGCGGTCAATAGAGCGCCATTGCTGACAATATTGGGTGTGTAGACTTGTCCTAAGTCTGCCATAATGGTGGAATAGAACACTTTTGCGAAACTATCTGATTCGATCCATACATCCGGCTTGACCTTTTGGGCGTGTAATGCGCCGATGTTATGTGGATTATTAGCTGGATTCAAACAGCATATGGGCGATTTTCCACATGGGGTAGAAACGTAGTGCCATTCTGTTGGGGAGAAAGACTCTAGACTTGTCAAGTCTGAACTATTTGTATGGGGTCGAAGGACTGGAAAAAAGTGAGGATCAGTCTTACCCTCTTATCAATAAATGACTGGCTTATACACTAGAGTTCCTTTTGTAATATCCTCGTTCTCATCAAGCCTAGCCTGCTTTCACATTCTCTGTGCTAAGTTGAGCCAGTACCATGACCTTATAATTGTTAGCTGTACTCGTTATAGGATTACAATTATACATATTTCCTTACAGCAAAGACTCCCCCCACCATAAACTGGTTAAATCTTGGCTATCTGGCGCTTGAAGAAACTGAAAGGCAGCACCGGTGTCAATAGTAGGTGGGATAAGATCGTTGGTCGTCAGATTGACATATGTCTGCTGTCCATTATTGACGAGGCATGTCACAAAACCCTAAAGAACATTTGTTAGCTAAAACAAGCGGACCCGCAAGGTACATTACCATAGCTCCGATCCCCCATCCACGCCACCCAAGTTGAGCTGCAGATCTATCAAACGAAGTGAAATCCAGTTGAATAAGTGGTATCGTACAATTCTCAATCAGGTTGTTGGAGTACTTTAGTGAAGGCAACGTCAGATTCTTTCCATTTGGTAAAACCTGCCAAAAATTGGCAATATTGTAGGCCAAACCAAGCTTATTAGTATAATATTGAGTATTTACGGGCAAATTTTGGGAATTGCATGTGGGGAAAGTCTTGTCATCTGTTCTGATCATCTTCTGAGTCCATAATCGGCGAGAAACGTTTTCATTTAGTTCAGTTGTGTACAGAATATCCATGGTGTACCCATTATTAGCAAAGTTCAAAATTGAAACTAAGGCAGTGAGCAAAATAGCGCCCACAAGAGCAACCCATTTGAACCATCTGAAGGGGTAGTCTCTAGTTATGGGATAAGAAAAAGTGAACATGATTGAAAGACACAGGTTTAAAACGCGATAGAGAAACAAACAGAGATAGACGCATTGTAAGCGGAGGGACGGCTCTTAATATAGAGAGAACGTGGTAGCGCCCAAACCCACATGAAGGTTTCAAAAGCCAATTAGAAAGTGGTCCTGTAAGCTGTGCCGTATCCTCTGCTTCAGTAAGAACAGAGTACCCACCCATTCACACTATCTCGCCCCCAAGCATCTGCCCCCAAATTCTTACAAAGCAGGAAAACCTATTTAGATGTTTCAGAACACCCACGACGCTGGAAATAGGCTGGAATCGTCTGGCTCAAACTTTTTCGACTGGCCGGCTAGCGTCTGACGTTCTTCTGGCCTCACTTCTTTTTCTAGATTGCCGTATTAATTGGGTTACAAGATAACATTCTTCGTTAACACAACATGCGTATAATATATAACGTAGTCCACAAGCGAGTTGGATTCCCAAGCGAAATGGATTTTTTTCTTGGCATTTTACAAATTCTTAAATATCTCACGACACAATTAATTAAATTAATTACAGTATTCAGAATCGGAATCCTCACATATTTCTTCTCCTTTTTGACAAGTTCGTATGTTATGGCCATGTTTCCCACATAGTCCACAGCGCCGGCGATGTACTAGACTCGGGCTCGTACAATTACTATTTTCTACTAAAACCACTTGTTCTTGCGAATCAACATTACTAAACCCCTAAATCTTGCGCATCTTGGAGAGTAAGTGATCCTCCTTCCTGTAATCGGCGCTTTTTCGTACGACGACGCCGACTAAGTTGATCATTTGC